TATGTTTATTCTTACCTTATTTAAAATTTAAAAAATACATAAACAATGATATACATTACATTTACATAACTAATTTTAGCATCATTTTGATCAGCTGGCAACCTACTTGGAAACATGCTTTTTAAATCTAGAACCTAAATTATATTATTAACAAATGATCAAAAAAAGAAAGAGAAAAGAAAAATTATTGAGCTCAAAAAACGGCTGTTCACAGATATTATACACAGAAACAAGTACACAGCTTAATAGACTGAACAAATATCTTACAAAATCAGAGTACACTCATTGTTCTATAATTGTACAAATTTACAATTTAATTTTTTGCCAAATTAAATTGTAAATTTTTTTTTTTCTTTTTCCTTTTTATTGATACCGGGGATCGAACTCACAACTGCCTGCTTGCAAGGCAGGCGCTTATGCCGCTGAGCTAAACCTCCAGCCCCTAAATTGTAAATTTGTACAATTATAGAACATATAAATATACAAGTCAGTTTGTCGTCAGTCAATTAGAGATCTCCTAAGAATTTGGAAGGCATAAAATCTTTATGTATAATCAGTATATGTTTTGTATTTTGTCTTAAGAATACCTAGTAACTATGGGGCTAGGGTTTAGCTCAGCAGTGTAAATCCCTGCTTGGTAAATGCAAAGTCGTGAGTTTGATCCCCGGTACAAAATATATATATATAGATAGATATCTATATATCTATAGATATATCTATATATAGATAGCTATATCTATATATAGTAACTTTTGTGTCCCTTTCGTGTAGTTTTCAGCTCAGTTATCTGTAAGACCTTTAGTTCTGATTTTTTGTTACCTGGGCATCCTGGGTCAATTTCTTTAATTGGCCCAGGTCGGGTCTAACCCCATCTTTCTGTTGGCTGTTGCATGATCTCTGAGGCATCACTGTGTTAGGACTGAGCATCAGCTTCCTGAAAGGTGGAATCAACTCCTTCTCTGGGTCTGGGTCCGTGATATGGCCAGACAGCACATTCTGGCACCCAGATAGGCTGTTTAGCATTCAAAAGCACAAGCATACTGTCTACCCCAAGTGAGTAGTAGTCTAGGACCCTTTCTAGCCCTTCCTTTACCTGATTGACTTGTCTTTATGCTGCTGTAGTTCCAACCTTTATTGGATTTAAAAAGTTAATAGTATGTACTGCCAAGTAAAGTCTATTATGAGGTATAAAGTTTTTGTAGGGAATGATTCCCCTTTTTGTTTAACAATTTTTAGACCTTGAGGATTATAGGGAATTCCCATGGTAAGGGAAATAAAAAAGTTTTACAAAACATTTGGAAGGCTGCACTCGTATAGATTGGGCCATTATCTTTCAGTCTTAAGTGTAAGAAAAAAATCTATCTTGGATTCAGACACTTGGGGCTCCTGCTTCCAGCTTTTCCCTTTGGTTGTGGCTCCTGCCTCATCACCTCTATAGCCACTGCCATGTCCCCCCCACCCCCCACCCCTCCAAAGTTGCTGCAGCCCCAAGCCAACTGCTGTGGCACAGGTGGCTTGGCAGTTTAAAGACTGGTGCTCCAGTGGAGTTTGAGCCACTGCATGCAGGTGGGACAGCCACTGGATTTTTGGCCCTTCATCCCCACCACTGAAAGAAATAACCTTTTTTTTTCCCTTCCCTCTAGGCTGTAGATGAATACCCTGAGTGATGGCTGCTGCTAAGGCAGCCCCTATACATATGAGGGGCCAGTATCTGCACAGATCCAAATAGTCTCCTGCACTATAGCCCACTTTTATGGGTTCTTAAAGCCTCTTTACACTATTTTATTTGCATTTTTGAAGACCAATGAAAGGTGGCAATCTCAGTGTGTTAATGCAGCAAAATTTCCCTGAACTGAGACAAGGTAGCAATTGTCACTTGTGGCTCAGTTAAGGTTATTGGGATGACTATTGTTCCACCATATTTTTCCTGCTCAGGGCTTGATTTTAAAATAGTGCTCCAAGCCAGGCGTGGTGGCTCATGGCTGTAATCCCAGTACTCAGGAGGCTGAGGCAGGAGGATCATTGTGAGTTCGAGACCAGCCTGGGCTACAAAGTGAGCTCAAGGCCAGCCTGAACTGCATGGAGAGACCCTGTCTCAAAAAAAAAAAAAAAAAAATAGAGTTCCAAGATCCTTTGTGCGCATCTCAATAAGCTTATGACCATTAAGACACTCTTAATACAAATCCATAAAAAGAAAATAAATGCAGGAATCAAGGATACAACAAACATATCTATGTATGTATATATTTATATTTAAGGGTTTGTTTTTGTCTTTTTTGAGACAGGGTTCACTGTGTAGTTCAGGCTGGCCTCAATCCACAGGAATCTTCCTGCCTTTGCTTCCTGAGTCCTGGAATATCTTTGTGATTAATATTGATTCTGTCACTGCACAGCTCTTAAAATTCCTGAGGGGAAGGAAAGCAAGAAGATGGAGAAATAAAGATAAGAGACAGTATACTGAAAGCTGAGGTCAGGTGGGTCCTTGCTGCAGAAGAGAGGAAAGGAACTTGCTGAACTGCCATAGCATACTTATACACATGGCAGGTTGGTGTCATGTGATACCCCGTTTGCCTAGCTACCCATTGTTTGGGTTGTCTCCGGTCTTGGTATTCTCTGAACTGAAGCAGCTTGTTCATGTGGCTTTCCTCGGTGCTTTTTGTTCTTGCACTAGGCTTCCCTCCTACATGTGATCAGTTGATTTCCAGCTTTAGTCGCTGCCTATGCTTTAGTCTGTGACTCAGATTAATTGTAAGGCATAATAAGATGGCTGTACTGTGCAAGATGTTTTGTTCTTGCACACCTTCATTGTTGACCTTCCACCAACCAGAGGTCAGCATGTGAGTAGTTTTGAACAAGATGGATACTGCTGTGTGTATGACAGTGACTGGTTCTGTGAGGAGCCTTCTGAAGGGGCCGAGCTGGGCTCAGTGGCATAACACTGCCTAGCATGTGCCCGCCCTGAGTTCTGTCCTGGCACCATAGCAAGGCAGGGGGAAGAAAAACTGTCTGAGGAAGTAAAATTCAACTAAAATCTGATTTATAAGAAATAGCTAGCCATTGTGAAGCCCTAAAAAGTAGCCTAGCTGAGGGTGTGTGCTGAGAAGTGTTTGATGCTTTTGAGGAACTAAAGGTAAACATGATTTGTACCTGGTATCTGAGGAGAAATAGCATATGATGAGATCCGGAAGGAAGCACAAACGGTATCATGTGGCATTGTGGTTGGGTTCTAATCAGAATATTATAAGAAACTTTGAGGATTTTAACAAGGGCGACTTGAATACTTGACATTTTTAACATGCTTTGAACTCAAGTGAGGAATGATGTTGTATGTAGTACTGGTAATAAAAAGGTACTCGTATGTTTTTGAGACGTATTTTTGAACCTAGATAGTATGACTTGCTAGGTACTTGGATGTGGAGAATGGAGTTTAAAAAAAAAAAAAAACAATCAAAAATAGCTTAGATTCTTTGAGTTAAGCAAAATGGCAAATAGTCTCAGTTACTAAAATGCTAAGAAAGGATTTGGAGACAAAATTGAAGCTTTTTGTTACATAGATTTCAGATATGCTTCCTAGACATCTAGGCATATCTTAATGAGGCATTTAAAACACAGAGCTCAGAGCGTAAGACTGATGTAAAGATGTGAGCATCTTTGACTCACGGGTGGAATGTGACACATGGCTAGAGAGTAGTGAGAAAGAAGGGAAAGAAGCCCCAGAAAGGTCAAGGAAAGGAAATATGTCTTCATAATAGAAAAAAACCCAACAAGGTGAGGTGGTGTAGAAGAAAAAAGTGTGCATTGTAAGAAAAGAGTGGTGACTGGGTTTTCAAATCCTAAGGGGCCTAGTGATGTAGTTCAGTGGAGAGCACTTGACTATCATGAAAGAGGCCTTGATTCATCCCTCTAGCATTGAAACTAATTAATGAATGAATGGCCAAACTATAAGGTTTTAGACTCTGTAAAATTCCCTGAATACTTAAGTATACACCAAAAAAGAGCAGTGAAAATCATTAATGCTGCAGAAATGGAGAGGTCTTTGAGAGAAGATGACTGCTGATAATGCCAGCTGATAAGGAAGTGAGTAGGAACCTCTGCGTATTTGTCTCATTTGTTGCTTTTTGTTTTCCCATCCTTGCACTAACAGTAGTCATGGGTTTGCTGCCACCTTTCGCAGTATCTGTCTTTGTAGAAATTCTGCTTTCACTTCTCCAGTAGAAGCAGTTGGGAGAGTTGGAGACTGACAGAACTCTAGTTCCCTTTTATTCACTTGAAATTCGATTACTTGTCCTAGATATCAGTAGCATTGTCCTGTAAAATGAAGCATCTCTTTTCCTAACCAAACTATACATCATTTTATATTAGTGAGTTGGCATTAATAATTAGTCTACCAGTCTAAGCGGTGAAAAATGTTAATGCTTAACTTCAGAATAGCAAATTTAATTTTTCTTTCCTCTCTGAAAATTGTCATTTTACCAAAATAATTGCATTTTGCTGTGACAACAAAACATAATTGATGTAATTTTGAGTAGCTGCAGTTATCTTTAAAAATTATGTAACATTAAATTATAAAACTATGTAACATGAAGCCAGGCATGGTAGTGCACACTTGTAATCCCAGCACTCAGGATGAGCCAGGAGGATCGCTGCAAGTTAGAGGCCAGCCTTGGCCTACATACTGAACTCAAACCCGTCTAGGAACTACACAGCAACACCCTGTCTCAAAAAACAAAACGAAATATTTAGCATAAAGTGTAGCAATTGATAGCATGATTCAGTTGAATTTATTTTCTATAGGAAATATTGTTTGAAGCCATGGTAATATACAAATGACTTATGAGTTTTCCCTATCCTTCTAAAAAGGGACAACTCGGTCCTTATATGATACTGTTGTTGAGACATTTTGAGTAGTGTCTTATTACATGGATTGAAGTACCACAGGAAAGATGTTCTTAATTTGCATTTTTTATGTAGTGATGTCTAACATAGAGTTATCGTTACAGGAAAAAACAAAAAAGAGAAAGAAACATAAGAAACACAGCAAGAAGAAGAAAAAGAAGGCTACTAACTCAAGTCCTGACTCGCCATAATGTTAACAAAAACCAGGATTCCCCCATGAAGAAAGTGCAATGTCTAAGGAAATTTCAACTGTGAAAATTATGATATATTTACTAAAATGCATGAATTTTCCTGTTTTTAGAATTGTTCCTGGACAATTCAATAGCCACTCCGATGCCGCTCAGAAAAGGCCATAGTTGTTGCTTGCTGCTTTAACATCTACTTTTCCTCCTCAGTGTGTGATAACCCGGGAGAGAACACATGCAGTCATGCTCGGAGTTGACATATTTGGGAAGAAAGCTAATAGTTTTGACTAGAAGTATCTAGTGATGAATCTGTAGAAATTGTATCTGGGTACATCTTTAAGATGTAATCAGAAAGGGCCAGATGACTCTAGTTAAATTTTTTAAAGTAGGGATTACATTAATATTTTGAAATCCTTACTCTGTAGATAAGTGTATATTAATCCCCCCCCATTGTATACATTTTATTTACCTTGGGAAGGAGCTTTTAGGGTGGAGGGAGGGGTGGTTTGCTATCTCATTAGCTAGCAGAATAGTGTGCCTTTGATCCTCACACCTCCTGCTTTTGTGGACACAGTAGCCATGCTTCCTGGGGAGGTCAGAGCTGGGTACCAGCAGTCCTGTCCTTTACTGAACTTAATGATATCTGTGGACTTTGTCATATGCTGCTGAGTGAACCAGAGAAACAGCCCTCTGCAGCATGAGAAAGCCCCCAAAGCTCTGGATTTACCTCCACATCAGTAATAACTGAACATTTTTTAGCTTTAGAATGTGTTACGTCATTTGAATTAATTTTTGACTATATTTTGGCTTTGGAGAGGAATTGTTTCATATAAACACTGGTACTTTTTGAACTTAATAGCTAAGATTCTAAAATGCATGTTTTATATATTAAGTTTTAACCAGTCAGGAAAATTTTATGTAACCAATGATAGTTATTTTTTTGTATGAATGTTGTTTAGGCTGCAAATGTTTAGCTTTTGTTAACCTTTTATTCTTACTGTCTCAAGTTCATTGCTATGTTTAATTGCATTCTTGCCAAGATATTTAGCATGTAAAAAGCAGGTTTTGAGTTTTTGTTTTTGAACAGCTTCACATTGAAGCTGAGACTTATAAACAAGTTGAGTGGCAGGTCTGGTATGCTGTATCTTGTCACATAAAGCTATTGACAGAGTCTTAGTAAATACAATGTTTTAAAAGTTTGTTGTCTTTGTATATTAATAACAAATTATGACAAGTTAAATTTAAGTGAGAATTGTATTACTACTCTTCTTGTGTCATATTTTACTAAAATTTTGTGCCTCATATCTTACTGAATTATTAGGAATGTTAAAAGGAATTGATAAATCATTTTCATTTTACATTTTTATATAATCAAGTAATATGAAATATAATTTGATGTACAATTTTGCCTGTTACAGAGGGTATGCTAATTATAGTGGTATATGCACAGAACATTTGGGCATGACAAGAAGCTGAATAAATAGCTATTTTACTTTAAAAATAGCTGTGTTCGTATATCCCTTTAGGTCACAAGAAAGCCATAAAGATAAATGCTATTCATTAGTAGTACATATGATACATCATCAAGTTTTTAGCTGTAAGAACAACACATTTCTTGAGATGTTTCTTTAAATAGTATGCTTAATGCTCCCCACTATGTCCTAACAAAAGATACCTGTGTGCTCTTCGGCACACAGAAAATTTTACATCACATAAATTATTATTCATGAACCTACTAAAATGCTAAAATGTTTATTAAGTCATTGATGAGTTTTTGTGTGAATGTAAAAGTGTAACTTTACAGAATGATTGGGTATATGGTATTTACATCTGGCTAAAAGGAATTGTTCATTAGATTAGGGAGAGGGGAAGAAGTTGATTTGGAAAAACGTGGTTTTTTGTTTTTTGTTTTTTTTTTTTTTTTTTGGACTGGCAGATGTATATTCTTTTTTTTTTTTTTTTATTTAAGAGGAAAAAGAGAAAAACACAAAACAAAACAAAGCAGTGTAAGGTTACACATAATACAGAACTACAAAAAAAAAAAAATAACAGTAAGAAATCACCTGTTAATAGATTACATATTATCATCTTGGAAATAGTTGCTCAAATCACAGTATCAAAGAATACAAAGTAGACATTCAAACAGAGAGACTGCAAACAGCTGTGTTCAATGATCCAAAAACATTAATATAGTCAGCTATTTAACACCCCTATACACACTTGCTGTTATATCCGTTAGAGCTCTTTTTTTTTCCCTTCCTCTCTTTTTTACAACAAAATTTACACATTTTGGATTTTATTACTCCTTAGTTCTTATCACTTTTTGGGGGGGGGGAGAGAATAAAGTCAAATATGGCAAAACAAAGCTGTCAGTCAAAACCAAGGATAGACATAGCACATGATGTAGAACAGAGTACAAGGTTATCAACAATGGTTATCAACGTTGTCTCTTGTTTCCTTAAAAAGATTTGTCTATCTCTTTAGATATTATAAAGTTGGACAAAACAGTAGAGAACAAGACCAATAAAACTTAGGCATTGTAAACATTACAGGACTTCCAAAGGAGACAATAGTCAAACCAGAATGGGCATCTTTGTGAATCTTATTGCCTTCAAAGTAGTTGCCTATACCCTCAGACTTGATACTATCGCACAGAATGGAACAGAGTCTAATCAGTCAAAACAAGATCGTGGGAGTATTACAGGACTTCAAATCAAGTTAATAGGAAATCGAAAAGAAACGTGGTTTTTTTTAACTGAACACAAAACATTGTGCTTGCCAGCCATGTGCTATGCCACTGAGCTATATCCCCAGCCCTTTTTCAGATTCTTAACTCTTGGGAAACATCTTTATTTGTGGTTCCTGTGTCATATTTTACTAAAATTTTCCGGATGATTTTCTAGTCTTCCAGTAAGGTATAGAAATAACATTTGACAACATACTACCACTTATGTTTATCCTATATTTATTGCATTGTGCAAGTTATTAACACATCTCCCTCCACCAAGCTGCTCAGGAAAGCCCTTCTAGACTTCGTTGCAGTCCAGAAAAAGCCACATTTGTAATCCCTTGGAAAAGTTGCTAGAATTCTAGTAAATTAATGCCAGTCTGTTGCTTCCAGTGCAACGCCTGGCAAGAATAAAGACACTAGGGGCTGGGGATTTAGCTCAGCGGCATAAGCGCCTGCCTTGCAAGCAGGCAGTCGTGAGTTCGATCCCTGCTACCGATAAAAAGGAAAAAGACAAAAAAAAAAGAATAAAGACACTAAGGCATATTTGTAGTTGTAGGGAACCAAAGGAGTCCTAAATCCAGCTAGTATGATAGCTAACCAAAACAAAAGCCTTTACACAAGGCTGAACCCAGGTTTTATTCGTGAAGAGGGGAGTAGCTCTGGGATGAGTGACTCTAAAAGTGATAGAAAGTGAGCTGGGCTAGGTCGGAGGCCTGAAATCATCTCTGCATTATGCAGAGAGATGCAGAAGTTGTAGTCTGTATAACACTATTCAAGGCAGTATCTAATGTTTTGAGATGGGTGCTTCAGTTCTGACATGTACTTTTTTATGCCCTGAGAAGTCATAGCCCTGAAAAGTCATCTTTGTCTCAGCATATAGGCCTAGCTCGCACATGTCATTTGGGAGCTGTAGGTGTGGCTTCACTGACCTTTTGCATTGCTTAAAGCCAGTTGAGGGGAGAATAAAAAATCCCGCCCACCTCTGTACATAGCAATACCTGGAAATAAGGCCAGGTTTAGCCAAAATGGAGACAGTTGTTCTTTGAAGGAGAATCATCTAGAAAGTCCCCCACATTTTCTGACTACATCTTTAATTTTTAGAAACCCAAGACATGCTACCTCGGGTAGCACTGCGATAATTCCAAAAGTTGGATGGTTGCTTGATGGGAAAACGTGTTTATACTAGTGCTACTGATTTTTTGTCACTTGAGATTCCTTTGATTATCTACTATAGGTGTTTTAAGTACAATAAAGTATCCTAATTTTATTTTATGCAGAATACAAATTCATATTCCTCCCATCAAGATATATTAAAAACCTATCCCTTAATTTCCTTTTTATAGTAAACAATAAAGTAGTGGAGAAACTATGTGAGTACTGCTGTTCGTGAGACAGTGGCATGTTTCACACTATAAAAATTTGCCACATTTTAACTTTAAGCCCACGGACATTCATTTTATTTTTGTAGGCAAGGTTTTGGAAAGCTCCCACACATACACACTTGTCTTTGCCTTGTTTTAAAAACTTACTCATACTTTTATGAAAAAGTAAGATAGGTGAGGATATAGTTCAATCGTAGGACATAAGGACTGAGTTGGTAAAAGTATTACATCCTAAGGCCTGGGATGCAGTTCAGTGCTAGAGCACTTGCCTTGCAAAGCCCTGGATTTAATCACTGGCACAAGCATAAAAACAAAAAAGAATTTTGCACCCTAAATTTTAAACATTTTGATATTTTTTTGACTTGCGTAGTAAAAGCCAGCACACAGACTGAAAGATGTTATTCTTTACGTGGATTTCCCAGGAGAGGAGTTAGAACAGCTGACACTTTAACCAGCTTCAGCATAGTCACACTATATTCTCTTACTAGACGAATCTAAATTGGAGGTATAAAGAAAGTGAGTTTACTTTCTAGAAGCTCCCAATTGAAGCCTCTGTTTGCATCTCCTGAGTGATACTTAGAGTTAAGAGAGAAGGTTGTAACCTTTGAGGGAACTGTTCATAACCGGGATCCAAGCTTATAGAATAAGGTCATAATAATTTTAGTTACTGTATATTCAAACAAAAACATTTTTCAGTTTTTGCTGAGGAAATAAGTCACAATAATACGAAACAAGATAAACATTGGAATTGCTGTTCCAACTTAACAATGAATGTTCCGACTTGATGAAATTATTGCACACCTCCTTAGTGGTAGTACCCATTGTTACATATTTTTCCAACTACTTGAGGACCTGTTTTGTTGCCAGGAAGTTGCCATGGTCACATTCTATATTGGAGTTGGAATAGTGAACACAAATTAGTAGTAGCTCAGAACATCCAGGCTTGGAACTAGACTTGGGAAGTCTTCAGTGTGCTAAAGGCACATTCAACATGGATCAGGGGACTCTGAGGAAACTGGTGGAATCCATCAGTAAAACTGTCAAGAGCTGTAAGTACTGGGGGCTGGGGATTTAGCTCAGCGGCATAAGCCGCCTGCCTTGCAAGCAGGCAGTCGTGGGTTCAATCCCTGGTACCGATAAGGAAAAAGACCAAAAAAAAAAAAAAAAAAAAGCTGTAAGTACTGATCTGACTTCCAACAGTATCTGAACATGAAATGTTGATGGACATCCTAGTTACATTAATAAGTCCTTGGTAACCCTGAAATAAGAGTCCTCTACTTCTATCAGATATTTTGGCCATTTTAAAAATAGGTCAGCAAGTGAACAATTATGTTGGCTAACACAGGAGACAGTTTAACCATCAGGAATCCTAAAATGTATCTGATGATATGAGACTAAATTGAGAGGTTAGTTATGTAACATAAATAATAGTTATCTTCCAACAAAGGACTAATTTTATTGGGGTCATATTGACATGTAATAAATTTCAAATTTTAAAGAGTTTCCTTTAGCCAGTTGTCTGAGGTTTTCTGGCACAAAACCTGTAATACTGACAGATGATTACTGTGGGGCATTTGTAAAAATGTATAAGATAACTAGATACTGAAGAAACAGTTATGGTGCTTGGCAAACAAGTGTGTGCTTACTAAGGTTAGTTCAGAGCTGGGTGTGATGGCATGGGTGTGGAATCCCAGCACTCTGGGATGATAAGGCAGGAGAAACATTTGAGTCCAGTTTGGACAACTTAACATAAATAAATAAAGTGCATCCTAAGGCTTGGGATCCAGCTAGTGCAAAAGTCATGAGTTTAATCTCCAGTACAAAGCCCTGACTTACAAATATTCAAGTTGCAAACTTTCAAAGGTGTACTGTAAAAGACTAATTTTGTCGAATTACAGACAAATCAAACTTAACAAATGTTCTTCCAGAATGGGACTCATTTAGAAGACTGAACTAGGAAAAGAAAAAGCCCTCAGTGATAGCACAATGCTAAATGAAGCATGGGACCTCAGGCAAATGCACGGCTTGCACTTACACATCCATGAAGCCAGCACACCCAAAGATGAGCATTTACCTTCTCTCACTAGACTAAAAGGCTGTTTTTTGGAAAAGGGACTAGAATTGCATCTACAGCAGCACCATACAATAGAACTTCCTGAAATATTTTATACCTGTTACTTTGATAGCCATCACCCACATGTGGACAGTGACCCCAAAATATAAATGAAACTTTAAATGGTCACATGTGGTTCCTGGTTACAACACTGAACAGTGCAGCTCTAGAGAGCAGTACACTGATTAATAGATACAAATTATGAACTAGAATATAACGCATAAATTTATCTGGAAAATTGTGGTACAACCTGCAATGGTAAGGAACTTTCTTTGTGAGGTCTCTGGAGGTAATCGGCTTTCTGAGGGTCTGCGGGTTGCATAGTTGTAGCTGTTTGGACAAGAAACTTTTGATCATGAGTTCTAGTAAATTATAAAGGTTCCTTCCTAAGGAGCTCTAAAGCCAAGACCAGGAAGAATGACTTCCTGCCACATGGAACAATTAGAATTTCATACACAAAGAGAAATAATAAAAAGATCCCTTCTTGGGGCCTAGGTGGTGGTAGCTGTTAGCTTTCTTCATTACTGTGTATTAAAAACTGAATTCCATTGGTGGTTGAGGAATGATGTTCATGAGTTCAAAGCTAACCTGAGCTGCACAGAAAGACTTTTGTTTAAAACAAAGCAATCCCAGAAATAAGAGGAAGATCAACGTTTGTCCTGGTCTAAACTATGATGAGCTATGTTAAATTCAACAAAAATATTTTTCAATGCTAGGGATTGTACTGGTCTCACTGAGCTCCGTGCCCAGCTCTGACACCTTTCCCTCCTTTTGCTTTTATTTTGAGACAGTCTTGCCATGTTCCCCAACTGGCCTTGAACTCAACATCCTACAGCGCCCACATGTTCTTTAGGCCACACTGTCCATACAGTGTGTCTGACCAGGAGTATGAAAGACGTTTCTACACACCAGTGGTGGCAAACTCATGGCATGCATGCCACAGTGGTTGTATCACTGAAAGTTCTAAAAGATTTGCCATGATGATGATGTATACCATCAGAATCACCAAAAGATGGGTGTTGAAAATGTAATACCACCCCAGATGTGTTGTAGATATCTCCAAGTGGGGCCAGGCATTCAGGATTGTCACTGAAAATACCTATACTAAACTGGAGAATTTTAAAACTATTCCTACTCTTCTCCTATTATTTAATATAATATTTTGGCATATAAAAGTGACTCATTTACTATATTTCTTAGTATTTCCAACTTTAGTTTTCCAAATCTGACATTATTCCAGTTATAAGTGGCTGACAAATACTTAAAATCCCCAGCACCACAAAAACAACAGCTGTGGAAAGAGAAAAATAGTAACTTCAGTGGGACATGTGTGCCACTCTAGCTTAACAAAGAATCAAGGTTAATACAATGACCCTCGTGTCAACACCATATATCCCCTGATATGTGATGAATACACCTCTTAACCTCTCTGGCCTTCTTCCTCAAAACACAACTATGGCCTAATCATGAGAAAAACAGGCAACATAAATGGATGAATATCTCACAAAATCAATTCAAAACTGTCAAAGTCAGGGAAAGTAAGAAAGCACAAAGCTATCACACAATTGTACTGAATCCTAGAACAGTATCCTAGAAGACATTAGTGGGAAAATTACAGAGATCCAAATAAAGCCTGCAGTGTACTTAAAAGTAATGCACCAACATTAGCACAATATTCTGGCTTTGACAAATACTCTGTAGTTACGTAACGTTAACTATGACAGTTTAGGTCTGGAAGGTCGCCCAGAGGCTCTGACACTGAACACTTGGTCCCCAGCTGGCAGTGTCATTGGGTGGAGGTGGAAACATCCTCTCAGAAGGAAGGAGGTTATTGGAAGCATGTCCTTGAAGGGAATTGTAGGACCTTACCCCTTTCCCTCACTGCTTTCTGGCTGCTGTGAAATAAGCGCCTCTTCTATCATCTGTTTTGATTGGACCAAGACACCATGAGCTGAAACCTCTGAAAGTGAGCCAAACTAAATCTTAACTCCTTTTAAACTCATTTTCTTCTTTTGTACTATGACACAGAAGCAATGAACACATTAACATCAGAGAAGGTAAGCGATGTAGCTCAGCAGCACTGTACCTGCCTAGCAAGCACAAGGTCCTGAGTTTGATTAGAAACAGCATGAAAACAGCTGAAGAACTCTGCGCTACCTTTGCACTTCATGTAAATCTGAAATTATTTTAAACTACAAAAATTTCCAAACTAAACAATGCTATTAAAATTATTCTGAACTGCTCTCCATACAGTGCACCCACAATGAACTTTCTGTTTCTTCATATTACAAACAAGAAGGCTTTCTAAGTTTCTTGTAGCCCTCAGAGGACCTGCACCCCTTTTATGACTTCGCTTTGAAGTTTTACAGCTTCATTTCCATTATACACTGTTGACCAAAATTATTATTAAAAAATCTCACTAGTTTTAAAGTGAAAAGGTCTAGCTCACTGTCTCTAAAGAGGAGACTCAATGCCACATTGTAAGAAGAGCATGCGTGATGGGTTAGATTGATAGGATCATCTAGGAAAACACAAATTGCCATACTGGAATTCACCATAAATAACTTCAAGAACTTACTGTCAAAGTGGTTTTCCTTAAACACAAGTCTGATAACAGCCAAACTTTTACTAAGTTCCCTGATTATCAAAAAAGTCAAACAATTCTGCCACCTGGCACAACAAAGCTGATGTTCTTAGAACATACCTGCACGACTGTTTTATCTCTCACCCAGTGTGTAACAGCCATCAAGGCAGGCACCATGATGGATATAACACTAATCTTTACAGCCTTATTCAGGACTTGTTAAAACATGAAATTACACTAAGCAAGGAGCCAGAGAATCTAATGTGATTCATAAAACAGTATTATTAGGTACCTTTGTAATTGCTTATTCTTTAGATTTCTAATCACTACCCTAAAAACCAAGTCACTCTTCTGACCACATAGCAACCCTCATGTTGTAAACTGAATCTGCTCTATATTTGTCCTTGATTTTACTTGGGTAACTTAAAGTCACCTCAAAAACAACTTCTAACACAACTCTTTCCCCTTACCTCCATTATAAAAAGGAAAAAGGAGGGGAAGAAGCAGAGGGAAGCAAAAAATAGTAACCAGCTCTTACTCCTAACTCTAGTTCTTTCAAGTAATCTTTGAGTCACAGAATCAGACTTTTAGAGAAAGAAGAATCTTAGCAATCAATCAGGAAAACACTCAGTTTTTATAAGTGAGGACACTAAGACATAACAAAGCAATTTAGGATGATAAAAGGGAAACCAGATGTTCCCAATGCGCTGTTTAATCCTGTATTCACAACGCTGAGGCACCAGAATCATCTATGCATTTCCATAATTGCGTTTCACTAAGTCTGGAGTGGGGTGTGAGTACGTGAAGATTTCAGTTTTAAAACTGCAGATCTGGTAGTTACAAAGCCTACTGTTTCCTGCAGGACCTCAGGCTCCCTCCCAGCTTTTCTTTCCTTACTCTGCCTCCTTAGCCAAAGCCTGATCACAGCTTTATGCACAGCTTCTAGCTTTCTTCCTCCAGTACAACTTTGCTGGATAGATTTTCCTAAACTATGCTTCCTGCTGTGGTCTCCAGTTCCAAAATGGCTTCAGATTCTGAACCCACAGGGCACAGGATTCAAATGAGCTCTTGTTTTAAAACTATTTCCTGGGAAGACTGTTAGCAATTCTGATTTAGACTTGGGGCAAATCCTGGGAATCTGCATATTTAACAAGCATGAGGTGATGGACAGAGTATCTCATAGGTGGCCCAAAAATGACAGCATGCAAGACACTGCACCTGTACAATAAATGCTAGTCCTGGGGGCAGGCATTCAAGACTACCATCAGCCCACCTTTCCACTCGTCGACTCCCTGCTACACCTCTTCTAGGCCATATTCTATCTCAACCCTAATTCTACCTCTTTCCTTTATTCATGTTCACTTTCCCTAGGACACTCCAGCTCTTTACCTCACTTAACACATTTTTTCCTAAATGAATGCTGTCAAGGGACAGTTCAGAGTTGACTCCTGCCCTGAAAATGTTGCAGTGCCTCTTTCACATACTAGCTTTCTCCTTTCATGCACGTGTACATGTGTGCATGTGTCTGTAGGCGTGTGTGTTACTTGTATTTAAACCCAGAGTCTGCCCATGTCATGCAAGCACTCTACATCTCCAGCCCTTTTTACTTTTTGACAGAGTTTCACTAAGTTGCCCAGGACGAACTTGAACTTGTGTTCATCTGGCCTTTGCCTTTGAATAGCTGGGATTAGAGGCATGAGCCACCATGACTAACCCAATTTCTCTTTCTTCACATGTCTATAGTGATGAACACTGTATTATATAATCTAGCAGACTATATTGCCTTATGAGACTTCTGAGTTAGGCCTGTTTTAACTGTGGGGATTCTTTTTATTTTTCAAATCCATTTTATTTCAAGGAAAAAGAAAGAAGAAAAAATTTCAAAACATGTCAATCAGGGGCAATAATGGTACATACACATTGCACATTGTCATCCCCAAATCATTCACTCAGAGCATTCAATTGTCCAAACAATACCAGCGCAAATCTTTCTCTTCACTGAACTCAGAGAAATCAGTAGTATAACTATCTTAAATTTTTATATACATATATATGCATATACATATGTTGTTACTTTTAGCTTCTCACACTAGTGAGACAATACAATGTTTACATATGTGTGTCTTATTTATTTCACTGAGTATGGTCTCAAGTTGTATCCATTTAGCTACAAAAGTCTCCAGTTATCCTTCTTTGCAGCTTATTAGTACTTCATTGTATAAAAAGATATCTTTCTTGGGGGCTGGGGATTTAGCTCAGCAGCATAAGCACTTGCCTTGCAAGCAGGCAGTCATGAGTTCGATCCCTGGTACTGATAAAAAAAAAAGGTATCTTTCTTATCCATTCACCAGTTGATGGGCATTTAGGTTGTTTAAAAGATCTGGCTACAATAAATTGTGCTGCTATAAACATGGGTGCACATATATCACTGTGGTATGATATTTCAGTTGCTTTGGAAAGATATTCCAAAGGGGAATACCTGGGTCAAATGGCACCCCTAGTCCTAGTTTTCTGAGTAATCTCCACATTGATTTCCACAGCGGTTGCACCAGTCTGCATTCTACTGTGGAGACTCTTAATATGTTAATACATTATGCATATTTTGGTATCACTAGAACACCTAGCATGACAGGGACAAAATAACTGCTTATAAAATACTTAATTGGGTTGAATTAGTGTTTAAATCCGATGTTATTTCTTTTCATTTCACAGTCAAAAAAGGTGAAGTAGAGTGTCTTATAAAACTTTTTCACAGCTTCATGGAAAAAGTTGGTGGAAGATTTGGTAACCTTGGGCTAGATCGTGACACATTTCAAGAGATCCTGCACAGCATATTTGGAATGACAGATGATACACTGATGAACAGGGGTAATAAGACATCATGGAGACTAAACTGTGCCAATTTAAGATGCAAACTATACATGTATTCAATTTTCAATATAGACTAAATTGTTTTCAATGCCACACTAGAAAGTTATAATGCCATCCTTAATATAGTCCTGCCAACTAACAGGTTCTGAATACAAGCTCATCTAGAATTTCTTACGTATAGCTATACAACTTTGAGAAATAATCAGAAATGAACTAAATAAGCTAGAGGTATTGTTTAAAAAATAAGCAGCTCTATTGTTTTTAACCATGTTCTTTGAAATAATACTCTACAGAGAATTTTTTCCTCATAACAATAAGAGAATGCACCAGTCAATGTAAAAAAATGATAATGACTCACTACATTGGAAAAGTAAAGAAAATTATATATTTATTATATATTTAATCCAGTTAGTTTTAGAAACAGATATTTTGGGGTTGGTGGTACATGCCTATAATTGCAGTACTTGGGAGGCTGAGGCAGGAGGATTGCTGAACATTCAAGGCCTGCTCAGACTACACAGTGAATTCAAGGATAGCCTGAATTACAGAGCAAAACTTTTGCCAGGAAGGAAGGAAGGAAGGAAGGAAGGAAGGAAGGAAGGAAGGAAGGAAGAGAGGGAGGGAGGGAGGGAGGGAGGGAGGGAAGGAAGGAAGGAAGGAAGGAAGGAAGGGAGGAAGGAAGGAAGGGAGGAAGGAAGGAAGGGAGGGAGGAAAGAAAGAAAGAAAAAAGAAAAGAAACAGATCTTTAAAGTGTACAATTTGTTAAGTATAACACATGATAAATGGTGCAAATAATTAATATGTCATCATCCCTAAGAAGTAACATTTTAATTGATCTTCCATAGGATAATACTAAATTTCATTGGTAATTATAAAAATTATTTTAGTAATTTACCTTTAGATATTGCAGAAACTTTTAGAACAGTTTTCACTACTCTTTTAGAATAATTTTCACTACTCTTTTTAGAATAAAACTATGTCATTGATCAGCTCTACTGTTTGTCTCCTGGGTTCCTAATACATGTACAAAACACCACAAACACCAGGCACAGTGGTGTATCCTCTAATCCCAGGACTTGGGAGCTAATGCAGGAGGATCAGGAGTTCAAATTTGAGTCCAGACTGGTCTACATAGTGAATTTAAGGCCAGCCTGGATTATATAGTCAGAGCCTGTCTGAAAACAAAACAAAAAACCATAAATGGAGCTCTTACTATCTCATGGAGCAGATTGGTTCTTTTTACTTTAAGGATATGAAGTGAAACATATTTCCAATAACTTTTATCCTTTCAAGAAGATTGATTGTTTAAAAACTTTTTTTTGGAAAACTTTTCTATCCATTTGTGTGTGTATATATATATATGAATATATATGAATTTATATGAATATGTATGTGTGTGTGCTCTACATATTTTTCTTTCAGTGTTTTGCGCATTTGACAGAGACAATGATAACTACATAAATTTAGAAGAATGGATTAGAGGATTATCAGTGTTTCTTCGAGGAACTTTTGAAGAAAAGATGAAGTGTAAGATGGAATTTCTGGCTAATATATATTGTCAAATTAGTATTTGATAAATGCTTGTATTCTAAAAATATGGAATTACTATTTGGTGTAACAACTTTGCAAATGTTGTTCATGACAGCTTGAAACAAAACGAGTGAGGTAAGTGGCCCAGTTTTAAGGTCACTGAAGTCTTCTGTCTCAGCTCATAGGTTCCACAGTGCTCAGGGCCACCAGAATAGGCGTTCTGGCTCGTGGCCTGAGTTAAGGGTCAGGCTCATGCCAACTCTGATCAGCAGGTAACACTGTGGTTTCTGAGGCTGCCTCTTTCCTTAGCAGGAAGTGGGCCTCAATATGAGGCAGTGCCTGTGCTACTTTAGGGCCATTCCTTGTCATTTCATCAAGAAAACAAAAGTGGTTGACATGAGATGAGGCTGCCCACACACTACCTACCAGATACTAATTCTTTACTGTTAGAATTATTTTAGATGATTGAGGAGAGGGAAATCAACAGACTAAAGACAATGCAAGCCCGAAGGAAAGAGTGTTACAAATGGAGCTTTTACCTTAAAAGCAACATTAGGAACTCAGAGACCATAATCACATTTCTCACATTTGCCTAGAAATAGCTCTGGTCTGTCCCACTGGGGTGATGTTCACATGCTTTATTCCTCTGGTGTCAGGATTTTGCGTGAAGAACTCTGGAAAGAACAGAAATAATTTTAAGAAACAGTTTTCAAAGAAACAATTTGCTTTTAAGCAAGTATCTGTTTGCTTAAGGAAAAACTGTAGACTTCTATGTAAGTGACCAAATTTTTAACCATTCTTAATCTTTCATTTGAATTTGGCTTTGGGACATTAAAAAAGAAAATCACTAAAGATGTATTTAAAAATTGTAGCACCATTTTCCGAAATCATCAAACTTCTCTGATATTTGACTTTTTTATTTTGTATTTCCACCCCCAATCTAATTTCTCATGAGATAGCATGTAAGTCATTTCTACTTCAGCTCGCTGCAGTATTTTGTTTTGTGGTACCAGGAACTGAATCCCGACGCTCATACATGCTAGGCTAGCACTCTATCACTGTGTTATCTTTCCAACCTTGTTCACACACAAGTCTCTTTGAGAAGTGAAAAACTAAATTTTGTGAATATGAATCCTGTGCTAATACTAATACTTGGTGAAAGACCTGTGATACTGAATACAACTGTGTATGGCAGAACAGCATCACACTCCTCTATTTACATATCCTAAACTGTTCCCAATGCAGTTGAAAATATGTTGGCGGAGGATATGACTCAGTAGTAAGCATGCTTGTCTAGCATATACAAAGGCCCAGGTTCAGTCCTCAGCAGGAAAAGAAAAAAGATATGTTAATTTGGGGTTAATAATATTGGGATTTTTTCCAGTACATGAGGTTGAACCCGGGGCCTTCACACTAAACTACATTCCCAGACCTTTTGCATGTATTTATTTTCTATTTATTTAATTTTTTAAATTTTGAGTCAGGCTCTCACTAAGTTATTGAATTGCCCAGGCTGTGCTCAAACTTGCAACTCTTCTGCTTTAGGCTCCTAGAGTATGGGATCACAAAGTGTCATCATGCTGGGCCCAAAATTCCATAGTACTTTTTTTTTTTTTTTTTTTTTTTTTTTTTTTGTCTTTTTCGTTTTTTTATCAGTACTAGGGATCGAACTCACGACTGCATACTTGCAAGGCAGGTGCTTATGCCGCTGAGCTAAATCCCAGCCCCCATAGTGCTTTTTGTAGGAAGGCCGTATTGCAATTCCTTTTGCTTTTGAATGGAGAAATTCAACAGAAACACAGTTAGATCTGATTCTCTGGAATTTATTCCTGGCTCTATTGCTTTTGCCGAAACACTGAATTAGATGTAAACCCCAGGAGAGCTGCTCACTGATGTGATCCCAGGATCTGAGGAAGGTCATTTTTGGGATAAATGAATGAACTCCATGCTTACATTGTGAGTTAGAAATCTCTCTCTAGAACAGATTATTAGATAATCTGGATGGTGTCCATGATCAAGCCCTATGGAGATGACTGACTCATTATACAAACTGAGAAAAGTTGTTTTTCAGTGATAGTGAATATTTCACTATGTGCTCGATATAAGCGAATCATAGTGCTGATTCATTATACACATGTATGAGCAAGGCTTTTATTGCTTCATAACATTTTAAACCTCATGATATCAAAATCCAGAAATTGTGTGCCTTTCTCCCCAATCCTAAAGGGTATATTAATTTTGTGGAAAGAAATGTAAACAGGGCTTTACTGTAAAATCTCTCTACCACATAGTGGATTCGATCAACAAATTTAAGGTGAATAAACTGTATTTATCCTTTAGTATCTTATGCTGAAATAACTAAGGAAAAGACTAACGACATTTTAACTGTTCTTTTTTTAAACTGTTCTTATATGTCTTTACACTTCCTGTGCTTTTAAAAGTCTGTTTTGAGGTTTATTATTTGAATGGAGATGGTTACATTTCTCGAGAGGAAATATTCGAGATGCTGAAGAATAGTATACACCAAGACTCACCTGAAGAGACTGATGAAGGAATAAGAGAGTTGGTAGATATAATAGTTACGAAAATGGTAAGAAAGAAAAACTGTAATGCATTATATTCATTCAAGTACATGTTATATAGAGCTAAAAATGATTTCCTTCATAATGAATGTAACTTTTATAAAGGCAGGTGTTTTCTGCTGTGTCTGTTGTATAAACAGTGACTGGCTGGTGTGGGTACTCATTAAATATTTGTAGAATGGCTGAGTGATTAAGTAATCAAAATAAATGTTAACACAAAATAAATGTTAACTATATTACTTTAAAATACTTTTTTTGGAGGGCAAGGATCAAACCCAGGGTTTTCCAAAAGCTAGCCAAGTGTTCTACTACTGAGCTATATCCTTAAGGTATTTTTTATTAAATTTTTATAATTATCAGTACATTTTCAGTACATAACGATTATACTCCTTGCAGGGAGTTGATAGATGTACAAACACATCTAAATTCTTCTTTCATTCTCCTTTTCTTCCCTCCCTCCATTCTTATTCCCTTCTCTTTTGCAAAGGATCTATTTCCTATTAACTATCTTTTATTTTGCTTTTTCTATTGCACATTTCTCATACAAGAGAAACTGTGATATTAAAGCCTGTGTGTTTATTTCACTTAACATTATGGACTCAAAGGTGCATCCATTTTCCTACAAATAATTTGTTTACCCTTCTTTATGGCAGACTAGTAATTCATTCTATTTAAATACATTTTCTTGGCTGACGTGGTGGCACATGCCTGTAATCCCAGCATTCAGGAGGTTACATAGTGAGTTCAACACCAGCCTGAACTATGTAGTGACAACTTGTCTCAAAAACCTGATTATGCATTCATCTGTTGATGGATATATAGACTGTTTCCAAGACTTAGCTATTATGAGCTATGCTGCTACAAACATGGGTATGCATGTATCACTATGTACTGTGATGACTTTAGCTCTTTGGGGAAGATACCAAGAAGAGAAATGGCTGGGTCAGATAGAGTATCTACTTAGTTTTCTTAGGAATCTCTATACTAAGTTTCACACTGGTTGAACTAGTTTGTATTCTCATCAACAGTACAGAAGGCTGTATTTCCACAACCTCACTAGCAATTATTATTATTTGATTTATTGATGATAGCCATTCTTTCTGGATTAAGTTGGAAATCTCGTTTTGTTTTTTCTGAGACAGGGTCTTGCTATGCAGTTCAGGCTGGCCTTGGGCTCACTTTGTAGCCCAGGCTCGTCTTGAACTTGCAATGATCCTCCTAACTCAGCCAGCCTCCCGAGTGCTGGGATTACAGGAGTGCGCCACCACGCCCGGCTGGAATCTTATTTTAATTTGCAATTAATAGCCAGAGATCTTAGAAGCATCTATTCATTTCAGTTACCCATTTAATTGGGTCTTTTATTTTGAGGGGTCTAATTTTTTTTTAGTTCTTTGTATATTATAAATATTGATCCTGGAGGAATAATTGGGTAAATTTTTTTCCCATTCTGTAGGTTGTCTCTTTATTCAGTTGGTTGTTTCTTTTGCTATGCAGAAGCTTAATTTGATATAATCCCATTTATTGATTCTTGATATTTCTTGTGCAATTGGGGTTCTGTTTACAAAGTCCTTGCCTATGCCTATCATCAAGAGCTTTATCTTTTTATTTTCCAGCAGATTGTTTAACATTGAGATCTTTTTTTAATTTTAGTTTGATCCGTTTTAGTGAAAGTATGGCTTTAGATTCAATCTTTTGCACGTGTGTAGCTAGTTTTCCCAGAACCATTTGTTACAGAAGCTATCTTTCCTGCAGTATATAAACATGGCCCCTTTGTCAAAGATCAGATAGCTAAATACACTGGAGGTCATTTCTGCATCTGGTATTCTGTTCCACTGGTCCTTTTGTGTTTGTGCCACTGCTTTTGATCACTGTAGCTTCTAATGTAACTTGAAGTCTGGGATTGTGATTTCTCCTGTTTTTTCCCCTCCAGGATTGCTTTTGCTATTCTGTATCTCTTCTGGTTCCATATGAATTTTAGGAATGCTTTCGGAAGTTCTGTGAAAAATGTTGGTATTTTGATTGCTATTGCGTTAAATCTGTGTATCAGTTTAAAGGTGGCCATTTTGACAACATTGGTTTGTGCCTAGCCAAGAACAGAGGGTAATTATCCTTTCTACAGTACTTATTTTCAGGTACTGTAGTTTTCATTGTATAAATCTTTCATTTCTTTGGTTAATTCCTAAGGGTTTTTTTTTTTTGATGCTATTGTGAATGAAAGTGTTTTCTTAATTTTGCTGAGTTCATTATTGATATATAGGAATGATAATTTTTGTGTTGACTTTTGTATCCTGCTACACTGCTAAGTTTGGTTATTAATTCTACGAGGCTCTTGGTGTAATTTTTTGGGTCTCCTATGTAGAGGATCATGTCATCTGTAAATAATGTAACTTCTTCCTTTCCTACACATACCTAGTTCTTTCCCATGCCAGATTTGTCTGGCTATTTCAAGCACGAGTGATCTTTGTCTTGTTCCTCATTTTTATAAGGAAAGCTGTCAGCTATTCCCCATTTAGTGCCTAACCCTAAAATATGTTAGCATCGAGACCTCATTAACTTGGGTGAGGGAGGCTCGGTTCGATTTATGTAAAATTGAGTCCTACTTTGTCTTTATGACCTCTCCCCTTCAACCCACCTAACTACTATCACAAAATAATAAAAATATTTGACTCTCACAGAGTGCCTACTTCTGTATATATGCCAGGCCCCTCAGAAAACTTCAGAGTATTAGCTCATTTTTGCCTCAAAACAACTGTATCATCTCTACTTTGTGGATGATAAAAACTGGAGGACAGAAAGGTCACTCTAGAAAATGTGATGCAGAAATCATCTCTCAGTAGAAATTACCCGTAGTCCTTCACTGTGAATTGAGTGACTTCTACCTGGTTTTTCACTGTGATCCTAAACTAGATGCAGTGAGGTTTCGTGAATCCAAGGCAGTCCTGACCTCGCTTACTAATATGGCTCCAGCTCAGTAAAGAAACAGAATGGGGACTTTGCAGTCACTACGCAGAATCCAGAGTATCCTCTTCTTTTAAAAATACTTTGGACTAGCTACTGCTACAGCTGAGTACATTTGCCTTCTTCTGAAAGAGTATGTTTTCTAGTACTGCCCACACACTTGTTTTGTAAAAGAAGTGTTTATGGAATAAACCTTTTTCTGACAATGATTAAGGTTTCTCTAGATAACTTTAAGCAACATTGATGCAGTTGTGCCCAAAAGTTAAAAAACAGCATTATCTTATTCAACCCAGTTCAATTAGTCAGCTAAATGCATTTGTAGACTTCAACACAAGCCCCCCCCATCCATGTCATTTTTCATAAGCCCCATCCTGAATGCTTTGCTGATGTACACCCTGCTCCCTATAAGCCATTCTTCTATACTTTCTCCCTACACCTCTACTATCCACAGCTCAGCTACCCTGAAAAGCCCAGCATTTGCCTGCAGGCTTGATCTAATGACCCTAGCCCATTCAAAACAGTTAACTGCTGTAAACTCCTAGAGACTTTTTAACAAGGCAACTTCACTTCAATCCATCCTACCTGATGAACTTCCAAGTATTTGTTCTTCAAGGAACAAATTCTACAAAAATTAAGCTTGACTAACATTGTCTTGTTGACTTACTACTTCATAAAAGGAGCAGAATAACAACAGACTTGGAAAGACTCAACTGATTATATTTTTTGTCATTTTCACAGTTCAGATGTTTTAGGGACATGGCCACATTTTATATAAAGAAAAATATACCTATTAAAATAACAAAATGGCCTCTAAATACACCTTTTAATTTGTAGTGTCTTCAGAAATGCAAACTTTAAATTTTTTTATAAAGTCTTTTAGTCTAGACAGCTGTTTTCCATGGCAAAATTAAAATGACTATGATTTATGAAAAAAAATTATCTTCCTCTCTAGGATTATGACAACGATGGCAAGATATCTTTTACAGACTTTGAAAAAGCAGTCAGACAAGACAAACTTCTCTTGGAGGTGTTTGGGCCATGTTTACCAGAAACAAAGGTATAGTCCTAAGTACTGAAAGCCCACCTGTGTGTATGAAGGCTTTTAATGTATGAACAAGACAAATTTTCTGAGCTGACAGGATCAGCCTAGTGATTGATTTGGCTCATAAAACTTCCTTATCTTCCTTTGATCAACTCTACTTTTCAAACATATGATATGGAAATTTTACTATATGACTTTGCAAATGAACATGCATGTGGTTAAGCTATTCTTTCCCATCTCAGCACTTCATGTAACTTATCCCAAAGTAGCTTATTTCCTATATCTGAGTTTTGCCTGGAAATGACCAGTAAAAACCAATGCATAAGAGGCAGGTTTCCAATTGTAAGACAGCACAGCACAGATGCACTGGAGGAACTCCCAGGATAGAACAGCCAACAGTTCTTATTTTGTGAGAGGGCCTCACTAAGTCATTAAGTTGTCCACCCTAGGCTTGTGATCCTCCTGCCTCAGCCTTGCAGAGCAAAGGGATTAGAGATGTGTGCCACTGTGTTTAAGCCAGCAGTCCTCCAGCTGCACCACAAGAGTTCATTTCCTACTGTTATCTAGAGCCTCATCCTTTGAAATGTGGTCTGTGAACTGGTAGCAGTGGCATTTCCTAGGAACTTGTGAAAAATGCAGAATCTCAGCCACTACACAAAACTAAGTGAATCACATCTACTTTTGTTTTTGTTTTTGCCTGACACAGCTGAAGTTTCTTTCTTGTTACATTCAAATGTTGTACACGTCTGTCAGTAGATATGGGAAGCAAGTAGGTTCCTCAGAGAACAGATGAGAAACCCTCTCATTTAACAGCCATTGCCACTCAACCTGTCAGAGAATTCAAGATTGTCATAAAATACACATACTAGAAAATTTACCATCTTACCCTTTTTAAAATAAACAGTTCTGGGATGGGATACAACTTGGCAGCATAGCACCTGCCTGGCAAGTGTGAGGTCCTCAGTACAGTTCCATTACTATCAACGGAACAGGGTCATGCAACCCATCTCCACAATTCATTGTGCAAAACTAAGTCCACACCCACTTAACAACTCCTCATGCCTACTATATCAGAATCTACATTTTAACAAGACCCTAAGGTGAGATTCACAGCATCCTAACGTCTGAAAAATCTTATTTTTGACAGAATTTGCTCTTTCCAAATCTGTGCTTAGGTCCGTAACTGTGATTTCAATATCCTCCTCATGAGAAAACAGAACCTAAGTCCATGCTTGCAACTTCTAATACTCCCCACCACTTACAGCCATTCTAGTAAATTTTATCAGTATACGTAATAGCTGAAGTAAACCTTACTGACTGAAATATTCAAATCGATTCTTAAGCAAGCTCTAAAGGACAGGGGCAAATGAAACAGACACTGGGAAATATGGGCTGTCTCAAGTTATTCTTATCAGTAAAGAAAATGGAAACCATCTGGATAAAATCAGACTTCGAAATATGTGTTCATTGACAAAGTGTTGATATGCTTAAAGTGTAACGTCAAAGTCTAGACTTTTTGAAACTGATTTTTTTGATAATTATAGATCAAGTGAATTCTGGAAAGTTTTTTTTAATTCATGTAAGTTTCTAATTTCAACTTTGTTGTAATAGTTAATTAACTTTTTTACTTTATAGAATTGTCTTCATTTTGAAGCCCTGGCTTTCAGAAACATCATGACTTACAGTTTTTGAATGTGAATTGCTCAATATTTCTATTAAAATAAGAAATAGATACAGGATGCCTGTCTTTATTTGCATGGTAAAGTTTCAATATTTGCTTCAATTTACATATAATTATAATGTGGAAGGTAGTGTTATACAACATGAACAAAATTTAGATCATACATTACATGAAATTATACAACATGAAGTTGGATGAAATTATAAAATGGTGTGCATTAAAGAATAGTAGCAGTAAAATCTCTTAAAAGAAAATGACAGGATAACAAAGAATAAGTGTCCTTTTCTAACTGGCAAGCATAAGGTCGTGAATTCAATTTCTGGTACCAAAAAAAAAAAAAAAAAAGAATAAATATCTTCTTTAGAAAATACTAGCTGGGCATGGTGGTGCACACCTACAATCCCAGCACTCGGGAGGCTAAGGCAAGAGGATTGCTGTGAGTTCTGAGTTCAAGGTCAGTCTGGACTACAGCAAGACTGACTTGGGGAAAAAAAAGAAAAGAATACTAACTTGCTCCTGCCAATCTATATTCTTCTTCTTTGTTTTAATGGATGACTCGTACAAACAGCTTTCAACTTGTCTTCTGGATGCTTTGGCACAGATGAAATTACCTATTTTAAAAAGAAAAAAGAACCACCAAAACTTAGTTTTTGTAGTGAAGAGTAAATAAATTAGAAAAAATAGGATATACATCTTATTGTCTAGTCCTTGCCATCACTTTTGAGAGCTGGCCCACATGGCCTGTGTTCTAGGAACAGAGCAAAGTTTTCTGTCCAAATATTGTTGGGAGCAAAGTTTCCAAAGCCATTTACCTAAAAAATAAAATTGAAGGGAGAGTAGGAGGTTACAGCATTTTGCTAGCACATCCAAGTCCCTACGTTTGAAACTAAGAACTGAAAAAAACATTTTTTTCCATGGGAGAAAAGTAAACATACTTTCTCCTTTAGCATCTTTAAACAGAGTTTGGGGTGGGAGGGTGGTTACCAGGGACTGAATTTATGACCTCACATATGCCAGACAAGTGGTGAGCTAAATCTCCAGCCCCTTCTTTAAACAGATTTAAAGTTACCTGTTTTGTATTTTTGTTTTTGTTTTTGGATACAAACAGAAATCCCAGTTTTGCATTTTGAAACATAGATAATATCTGATAGAGATATGAAATGTTTGGGAGAGGAATGAAAAGTTTGGATAAACGTGTAGAAAATGGTATAATTCTTAATGTCCTAGGAGAAAAATGGATACCAAACACAACAGAAAAAGTGCACAATAAATCAAAGCAGATGCTGGGGATCTCACTCAGTGGTGTAAAATGTCTACCTAGCAAGCATAAGGTCGTGAGATAGGTCTCTGATACCAAAAAAAAAAAAAAAAAACAATCAAAGCAGAATAACACAGTTATTCAAATATAAAATTATTAGAAAATGAACTAAATATTTCCCTTTTTTTCCGGGTATGATGGTGTACTCTTGTAATCCCAGCACTTAGGAGGCTGAGGTAGGTGGGTGGCTGCAAGTTAGAGACTAGCCTGGGCTACAAAGTGAGCCCAAGGTCAACTGGAACTGCATAGTGAGACCCTGTCTCAAAAAGATTAAAAAAAAAAAAAAATTCCTTGTTTCTCTATGTCTAAGATTTGGACTTTGTTACGGCTGATATACTGTGTCAACTTGAGAAGTTTAGAAATTTAACTAAGAGACTCAGTAGGGAGCCAGGATCCTTCCTTTGTAAATATTCTAAGCCTGTGCAAGAAGAAGGCCTATATAGAGGTGGTGTGAGTGCTACACTCGCTTTGGGAAGTGGGTGGCCTGCTTGCAATATAAGGGAGAAAAAGAGGCTTGGTCTTCCCCTCCTTTGCTCTGGCTGCTTTTGTTGACTGCTGCACTGAAGTATTGCCCATATGCCATGCCAATGTCTTGGAGCCAGCTGATTATGGACTGAAACCTCCACAAACTGTGAGCTAAATAAACCTTTCCTGCCTTCATCTTGGGTGTCAGGTATTTTGTCCCAGCAACCAGAGGAAAAATAACCAAGGCAGACTTTATACTTTGAAAATGTAGGCAGCTCTGAGACAGCTATATTATTTATAAGCATCTCAGATCAGCTATACCTAGGGAAATAAGGTGCTGGAATAAGCTGAAAACTTAAGAAGGCTTAAGCATTCAAAACTACGTCCATGTGCTTTTAGTGTTGTTATTAGTAGGTAATAATTTTCAGATTAAAAAAACTATGTAAAAGAAATGAAATCAGGCTTTTAGCCTCTCTGAATCATGTTGTAAAATTTATGTATAACAATGTGAAAAGCTATTTCTGAACCTTGACATTAGATGTAGGAGAATGGGTATTACCCTCAGTTTATCATTTCTATAACCACCCTTCCCCCCAAAAAAGATATCTTCCCAAAACTAATTCATCAGGAGGTTGAGTCAGGTTTGTTCAGAGTGTGAGGCCAGCCTGGGTTACAGTAATAAGTTCAAGGCCACTCTGAATCACACAGTGAAGAGCCTCAAAAAAAAAAGCTCATTCAAATGTTAATTTTTTTATGCTTGAGACAGAATGATTATGTAAATAATGTTTTAAAAAGACTACCAAGTAGTACAATCTAGTTCTAGTTTTAATTTTTTAAAAACTTTACTTAAAATGCAGACCTTAATGCAATGCAAAGATCTAATCTTTAGAAATCTCACCTTCTTGCATGGCTATTTTTATCACAGAAGCAAAAATATCATTTTAAATTTGACTATGAATTGAAGAAAATTTATATTAATTTTCTTCTTTGGTTCATATTATAACTACTTAGGGTGCTGTTTAAAAAGGGGACCTTTATAACTACTTAAAAAGGGGACCTATTATAACTACTTAGGGTGCTGTTTAAAAAGGGGAACCCACTACTGTGGATTGATAGGATTGATATAACTGACTGAAACCATGTTAGTATTTTTGTATCTAGAATGATATAAAAATATGTTCATTGTTTAAAGCAACAATTATCACCAAAAATAAATATGCCGGCCAAGTTCAGTTCATTTAACAGATTCTTTAGAAACCATACCAAAAAGTAAAAATTCAAAAAACACAATTCTACCATTCCCACAAATAATTTTCCATTTAGTTATCAGTCCTAGAACCAAATCATCTTTTAACATTTTTTACCAAATAATCTCACCTCTTTAAGTTTATTCCGAATTAAGTTTGCTGATGTATTCAAGGAATCGTCTTGCAGATCCACTTTAGGTATGTCTGGTAACTTAGGCCCAATCATGACCTCATTACTGCTTGTGCTTGCTTCAAAAGTTTCAAGTTTGCGATCATCTTCTCTTCTTCTTTTCCGCTCCTGCAGCTGTGTTGTCCTAGGCATAAATCTGTCAATTGCCCCTGAAGGATTAATGGCTTTTTGTGCTCCAGAACAGGAATTTTTAGAAGTGGTTATCTGTGTTTGGAGTGAAGAGTCACTGTGGATACAGTGTTTCATTGCTTCACTGTGGTCTCTACCATCTTTATAGACATCCGATGCTCTGTCTACATGCTCCCCAAGTGAACATGCAGGTTTTGAGGCAAAATAACATAAAGGCAATTCACAAGAATAAGGAAACTGAGGATTTTGGATCCCAGGAGGTGTGTTCAGAGTGGCTGCATAAAATCCAGACACATCGGAGTAGAGGGCCTGTCTAAAATCTTCTGTGTCTTTATGTTCTGGAACCAGTTTCTTCTTAGTCATGTAATAGTCTTTTTATATTACAATTTAAAAGTTGTGGAAAAGGAAAACAGAAATAGTTTACTATTTTTACCATTTAGAATCATGTAATTTAAACCACAAACTGAAAAAAATGTTACCAAATTCTACTCCAAGTTTTTCTTTTTCTTTCTTGGTGGGGGGTGGAGTTTATCCTTGCAGTATACATCAGGATAGCCTCAAACTCACTATGTAGCCCAGGCTAGCCTTGAACCCATAGAAAGTCTCCTGTTTCAGTCTCTCAAGTGCTGGAATATCATGTGCCACCACACCTGGCTAGTGATTTTATTTCTTGAGCAGAAATGTATTGATGTCATATAAAGGCCTTTTAACAGGATAAAAAATGTACTTCATATCAAAATTCACTTTTTTTTCACTCCACAGGTGTCTTAGTTTTCTATGTCTTTTGTGTATTCACTATTATTTATGTATCCCGTGTCTTACTTTTCTTAATCCACCTGCCCCTTTTTTTCTGTAACTCCAAAAGCAACCTGCAACATACTTCTCTGTACCTCTGATCCACTCAACTGCAGATTTTAGAGTCTCCCCATGTCACTACCCAGAAAGCTTTTCTTTTTAAAGCTTCAGAACTCATATATTACTATATGAGTAACATGTTGTTTAGCTTAATTAATGCAAACATGCTGGGTGCTCTTTTAGGGTCTATACTAGTCTCTTGCCTGATTTACCCTTCCAGAGGCAGACTGTACCGCCAAAGTGGGATATGGAAACTTGGGATAACCAACAGCTTTCTTTTTCCAGGCTAGCTTATGTAGACTGCTACAGAGAGCCCCATGATTTAAGTTACTGAACACTGTGATCATTTACTTCCCTGTCACACATCTACACAGGGCACTACCAAGGGTGTATGTTGCAGAATGCCTGACACATAAGAAGTGTTTAGTAACAGGATTTCTATACCTTTATTTTTAGTAGTTCGTGCTATATAAGCCTTTCTCTCTTCTAATTTTTTTCTAGTTTCTTCAACTGTCTCAAATTCTGGAGCATAGCAAACATGAAGCAATCCACCAAAAAAACTCTGCTCATCCATTTTTCTCTTGGCTATCCTAAACAGAAACACATAATAATATGGTCTATTAATATAGATATGGATATGCTGCTGTCTTTAATAACAAATACATAAAAAAGGAAATTTTGTTACTTATACACATCAACTATATTATGTATAATGGTACTTGGTTCATGAACTTAATTTGTTCCATGATTCTAGAAAAAGCCATGTTCACATTCATGTGCGAAAGATGGCTGCAGTTGTGTTCATTATCCAATGCAGAGCTTGTAAAAAAAAATAAAAATAAAATTTTACTGAATGTTTCTGTTTGTAAACCAGACTGTTTGTAAACAAAAACACTTGGGAACTGAGATACCCCTGTATTTTATATGAGGCTAAAGTCTTTTCCTCTTCACTCAGTGCAACCCAGGCATACAAGTTTTGTCCAACCTGTGGGCTGCTGAATGGACACCCAAGCTGCATGCTTTCCTAATCATGAAGAGCTGGCAAATTGGTTAGGAAAGTGAAATCACATAGAAGAGCTATATGATAAGAACATATAACTCCATAAAAACAAGCGTTTCTGTGGCAGAGTATGACAGCTACTCGCAGCTCAGAAGAGAAATATAAATGGAAAAGAGTAGGGAAGGATAAGTCTAAGGTCAGATTAGAGACAAGAAAAGGGATCAACACAAAAATCGATAAGTCATTGTATACTCTAGCTTAATGGCTTATGATAGGTAGATGTCAAGAAAAGATGGAGCTAATTTACATAATAGGAAGTACAACAGCTAAAGTTTACTGTAGTCCGAACAGGAGGCATTATTGTAAGCACTTTACACAAATTATCTCACTTTAGCCTCATATCTCAAGAAGTAATTTCAAAATATGAATTCTTTTTGTTTGCTTTTTTTTTTTTTTGTCTTTTTTCTTTTTATCAGTGCTGGGGATCAAACTCACCACTGCCTGCTTGCAAGGCAGGCGCTTATGCCGCTGAGCTAAATCTCCAGCCCCTCAAAATATGAATTTTAAGAAAAGAAAAAAATAGGCTTAGCCAGGTTAAATTACTTGCTAGTCATGAAGCTAGTAAGCAATACTAGAAAACATACTCTACATTCAATTTTTAATCTGCCATACTATAGGATAGCAATTGTTCAGCAGGGGAACAAGAGGATGGAAATAGTGGTTTGGGAAGTTAGCCTTTTAGAAGACTGCAGGAAGGTAAGAGTAATACAGGGCCACGTTAAGTTTCTGGGAATTCAATAAGAAAAACCTGAGGCAAAAATAATAACAATAGGAATGGAGGAAATGTGATAGTGCTTAAATTGCACATTACCTTGCATTTTGTAAATTCATAAACTTAATAAGATAAACTTCCGTAAAGTCTTCTGCTGGATATTCATCTAGAGCATTATATTCTTCAATTGTACCATAAAGGGCAAATCGCTCAACTAATTCCTTCATTGCTCCCACTGCAGGAACTCCTTGTACCAGTAAGTATCGGGATTCCAAATTGATCGTATAGACCTAAACAAAATAAGACTCATTAAATGTATTTCGCGAATAAATCTAGGACAAATTTGTCCTTATTTTTGTTTTAAACAAAGCACTTCCAACTGACCTGTATAAAATACACAAAGTATTTTAAAATGCTACATGCTCTCCATAAAGAATAACATATACGTGTGAAGATATCTAAAACATTCAACAGACTACTCTCAAGTTGACATTTTTTTCTAGTAGTTGGTTCGGTATACATTACGGGGAAGTCACTCAGGTATTCATTGAGCACTTATATATCAAGCATCGCTGTAAATACAGAAAATACATAGAGTAAAAGACCTGTTTATGCACAGTGACGTTCTAATAGTAAACCAGATGGCTAATAGCACCCCTTGGTGTCTACGCCAGGGTTCCAAAGAAAGATGTATCTGACAGCAGTCGTGCTATTCCTTTATATAGGCAGGCCAAGGGGAGACCAGGGTTCACATAAAGCTACCGAAGATAACAAATGAACTGAAGTCACTTTACCTTGACCGCACGAGGCCGTCGGCCCTCTCGATATTTCGCCCTTGTGTCGCAAACGGCCCTCTGGACGTGGTGGTCAAATAAACTTCCAAGCTGCCCGTCACCCGACGCCATGTTGTCTGCTTTAGCGTCACAGGGAGAACAACATCCGCCTTGCCACCCTACCGTTTGTCCAATTAGAGAACGGGATGGGCCAAGGCATTCCAGGATTGGCTAGAGAATCGACGGCATCGGCCATCGTTTCCTCAAAGCGAGACTTCGGTGAATACTGTGTGCTGCCCCCCGGCGGCTCGGAGGAATGGATCAATGAGTGGCAGAGTCTTGCTTGTCCCTCCAGGTTACGGGTGTGAAGGGCGTAGTCTCGGGGAGGGGGCGGGGCCGCAGGGGGCGGAACCGATGATCCTTTAGGGTTCCGACGCGCTTGGCCTGCTGGGTTAGGGGTCCGACAGCGCTCCCCCGCGGGTTTTCTCGGAGCGGCGCTTTGGGGAGATGTGGACTAGCGACCGCCTGGCGGGGTCGGCGGCCGACGGGGTGGCGGTGACTGTGGCCTTCACCAACGCTCGCGACTGCTTCCTCCATCTGCCGCGGCGCCTCGTGGTCCAGCTGCACTTGCTGCAGGTAAGGCGCCGGCCGCGGACGACTGACGGCAGCTTGGGCTGGACAGAGCCGAGGCGCAGGGGCCGCGCGCCTCCCGTGCAGCCCTTGGACCTCATCCAGGTCGTGCCACTCGATCACGCCAGGCTTTGAGACACCTTCGTGCGCTAGTCCTCACGGCGTTCTGGAATATTCCCCGTTCCGGGATGGAAAAGCTCTCGAGAACGCGGGTATTTTTGTTATTCTAAAAGTGTGGGGTTTTTTGTTTTGTTTTGTTTTTTTCTTCGCGATTTCGAAGTCTCCACGGCTGCTGCTGTCGGCCTCAGCCCAGGAGGGCAATAGGAACTAAGCGCCGCGTCCCGAGCGAGAAGGGGAAATAAAAGGACTGCTGTGGCCCGCGGAGCTGTCCCTCCGGCTCGGGGTGGCCGGCGGGTTCTGCGTACTTGCGCTCCGCGGTTGAGGCTGCGTGGATCCCGCAGTAGGACGCCCTCTGGGGCTTGGAGGTTGTGGTGCTTTACAGTTGTGGCTACTGGTGTAGATACAGCATCCATATTTTCATAGTTAAAAGTACATGTAACTTGGTCTCAGGAGTTGAAGTAGGCTATCGTGGCAAAATTATAAAATATTTAAAATACAAATCGTGGATGCATGATGTCTACCACTGCCTACTCCGAACAAGAAATATGTAAAAGTTTGCAGGAATGCCGAGAATTCCACCTTTCCTCTTTAACAACTACTTTATTTTTATGGTTTTTGGACAGTCTTTCAAAACATACCAAATTCAACAGAATCCTTCCACTGTTATTGCTATTATTTTTAGCCATTAAGCAGTCTTTTGTTTATAAGCTTTCCTGAGACTCCCAACGAGTCACTTTCGCCAAGTTCGCGGTAGAACCTGACTCAGTGCTTTGTGAGCTGATGAAGATTTTCAACATACTTTTGAATTCAAGCATGAGTTTATCAGAATGCTTCACTACTGTAATTCTAGTAATTTGACCTAATATGTGGTGATTACTTTATTCCTGTCAAGAAGAATTCATAGGCATTAATTCATGGAGATCTTTCTGAAATTTAAATGCTATTGGCCCTGGAATAAATCACTATTTTTTTATCAGCAGGATAGGCCACCTTTTTCTTCCAGCCATCAGTTATACATGTGTTTCATGGAAAAAATTATTAACGAAAACGGCAAAGTTACTCAGAGACATAACTACTATAACAGTTTGGGGCGATTCTTCCAAGTTTTTTTTCTAGTTTTTATGTTTTAGTGTTCTATATGCACACACACAATGTTGTGTTCATATAGTGAGTTGTTTTGTTAAAGTCATTGTCTTGTAGTGAGTATTCAAGCACAAACTCAATAATTTATTCACTATCATTGACCATTTAGATTTTATTCAATGTTTAGAAATTGAGTAATACAATACAGTAAATTTTAATGAAACATTAAAGTACCAATCTTTGTTATAAAACACTGTTTCATTGCTGATTATGTAGAATAGATCCCCAGAATCATTGGATTAGGGAGCATAAAAGGCTTTGATTGTTGGGAGTTAATAGGCTGAATAATTTTGTTTGGGCTGAAGCCTTGAATACATGATGCAGATAATCCAGTAATGAGAAGAAAGGTTTTAACAGTGATTTTTCTGGCCTGTATCAGCTCCCCTAAAGTTTTTAAGGGTACTGATGGGTCCTTCTTTGGATCTACTGAATTGCAGTATTAGGGAGCAGACTTAAACATATGTACCTTTTAAAATATATTCAGGCTACTTGGATGCATAAAAGAGTTAAGATCCACTGTTACAAAACATAGAATGTTAGTAGTGAAAGAACTTTAGGACATTAGGCATCTACATCATTCCCCTGGGACTTTGAAACGTAAGAAAACTAGTACTCTTAGACTTGTACCATTTTCTCATGCAGCTAATCTGCCTGCTTGTCTGTAGCTCACTGTCATCCAGCCTGTACCTTTTCACAGTTTGTTCTTTAACTTATCTTATCTCCACTTCTGTTCTTTTGCTTGTGTCATTCTTTGTGCCATACTCTGTGACTTTACAGCAGTGCCCACAAAGTTTTCTAACTCTGTTGCCTACATTTATCTCCTTTTCAAAACATCACAATTCTTTTTATATAACACATCTGACTTGCTGCCCCCTGTTTATGTTTGAAGTATTATCTTCTCTTGTCAGCTCAAGTCCTTGAGGACTGAGTACTCAATACAGGTTCAGTTTAGGGTTTTCATTCTTGACGCCTTTGTCATTTTAGGTTGGGTAATTATTTTTTTGAGGGGGTGTCCTGTGCACTATCAGATGTTTAGCAGCTTCCTAGGCTCCTATCTATTAGCAGATTTCCACCTTAGTTGTAGTATATGACATGCCATGGTTTGAGCCAAAGGAAGAAGTTCCATGTGTTTACTAATTAAACTCCTAAAAAAGGGACTCCTTTTGTGGTCTCTCTACCTGAAAGGCCAGGTGCTCTATGGTTCAAGTGGAAAAAAATGTGACATAACATCAAATTTTCAAACTTGAATGAAGTTGGCCAAATCTGAGCATAGATTATGTATTTATGGGACTAGTTACTACAGTTTAACCAAATAAATAATTGAAATACTTATCTGTTTAATAAAATTGATTATTCCTGTTTCTAGTGAATTGATAAATATCTGTCCTTTGACATCAGGGCTAATTTCATATTTCCTCTTTTAATATTCTGGTTTTAAAGGTTTCCTCATACAAAATAGAATTGGTCTGGATTGTAAATTGGCTGATGAAATCCTGTAGAGAGCACCTGAGGGCTTGTTTACCTTTACTCTCAAAATTTAGCTTACACAGTTACAACCAAGACAGTAATATAGGTTTTTGACTATAAATTCAGTGCTCTTTTTAGTTTATCTGATTGCACAAGGATCTCTCAGATCAGAGCCAGAACAACTGGACTGTTCCATGAAAATTGTGAGAAAAAGTACACAACTAAGTGATACATAATGACTGTTATGGATTAAGAACTGGTAGTCAACTTAATGCCAACTGGATTACATCAATCAGCATGGTGCTGAGAGGAGATGTTCCACCTGAGGAAAGTTGCCAGCATAAATAGAGACGTGGAGAAGAAGTTATTGCGTTGAGGCATTGAGACATTGTGGGTTCTCCTACGTGTTGCTGTTTGAGCCTTTGGTTCCCCTGGAGAAGCTCTGGTCCTCATGTCAAGCATTGCTTCCTGGCTCCAGAGGGAAAGATGTGTGCCACTTGGTCTCCCGGATGAATTTATCATGCTGGTTTCCTGGCATGCACTGGACTGTGTTTGTTGGAGGAGGAGCTCAGGGTCTCCATGTCGCTGAGGATGGCTGTGGTGCTTTTCAGGACAGCCCTGGTTGTTGTTGTGAGTGTGACTTCTCAGCTCCAGCGTAAAACCCTCAACCCAGCAGCACAGCTCCTTCACCCGCTGACATGGACTTTCTCACTTTCACCGCTAATCTTTGGGCCTTCCCAGCACAGATCCGTAAAAGAGACTTGAGTGAGTCCTTCTTGTGGGCTCTAGACCTCCAGTTGGACTCATGGGGGCATTGTCAGGAGCTCTGGGTTTTCATCTGGACTCATGTGGGACATGAGTGAATGCCCTTGATTCAATATTCTATGTCTTTGATGTTGCAGATAGATTTCCTACAATTTCTTGTGTTAACTCTGAGTGACCATCATAAAACAATATTGTAAACTCCATGTCCTGATTTTATTTTATTTTATTTTATTTTGTCTTTTTTTTTTTTTTTTTTTTTTTTTCATTTTTATCGGTACCGGGGATCGAACTCACGACCGCCTGCTTGCAAGGCAGGTGCTTATGCCGCTGAGCTAAACCCCCAGCCCCTCTGATTTTAATTGTTCTGTGCACATTCCCTGACTACAACAGTGATTTTCCTGTATACAAAATTTTAAAAACATGAATAAATTTTTTTTTATCAGTACCAGGGATCGAACTCGTGACCATGCGCTTGCAAGGCAGGTGCCTATGCCACTAAGCTAAATCCCCAACCCCTTAAAAAACATGAATAATTTCAAGTGCATAATTTTGCCTCAGAAGTAATCCAAAGTCCTTTAAACTTGGTCCAGTTTAAAGAATTGTAAAGAATCATAGGATAGTAAAATTTGGTGTAAATGAGTGCATTTGATGACCTAATATTTGAAGTTTAATGAATTTAACTTGACAAGTAAATGGATTTAATAATACTGAAGCTTTCTGAGATTATAGTCTTGAAGAGACTTGTTAACAAGTTTTTTATTTTTTCTTAATGTTCATGATGCAATATTAAGTGGGAAAAAAGGATGTTAAATTTTCTTTTAATGTACAACTATGCAAAAATTAACTTGTGCATAAAGAAAAAGATTAGGAGGAATTACAGTTGTCCACATGGTCATTTTTTTGAGGAGAGCGTCGATAATTCCTTTTTTCCCTCCAACTTCATATATTTTCCAAGTTTTTATAATGAGTAATGTTTTAGTCTTAGAAAAATTTTAGTCATTGTACACAGACTTACCTATTTTATATAATTGCTTTTAATGAAAATAAATGTTATATATTGCTTTTTAAACTTATAAATATGTTTCCATAATTGTGTGGCTTTTAAAATTAGTTAAGAAGCTGAGTAACATTTCTGGAAGGGCACACAAGAAACTATAAATAGTACTTACCTCTGGGAATAGTGACCTGCTATCACATTTTGACTGTTTTTTGTGTTTTTACAATGTGCAATTATTACTCTTTTGATCAGTCAATATTAGAGATTGCATATTTTATCTTACTGTGTTATAGTTCTACAACTTGTTTCATTTTAAATATTTTTACAGTAATATTCTTAACTGTGAATGCCACATTCCAAAGCTTCCCTGGATTCCTGAAGTCAAGGATAGTACTGAACCCCATATGTACCATGTCTTTTCCAGTACAGACATACACAAAGATGATAGCTTTTCCACCTTAGCTAAACACTTAGGCACTGTGGCTGTAGCTTTTACAGTTTGAGATGTGACAGCAAGACTAATTGCTTCTTTTTCCCTCACAGTTTCATAGACAGCAAATACATTCTTACTGTAGGTCTTAGCAATTTCAGCATATGATTCTTTTTTCCTTAATGAGTTGAGAATTTTTACCTTTTCCACTTCACAGCTTCTCTTTGGCGGATCTAGATTGCCAACATTAGTTTTGTGCTGTGGGCAAGTTCAAAGAAGAGTTACTTAAATACAAACACTGTGATGCTGTGATAGTCAGTCTGATAACTGGGACAGCGGGGCCGTGAATAATGAACTGGTCACAGACACAGCATAGATATACTGTACAAAGGGATGAGTCGCTGCCCCAGTAGAGCAGGACAAGACAACAAGATTTCCTCATGCTACTCAGAGAACAGTACAATTTAAAACTTGCAGATTGTTTATTTCTGGAAATATCTGTTTAATATTTTTGGACCACAGCTGACTATGCATAAGTGAAATTTCAGAAAGCAGAACTGCAGTGAGGAAGGGATTCCTGTGCTTACTGAGTTCACTGAAACAGTGTATTTTAGTTAATTTAATAATTTCTGTATTGATACACATTTAAGATAGTCCTGAGTGTTCACTATTACAGAAAATACTACAGATATCTTCTGGTAGTTTGTTTTTCTCTTTCAAATCATTAATTTTGAATATTCAAATATATGGCTCAAAGACTAAATTAGTTTGACTACCTATCGCCATTTGGGAGAATTTGTTTTTTGCTTTTGTGGTGCTAGTGATCAAACTCAGGCCCATGCTTATATGAGCAGCTACTCTTCTACTGAGCTACATCTCCCATGCCTTACTGCCATTTTGAATTCTGAAATGCTCCAATCAGTTTATGTGTCATAAGAATATAAGGGTATTAGTTTGGTGCACAGCTTTACCAGCACTGGGTTTTTGAAGTGATTATGCTATACAAATGTTGATAACTGAAACTTTCTGATCACAAGTTTTAAATTTTGGAGCATTTCAGAGTTTGGATTTTGGAATAAGGATGCTTAGCCAGTAAAGCCAATAAAGATACTTCTAACAATCTGTAGGACTGTTTTTGTGTGTGTGAATTGCATTGATAGTTTAGATGAGACCATGAAAAATGTCTAAAACCTTTAAAAATCTTTTTCCTCTCCTATTTCTTCTATAAATAGAATCAAGCGATAGAAGTCACCTGGGGTCTTCCGCCCGCATTCTTGAGCTGGGTGGAGGGCAGGCATTTTATTGATCAAGGTGAAAATGTAGCTGAAATTAACAGACAAGTTGCCCAGAAACTTGGACTTTCAAACGGGACACAGGTAAGCACAAATATGATGACAATGACTTTCTTCTAATGTTACATAATATGGCAATGGAAATACAAACTCAGGTTTTTAAAGAAATTGAGATGATGTCCAACTTACATATATATTATTTTAACCAATCTAGGATATTCAAATGGACTATACTTTGTTGCTAGGTCTGTATTTTGTATTCTGTTTTACTAACTTTCCAGATTCCCTAATTTTGTTTTTATGAAATCACTTTTTCCTTTATGACTGGGTTTTACTTACTATTACTGAACTGAATTTCTTTTGTTCTTACATACCTTTTAATTTCCTGTAATCTTACTTAATTAAAAATACGGTTCTATATATAGTCATTCCTCAGTATCTGTGGGAGCTTGGTTCCAACATCCCCATGGAATCTACAATCTGTAGTTTCTCATGTCCCTTGTCTAAAGTGGTACAGTGTTGTGATTGCATGTATGTATAGTTATACTGTTAAGGGAATAATAATAACCAAAAGAATCTATGCATATTTAGGGCAGACAATTATTTTCCAAAGTATGTTTTATGTATGGTTGATTAAATCTGCAAATAATGGAACCCACAGATACAGAGGTGATGTTACAAACAATATGGATTGATTATCTCCCTGTAATATTGATGCTCTCTTGCAGCAGTGTCACTAAAATACTGTCTCCCAAAGAATCATTCATAAGCTCAGAAATGATCGGCCTAACCCAAGAGTCCTCAGATTCTCATTGAACAGGAGCAGCTTTGTGCTGCCTTACATTCCTGTTTATGCAAGTTTGTTATCTCTCCCTTGAAAAGCTTAGAGCCAGAAATACTTCAGATTTTGGAGGTTTTTTTATTTGGGAATATTTGCATTGGCTTTACTAGACATCCTCTATCCAAAATCCAAAATCTGAAATGCTCCAGAACTTAAAACTTGTGCTCAGAAAGTTTCTGATTTCAGAGCATTTTAGATTCAGATTTTCAAATTAGGAGTACTTAACCTGCAAACAAATGAAATCCTTAAAACTTGAATTACTAGTTCTGGGAGACTTCTATTTTTATAATTTCAATGGAGGAAGAGACATCACTTTTTGGTACCAGTTTCTCTCAGCAATCTGTCTGAGTGCACATCTTTTCAGCTAGTTCCAGGCACAGACTTTACCTGTGTTTTGATAATGAGAATGGGCCATTCTTGAGAAATCTATAAGCCTCTTATTTGTCTTGCTTACTCTAGGTTTTTTTCTAGATTTTTGTCTTGTCTTTTTTTTTTTTTTGCAATTTTTTTTATTTAAAGAGAAAAAAGAAAGGAAATAAAAAAACAAAGCAGTAAAAGGGTACAAGCAATACAGAATTTCAAGAAAAAAAGATCAAGTCAGATCAAGTCAACAGGCCACACACTGTCATCTTAAAAACAGTTGTCCAAATTACAAAATCAAAGCATACAAAGTCATCCAGGGCTGGGGATTTAGCTCAGGGGCATAAGCGCCTGCCTTGCAAGCAGGCAGTCGTGATTTCGATCCCTGGTACCGATAAAAAGGAAAAAGACAAAAAAAACCAAAGTGGACATCCATACAGTGAGATTGCAGAACATTCTGTTCAATGATTCAACAAAAGCTCAGTAATATGGTTTTCTATCCTACACACTTAAGTATACATGCAGTTATATCCTTTAGACTACTTTCTTTTCCTCTCTTTTTTACAATAACAATTACACTTTTTGGGTTTTATTACTCCCACAGTTCTTATTACTTTTTGTTTGAAGAGAATAAAACCAAACGTGACTAAACAAAACAGAGTCAGAACAGAAGGATGGGCATAGTACATGATGCAAAAATAGAATACCAGGTGATCAAAAATGGTTACCATTGTGCCTCTTGCTATTTTAAGAGTTGCCTATATCATCAGGTATAATAGAATTGACCAAAACAGTACAGAACAAGACCAATAAAACCTACACTGGAGACCTTACAGGACTTCAAAAGAAGATAATAGTCAAAGCATAATGGGCATCATAGTAAATCTTATTGCCTTCAAAGTGGTTGCCTATACCCTCAAACTTGATACTATCAAACAAAATAGAATATAGTATAGTAAAATTAGACAGAACAAGATGGGGAGAGCAATATTGGGGTTCAAATCAGGTTAATAGGAAAACAAAAAAGTTACTATAATATATCCTACTATTTTTAATTTAGTTTTCCCTTAATTAAAAAAAAATAAGAAAAAACATTAATTAAAAAAGGGGGGAGGGATTTAGCTCAGCGGCATAAGCGCCTGCCTTGCAAGCAGGCAGTCGTGAGTTCGATCCCTGGTACCGATAAAAAGGAAAAAGACAAAAAATAAAGGGGAGGGGGGATTGAGATAAAAGAGGACATTGTAACAGAACAACACAGATCAGAACTGAACAATTTAAGCATCATTGTCTTGCTGTGCAGTTCAGGCTGGCCTTGAACTCACTTTGTATGTAGCTCAGGCTGGTTCGAACTCAGCATTCCTCCTGTCTCAGCCTGCTGAGTGTTGAAATTATAGGCATGCAGCACGAAGCCTGGCTTCTAGAATCTTAATATTTTAATACCAGAAGGGTCTTAGAAATCAGTAACTTTGGTGCCTTGGTCTATAAACCTGAGCGGGTAAAATATATTTGCTTATGATTGCACAAGTTTCAATTTAGCTTGCTCTGAGTATGTGGCAACTTTCCTATAGGCAACATTGGCTTCCTATTGATTTTGATGTCTTAATTAGTACACTAAACAGTTCTACTTGTTTTTACTTCCTATTTGCTTTTAAGTGACCTTTCTCTTTTTTTCTGAAGATCCTTTAATAGGAATGGAGAATAAGGCTGCTGTAGACAGTCACTTTTGTTTTTGTTTTTGTTTTTTTTGGTGCCAGGGATTGAACTCATGGCCTCGCGCTTGCCTGGCAGGTGCATCACTCTTTCAAAGAAGAGGGGAAATGGAGGTACTGAGAGAAGATTCACAATGACTGATACTCAGTGCCTTTGGATATTATTCCCTTAATCTTCAGAAATGTCTGTCAGAGGGAAAAGAGAGTAAAAGTAGACTCCAGCTATTGTGATATGCTAGTATTTCACATATCTGTAGATCATAATGAGAGGATATTTGTTTTATTTACTTTTAGCTGTGTGAAGGATATGCCAAAAATAATTGTCTCTGGTCTTTATTTCAGTGTTTTTCACTTTCCCAGAAGCAGCATGGCTTGAAGTTAATTATAAAGCTAACAATTGTGAAACTTCCTGATAGAGTATAAACTCAAGACATGATTTGAAGGCAATCATTTTTCTTACATATTAAAGCTTATAGTTCTTTTTAAAATATTATCTACATTTGTTTTTTAAAAACATATGCCAGAAAGTATTTTCTGTATTCTATAACTAGATGTGCAACACTTTTTTCTAAAATGCTGAATACATCAAGGCCTAGCTAAGAATAAGCACTTAATATTTGTTGATTTAAAGACCAGCAGCACACAATCATACACACACAACTTACCTAAAGAGAGAACTTTGTGTTTTCTAGGGTTATAGAATAATCTTTTGAAAATAGTTTTAAATTTTTTCCAGGTATTTCTCAAGCCATGTTCTCATGTGGTGTCTTGTCATGAAGTTGAGGTGGAACCCCTCTCAGCAGATGATTGGGAAATACTGGTAAAGGAATAATAAGAGCTATTTCAGTTTAAGGATAAAATACTTCAAAATACTATTATCTTTGTATTGCTCTGAACTTCACTGTATATTCTGAATTGATTTGAATTATTAGAATGGGTATGATCTAATGTATAACATGAGGAGTATGCATTTAAAAATTGTACTGTATCTGGAGTTCATGCGAAACAAGTTTTTAACTGCTCTTACCAGAAAAATTTTTTCAAAATTGGTAACTGGGTGATGGATAGCTACATTAATTTGCTTTTTTACTATCTCTGTAGATCCCACAGTGTCATGTTGTATACGTTAAACATACACAATATTTATTAAGATAAAAATGAATTGTGATTTTCTGCTAGACCTAGAAAAGACAAAATGTAAATTGATCTTTTTCTTTGTTGGTTCTAGGAGCTGCACGCTGCTTCTCTTGAGCAGCATCTTCTAGATCAGATCCGAATAGTTTTTCCAAAAGCTATTTTTCCTGTTTGGGTTGATCAACAAACTTACATATTTATCCGCATTGGTAGGTGCTGTTGTAATAATGATTGTTGTGCTCTGTACTGTAGCACTGAGTCCCAGGAGAGGTGACCCTGCACTGACAGGCTCTGTTTCCTACACAGTTGCACTAATGCCAGCTGTTACATATGGAAGGCTGGAAGCTGATACCAGGCTCCTTATTCAGCCAAAGACACGCCAAACCAAAGCAGAAACATTTTCAAAGGCAGAAGGTGCATATGGAAAATTTCCTAGTGATGAAAGAGACCAAAGAGGAATGACAAAAGAATTTCAAACCAAACAACTGCAATCAAATGCTAGTAAAACAGACTCAGTTAACTTATCATCGATACCAAGCTTATGGACTATGATAGGAAACATTTTTTCTTTTGGATCTGAGAAGAAACAAGAGACATCCTGGGGTTCAACTGAAATCAATGCTTTCAAAAATATGCAGTCAGAGATTGTTCCTCTGGATAATGTTTTCAGAGTGTGCAAATCACAACCTCCTAGTATACGTAACACACCAGCAACTTCTGTGTTTCATAAACACTGTGCTGTTCATGTATTTCCATGGGACCAGGAATATTTTGATGTGGAGCCCAGCTTTACTGTGACCTATGGAAATCTAGTTAAACTACTTTCTCCAAAACAGCAAAGTAAAACAAAGCAGAATGTCCTGTCACCAGAGAAGCAGATATCAGAATCACTAGATCAAAAACAGGTTAGTTCAGAGTATAGTCAAGAAACTGATAAGGGCTGTGTGCTAAAAGTAGTCTGGAATGGACTTGAAGAGTTGAAGAATGCTATAAAGTACACCCAAAATGTGGAAGCCCTCCATCTTGGAAAAGTTTGGGTTAGTATGAGTTTTATAATTTGTGTGTGTGTGGGGGGGGGGGACTTTTCCTGCTTACCCATCCCTTAATTTTGAATTAGAATAATATTTTGCATATAAATTGAAAACCAATTTAGTAAGAAATACAGTATTTTAAGTTGCAGAGGGCACTGTGAAGTCCTTCTTTTGGTAAAGATTGTATATTTACTAAAGCAAACAAGCTTTTATGTGATTAGACCCAGAAAGGTCAAAATTACTTGCCCAAGGTTGCATAGATAGATAGGAGTAGAACTAGGATTCCCATCCAGGCAGATTTGCTCTAGGGTTTTTGCTCAGTTTGGAGTACCCTACAGACTTTACTTCTTTAACATCTGTAGAAGGTTTATTCCCAAGGTCTTGAGACCAAAGGAAGCACTTTTTATGTACTGAGGAAAGCTAGCTAGGATAGGGAAAGAACCTTTTGTTTCCTGTGATGTACCTAGATTGGAATGCATCCCAAAGCTGCTTACCCTGCTTGTAGCTGCTATTTTAACCTGTTATATCAGGGAGAGGAAATGTGTATTTCATGAGTCGTAGAAGTAAGTCTGCTCCTTTTTTTGAACCACGCAAAATTGAGATTTCACAGTGATGAGAAGAGCTTTATTGGGGGGGGGATAGAAAACAGGATGTTGCTTTTGTAGAGTTCATTTAGACTTATGATTTTAACATACAACTTTTACACAAATTTTAATCCCTCTGTACTCTATACTGTTTTTTAAAGGCCCAGTTTTTCTGTTAGCTTTAAACCATGTTTATGAGATGCCACTGCACCTTCAAATTCAAATTGTCTTAACACTGAGGTGATTCTGATTTAGCTGTTTCTGCCACCAGATAGGAATGTTCTTTTCTTCTCTTGAAATCATATGGTAAGGATGGAAAAGAAGTGCTAATGGTGAAGACCTCAGGACTAGAGAGCAGTCAGGAGTAGGCACTTTCTGCTCTATTTTAAAGATTGAAGAGTGACAGGCAGTCAGAAGCTGCAGTCGTTGCCAGCAGGCTTGACTTGAGAGATCGGAATTGATCACTTATGAATATCACTAACAATGTTAATGTGAACATTTCTTAACACTATGAAGTGACAGTTTTGTTTTTTCATTATGTTTTAGAAAACTTGATTGTTATATTCATTCATAAAAAAAAACAACATAAAATTGTACATATTTCTCGGATACCAAGTGATGTTTTGATGTGTATTCACTGTGTAATGTTTAAGATTAAGTATTATGCACGTTACTTTTGTAACGTGTTATGCCTTTGTCTGCTACTAATGTCTGTACTTGCTCTTTAGAAATTACCATAAATAGTAAAGCAAGATTAAAGGTTTGGTTTGTTTGTTTGGTTTGGTTTTTTGAGACAGGATTTCACTATGTAGTTCAGGCTGACCTTTGAGCTCACTGTGTAGCCCAGACAGTTCAAGGCAATCCTCCTGCTTCAGCCTCCTGAATGCTGGGATTACAAGTGTGTGTTAGCATACCTGCCAAGATTAAAGTCTTTTTTATAACTTTCAGTGCTTCCCAATCTTTGGGAGATGAGAACCCTTTTTAACATCTTTGTAGAAAAAAATTTAAAGTGTGCAGTTCATTGTTTTTTATAATAGTTGTACATGGGCTGCTAATATAGCTCAGCAGCATAACCCCTGCCTCACAAGTGCAAGGTCCTGAGTTTGATTCCTGGTACCAAAAAAAAAAAAAAAAAATTCATAATAGTTGAAGAAACATCATCACAATCTAAATTTAGGATTATATTGATCAACGAGATAAGTAATTTTATCCTTTGCCTTTTTAGATTAAATTTCTGCCTGGATTTAATTGTACAGGTTGGCAGATTGTCATTAGTTTTGACCACACTAGCTTTTTCATGGGTTCTCAACTTCATAGACGAAAACTGCTAAAAGATTGCAAGTAAAACTTTAATCATATGTAATTATGCTGTGGTTTAAGATACGTAGGCAGAGACAGATACATCAATTTTAAAGTTCTAATTCTGAACAATTGTAAAGAAAAAGAACTATAGGGAGAGGGATTGAAATGTCTGTGTTAAAACCATACCTATACTTCATCAGTTATGCTCTTGCTATAGTCTGAATGTTGTGTCCCCCTGAAACTCACGTTGAAGTCCTACCCTTTAGGTATTGGTATTGGGAGGTAAGACTTTGGGAGGCTGTTAAGTCGTGAAGACACAGCAAAGGCTCTGAAGAGAACCCTAACAGACACTAAATCTGCCTGGGCCCCAGTTTTTGACTCCTCAGTTTTTAGAACTGTGACAAAAACATTGCTGTTATATAAGTAGCAGAGTTTATGGTATTTTGTTACAGTAGCCCAAACACGCTGAGAAACCTATGCATCATTTTGATAACTTCTGTAATTTCATCTCATTTTTAGAGGCTGATATGAGTATTTATGCTATAAGATATGTTATAATCAAGCTTTGAACATAACTAAATCCTTGGATTTTTGTTTGTTTTTGATTTCAGATTCCAGATGACCTGAGAAAAAGACTAAATATAGAAATGCATGCAGTAGTCAGAATAACTCCAGTGGAAATTACCCCTAAAATTCCAAGATCTCTAAAATTGCAACCTAGAGAGAATTTAGTGAGTGCAAATATATATGTTATGTCAAAATTCTTTAACATGCATTATAAAATTTCTAGTTGTTAAGTAACAATGTTGTACTCTTTTTATCAGGACAAAGAAATCTTTTTGTTGTTGTTTTAAAAATACATAAGGGGCTGAGGATTTAGCTCAGCGGCATAAGCGCCTGCCTTGCAAGCCTGTGGTTGTGAGTTCGATCCCTGGTACCAGTAAAAATACTAAATAAATAAATAAATAAAAATACATAAGTGCTGGGGATTTAGCTCACTGGCATAAGCGTTTGCCTGGCAAGTGTGAAATCGTGAGTTACATCCATGGTACCACCAAAAAAAAAAAAAAAAGTAACATAAATATGTCATTTAAACTACTTTTAAGAGTACAGTTCAGTGGCATTAATTACACTTATGATGTTGTGCAACCTACCATTGCTTCCAAATTTCCAGCATTGGAGACAGAAACTGCACCCATTAAGCAGTGACTGCCCATCGTTCCTCTACCCACTCCTTTAATCAGTATTATGTCTCTATGAATTTACCTAACAGTAGGCATCTTGTGTACATGGAATCAGAACATTTGAAACTGTTTGGCTTAATTCACTTCCATAGTCTTTTGAAGCTTCACCCATGTTTGCGCAGGTATCAGAACTTCACTCCTTTTTATGATTGGATAATGTTCTGTTATTCTGTATATATCATTTATTTATCCATCATCTGTTGTTGGACACATGGGTTGTTTTGATCTTTTTGGCTGTTATGAATAATGCTGCAGTGAATAATGATGTTTAAATATCTAATTAAGTTCCTGTTTTCAATTTTTTAGCATCTGTGTCTAGGAGTGAAATTGCTGGATCATAGGGCAATTCTATGTTTAATTTTTGAGAAGTCATTAATAAACAGCATGCATATGAATATATTATGCCAGTACAAATATGGATGGTTTTGTCTTTTGAAAGATTAATATTTTTTCAGTGTCTGTGTAATTTTTTTTTTTTTGGTACCAGAAATCGAACTCATGACCTTGCACTTGCCAGGCAGGTGCTTATGCCACAGAGCTAAATCCCCAGCCCGTGTCTGTGTTATTTTAAAAATTTTCTGCCATGTTGCTTTTTTTGTCAAGCTACAAACTTCTGTTTAGTAAACTTTAAAGAAAAGTGAAGTTACAAAAAAATAAAATTTTCATGTCTGAAACTTGAATTAAGCAAGAGATGAAATCTAAGAAACAAATCACAGTTTTCAAAGGAAATAATCAGAGCTAAATTAGTATTTGGGAAAAATCTTGTAATAGGTTAAATGCTCTCCTTCTGGAAGTTCAGTAGTACACACTGTGTATGAGATAACTGAAAGTGAAGCAGGGCTAGACTTACAGAAACAGGAAAGAACATGAAGGAGCAGGAAATGGAAAGAGATTGAAATTGATTGATATATTAAATACATGTACCAACTTCCCAAAATAAACCCCATCATCACATAATAGTAACACATACTAATAAAATTTAATAATTTTTAAGAGATGGCTAATGTTGGTTTGGTCCCCTAATAAATTCTGCATTGCATGTTGCTGTTTTACAAAAGAAGGGAGGTTTTTTGTTTTTTGGGTTTTTTATTGCCAGGCAGGCACTGTGCTGCAGAGCTATATCCCCAGCCTGAAGGGAGATAATTTTTATTATTACGTGAAACATTAACTGGTGGCAAGTGGCTTAGAAAAATGGAGGCTATCAAGAACAAACTGATATGCTTAGTAAGACAAGTAAAACAATATTTTCCTCGAATTCATAGCAGAAGTATTTCTAAGGCAACCATCTCCTTCATTGAAGAAGGCTTGTTTTAATAATACAGTAGAAGGTGAATATTAACAGAAAGTGTACCTTAAGCCAGTGTTGCTTTCCTATTAATACTCCAGCTCAAAAGAGTGCTACACTCTGTTACTCCCTACCTCTCCATGGTGCAGGAGAGTGAAGCCAGGACTCTTGCACTGACCTACATCCCTAGCATGTTCTGTTTTTTATTTTGAGGCAGGGTCTCACTAATTCTCTGAGTTGCCCAGGTTGAGCTTGAATTTGGGATCCTCCTGAATGCTAGGATTATAGGTGTATCTCCACATCTGACATCCCTTACTTTTCTGGTTCTTTGGAAAGTGGTATGTTTAGGAAGTGAGATGTTTAGGTTATTTTAAAAGTATTTCATATATATCAGTTCACAAATAATTATACTGGGAAATTATTGTTATATGTTTAAGAAATTTCAAACATAATTGAATCTTTCTCTGATAATTCAGGTAAAACTTTTGGAATCTTAGGATGATGGTTGTTACACTATAGGTAAACTAATTTAACAGCTTTTATAGTTGGTGAAACACCAGGTAATTTATATTATTTAATTTGAGAAAAGGAAAACAAATAGAATACATGCTATTCTCACAACAATGTGTACCTGAACATTTACCACATTGGTTAAATAGCTCATAGGATTTTTAACTTTTTAGCTATTGATCTTTATATATTTTAAGTGCTAGGTCTCTTATGTAAGAAAATTATTAGCTACTGTTCGTTAGAATTGTGTTTGTCTCAAAATTGGCATATTGCCACAAAAATGGTTTCCTAACCTGAGTTACATATTTTAATGGAAACTTTATGATCTGTATGATTACAGTATAGATCTTGGGATATAAAGATGTTTCATTCTAAAGAAACTATGAGTTGCTTTTTGATCCCCAAATTCTCAGCTACTTAAAGTGACTTTAAGTGTTTAATTACATTGCTCAATAATATTCTAAGTAGTAACTATTTTGTGAATTTTAAAAATGAAGAAATTATACCTTTTCTTAACTAACCTACTTTTAGTAGAGGTCAGGTTCTGAACTGAGCTTTGTCAGCAAATTTAAGTTTGCCTCTAGGTGAAATAGAGCAGAAATAAGACTAGTTTGAGCAGTGGCAGAATTTCATTTCATGGTGAAGGGGAGACTTTTTTCTTTTTTTTTTCTGACTTTTTTTTTTTGGTACCGGAACTCAAACTTACCACCTTGCACTTGCCAGGGAGGTGCTGTGCTACTGAGCTATATCCTCGGCCCCAAGAAGTGAGGGGCAATATTAATCATCTGTTCTGTATGAAGTTGGTTATTATCATGCCTTATTTGAAGTTACTAAAAATTTAAAAGCTGTAAATTAGTAGATTTTTTTAATGTTACAGCTTTGAAGAACATATTAGCACTCTATCTATTGAGTATAACTACTGGTCAGTTTAAAAGGAAACAAAAGGAAAGAAAAAGAAAGGACAGCAGTTTAAACATGCCAGGGATTTCTCTTTCTCATGTACAGAGTTTGATGGGCTCATAGCAGTTAAACAGTGTCACCGAGGATCTAAGCTGCACCTGTCTTTCTTCTGCCATCCTTAGCCTGTGATTTTCCTTCTCTCAGGTGCAAATGTATGCTGTACTAATAAGCATCTCATCTGCATTCCGGAGGCAAAAGGAAAGGCACAAAGCAAAAATCTCTCCTTGTAATTTCTTTACTTTGATAAAGAAGAGCACCCTTTCTGTCTGTGTGCCACTGGCCACATTGGAGATACACATTCTGTGTGTGTGTGTGTGTGTGTGTGTGTGTGTGTGTGTGTGTGTCTGTCTGTCTGTCTGTCTGTATGTCTCTCTCTGTCTCTGTCTCTAAACTCTGCCCCAAGCTGGCAAAAGAGGATTGCTTTCCTATCTTGATGCTAGAGGGAGGCAAGGGAGAGTGGGATTGGAATGCAGTGCTTACTGAGTGAATCAAACTCTAGTATTTACATTGCTGAGCATAGAGAAAAAGAACATTTCAAACTTTCCCAATTATATAAACATTTTTTGGGGCTATATTATACTTATCATGCTAATGTCAAATTCCAAACCTGTTTTTATGGAGTGTAAACATCTTATATTGATTTTGTTTGGTGAAATTTACACTTTATTGGGAAGATAAAATTTTAAAATAAAGATGTTACGTCGTCAGATATTAGGATAATTAGTTACTGTTCTTTTTCTCTGGCAGCCTAAAGATACGAATGAAGAAGATGTAAAAACAGCCTTCTACTTGTGGCTACAGCAATCTGCTACCACTGTACTTCCTTTATTAATATCAGAGGAAGAATTTATTAAGTTGGAAATTAAAGATGGTAAGTTTGTTATTTTTCCTGCTAAGATAATCATAGCATTTTAAATTGTTTTTCCAACCTGTATCACATGTGAAACATAATAATAATTAAACACATTTTATATGTTGAAGAATGCCTTTAATTTAAATGTTTGGTATTAAAATCGTAAAAGCTTTTCAACTCAAGTGTCAGCCTTAATTCTTCATTTATTACTTTTTACAGAGTTGAAAGAGTTTTCTCTGCATATAGTTCACTGGGAAAAGGAAAAAAAAAAAGAAAAAAATATTTTTCTATTGAGTACCAATCTGCTGCAGAAGACCACAATACAAGTAACTATATGCTGTGGAATTATTGACTATTTAATGAAATAATATTTGTCACATGTAATTAGTAAAGCATGAATGTCATTCAAAGAACTTGAATCATGAAGTGTATTAGAAACCCATATGATAAGAATAAGGAATAACTTGATTTAAAATATTTTATTCTATAATCTGTTTACTTATATAAATTATTGATTCATTTCTAAGTTAAAAATCAGTTTCAACACAATTAATTTTTAAGAATAAATTTGATCATGTAACTGGCAAATGAATCATAATTTAAAATTTTATTTTTGAGGCTGAGGCAGGAGGATCATTGCAAGTCTGAGACCAGCCTGGGCTACAAAGTGAGCCCAAGGCCAGCCTGAACCAAATAGCAAGACCTTGTCTCAAAATGACAAAAATAAATAAAGTAAAATAAAATAAAATAAAATTTTACTTTTGAAGCAAATAAAAAGTTTTAGGGATTTGAGTTTGAAAATTCATAATTTTATGTGCAATTTTGTTATTTTGACAATTTTTTGTTTGTTTGTTTGTTTGTTTGTTTGTTTGTTTTTGGTACCAGGGATCGAACTCATGATCTCACGCTTGCCAGGCAGGCGCTTATGCTGCTGAGCTAAACCCCTAGCCTGACAACGTTTTAATGTGCAACTCTTCACAAATATTTTCTGCTATAAGTATTGAAAGAGTATTCTTTTTAGAATATTATATTTCAATGAGGTTTCTTAATCTTCTCTTTACAGAACTAAAGATTCACTAGTAACTTAAAATTTCAGTGGTTTTTACCTAGACACTGTTTCTTGCTTTTTACACATAACTGAAGGAATACCATTCAGAGGCACAAATTCAGAATTATAAATAAAGTGGATATGACATAAATAAAAATTGAGATAAAATCTGTAAAATGTATTGAGGAGACAGTATTCTTCCTGCTAATTGACCATAAATATTTGTTCTGTGGATGAGTAAATTGTTGTTGTCAAGAGTTACTCTGAATAAAATCTTGCATGCACAATTTATCTATGCTCTCTGGTAAACAGAATCAATGCAGTTCAGTTTTCTGAGATCCAAGAAAAACAGGCAAACGAATAACTTTAAATTGTAAAACTAATTTTTCCTTGCTATTGTAGGTCCTTCTAGATCCTATGGTAAAAGAAGAAAACAGTGAGGAAATTGACTTTATTCTTCCTTTTTTAAAGCTGAACTCTTTGGGGTAAGAAGCTATAGCTTCTTTGTTTGACATTAGCTCTGGCAGAGTTTCTATGTGTAAATATTAAAATTGATCTGAAAATCAATAAATAATTTGCTAATGCATTAGATTTTTTTAAAGGATTGTCTCTACTTTTACAGATTACAAATAGAAATTTCTTGTAGATAACAAGAGATTTGAAGTTTACTAGAAACTTTGTTTTGAGAATTGATTTGTGAGAAGAAAGTAACTGGGTAGTACCTGCATCATCTGCACATGAATAGAACAACTCTTAAAGCAATTAAGTATATTTTAACAGTTAAATCAAAACATTAGTCAGCTGTTTAAAAATATTTCAAATTAAGTTATTCCTTCACTATTTTATTATTTTAATAATTGAGATTGTGTTTTCTCAACTTTTTTTTTTTTTTTTTTTTGTCTTTTTCGTTTTTATCGGTATCAGGGATCGAACTCACGACCGCCTGCTTGCAAGGCAGGCGCTTATGCCGCTGAGCTAAATCCCCAGCCCCTTTCTCAACTTTTCAGACAAATCTAAAAACAGCCTCTGGTAACTTCCTTGTACAAGGGGAAAATCTTATATATACATTAGCCCTTAGGATTCTTCAGAGGTTTTTAGTAAGTGAAGTGGTGATTTAATGTCCTGTAATAATACAATTTATATTTTAGTAAAAGATTATACCATTAACTCTAACATAGTATATATTAATATGGGACAAAATCTCTTTGTTTTGTAATATTAAGAATTATTTCTACTATAAAGTTGTAGTCAAAGTCAAATGTAGGTTAAAGTTCGTGTTTATAGAATATATAGATTGAAATTGATTTCAGAGATGATGTTTAAGAGGAAATAAGTCTTCACTTACCCTAAACACTTCACTTATGATTATATTGAGTGTCAAACTACAAATTCTTTGCGGGTAGGAGAATGTGTATGTGTCAAGGCAGATGCCTTGAGTAATACCAATACAATAAACTATTAGTCACTGCACACTTTTTTACTGCATGTTTGAATGTAATAAAATTAATTGTAGTTAGTGTGAATCAGATATAGCATTGGTCAATATACCTTTTCTCAAATAAAGAATTTCCTAAAATATTACTCTAATTTAAAGTTCAGTCAGTAGATCCAAAAGGTTCACTTTTAATAGCAAGACTTTATCCTGCTTCAGTCTTTTACCTCATAACAATTTATGTATTTTCAGAGGCGTGAATTCCATAGGCAGATCCTCCATGGAGCACATCACACAGAGCCTCCTAGGTCGCCCGCTGTCTCGGCAGCTCACATCCCTTCTGGCAGGACTTAGGAATGGAGCCCTTTTACTCACCGGAGGAAAGGTATGTGATTGAAATCTACTCTTTTCACTGATAACTTTTAATTGTACTCTTGGATTCTGATGATGTACTTATACAGGTTGTTAATACAAGATTGAGAAAGCACTCTCATATTTATTAATATTTTTGTGTGCCTGCTATTAGGTATTGGGGGAGTGAATAAAACTGATCTTGTAATTTTCCTGTGTTGGTTGATATGATTATATGAGTTTTCTTTTTTAGACTAGTGATAAGGTATTGATAGAGTTATTTGATTTTCAGTGTAAATTAGTTTTGCATACTGTGACAAATCTTACTTAGTTATGTTGTATCATTCTTTATACACTGCTAAGTTCTGCTGAAACTGTTTTGCATGTAAGTTTATGAGAAATATTAGTCTTTGATTTTCTGTTTTTGTACTGTCTCTGTCTCTTATTTCTGTCTGCTTTTGCTAGTAGGATAATATTGGCCTCATGAAATGAGTTGGAAAATATTCCTCTATCTTCTGTTCTTTGGAAGATATTTTATAAAATTGATATTCATTCTTCTTTAAACATTTGGTAGTGGCAGGAATTAACCTCAGCAGCTCAAGCACTTGCCTGGTAAGCGTGAGGTCATGAGTTCAATCCCTGGAACCAAAAAAAAAAAAAAAAAAAAAACATTGGATAAAATCTTCATTGAAACCATGCAGGCCTGGAGATGCCTTTATCGTTAGCTTAATTAAAAATTTGGCTTCCTTAATGTTTCTAAGACTAATCAGGTAATCTGTTTCATCTTGTCTGACAAGTATGTGGTGGCTTTCAAGGACTTGGTCCAAACCTTCAGCAGTGTCAAATTTAAGAACTTTTAGTTGTTTTCTCTTCTAGCCTTAAATCTCAGAATCTGTTGTGAGACAGTTTCCTGACCTTAAAGATTTGCTCTTTTTTGTTGTTGTTGCTATGCTGGGAGTCAAACTTAGGGCCTCCTTCATGGTAGACAGTTTACCACTAAGCTGCATCCTCAGTTCGTTTGTTTTTTTTTTTTTAATATCTGACTGTCTTGCTTAAGGTTCCTGACCTTTTAAAAGGGCTTACTGTGTTAATCTCTACCAGTGCCATGTCTTTTTTTTTTTTTTTAATTTAAGGAGAAAAAAAAAAACAGAAAAAGGGTATGAGTTATACAGAATTTCAGAAAGAATAAACAGTAGGAAATCACTAGTTAATAGATTACATATTGTTATCCTTAACAGTTTTGGGAGGTTTCAGTCCACACTTAGTTGGCTCCCAGGCAGGCGGGCGAGGCTGGGCTGCCGTTCATGGCGGCTGCAAACAGCAAACAGGAACCGGCCAAGAGCAAGACACACCTTCTTCCTGCCATTACATCACATCCTGGCTCCACCCCTGTGTGGGTAGAGCACTGACACCATCAATCCAAGCACTGTACAGTGAATCATCACAAATGAACAATGCAAACTCATGAGGCCTGGGGGACACAGACATAAACCATGACATGGTTATCTATCTTATACATTTAAATATATATGCAGTTATATCCTTTAGAGCACTTTCTTTTCCTTTCTTTTGTACAATGACAATTACACATTTTGGGTTTTATTACTCCCACAGTTCTTATTACTTTTTTTTGAAGAGAGTAAAACCAAATGTGACATAACAGAATAGAGTCAGTCAAATCAAAAGGATGGACATAATAGATAATGTAAAAACAAAATACAAGGTGATCAACAATGGTTACCATACTGCCTCTTGCTATCTTAAAAAGAATTGCCTATATCATCAGTTATAATAAAATTGAGCAAAACAGAAAAGAATAAAACAAAACATTGGAGACATTACAGGACTTTAAAAGAAGATAATAGTCAACCAGAATGGTTGTAATGCCGTGTCGTTTTTAAGGGTACAGTATGGTTTTTGTCTTTGTGCTTTTTTAATTAAAAAATTCAAGAACTTAATTTAAAAATGTAAATATATGACTATTTACTTTAATAACTTTTTCCTATTACTAGCCCAGTTGCTTTCTCCTAATTGTTGTATAAACTTAGCAACTACTCTTTGTGATTTTAATTGTCTCAGTCACCTTCCTTGTCACTGGGACAAAATACCAAACAGCTGAAACTTACAGGAGGAGAAGTCTGTTTTGGCTCACAATTCAATCTATGTTTAGCAGTCTTGAACACAGAAACAGCATGGCCCAAGGGCCTAAGTGGAAGAGCACTGCATACGTCATGGTGGACACAGGAAGCTGAGAGAGAAGGGAGGAACTGGGGATGGGGTCGCCCTCTCAGTTCACTCCGCCATCAAGCCCCTCCTGAGTGCTGTGACAACAGGCATACAGCACAATGCCCAGCAGTTTTTAAAAGGCAGTGTCTAACTCAATAGAGTGCCGGACTTCCAAAGTAGCAAGTTGAACAGAAAGAGCAAGCGAAGACCCAAGCTTGAATCTCACTTCTCTCGTGTACTTCTACGTTCTCATTTGTATTCATGATATTAACTGCACTTAAGGGAGACAATGTGTATGAAATGTGTAAACTGAAAAGTGCCATTCAAACGTGACTTCAAGTTGGCAGAAAGCACCTGATGATGGGAGGTAGGGCCTGTACCTCAGGATCCCTACTTTATTTACTCTTTGTAGCTCATTAATTTAAATACAGTATCTAACTGTACAAAATATAGTAATACAGTATATACTTGTTGAATCCCTCCAGAATTTCAGACTTCATATATCAAGCTCAGCTGTTTTTCTATTTTTACTAATCAGAACAAAATATGAGAACCAATGTTGGACTGTTGGAGCTAGACAGATGACAACTGTAAGAAACAATAGTAAATTGAGGAAGAAACTATAGGAACCAAAAAATCCATCACATTCAGTCTTTGCTAAACACTATAGTTGTATTTAGCAAAATTTAAATATGTATACCTTTTGAGGTCACAGTTCTAGAAATTTATTCTAAAGATGTAACTTGACAAATTAGTAAAATACATGTATGGATATTTGTTTTGACTTTATAATAGTTAAAAATTGAAATTAATACATACATACATGCATACATATATATACACACATATACACCAGCACACACATACTAGTGGTTCAGTATAACTTGTTAAATATAGTATGGTTCAGTACATACCCAGTGCTGCTATCCTAGGGAGTCAGTGTGGTTCTGTAGTTGTGGCCATAAGAAGACAATGATTTACTGTTACCTAAAATAATGAGATTATAACACTTGATATTTTCATCCTGTTTTTATACATTTGCATAAAGTAGGAAATGTAAACAACAGAAGAATTAACAGTAGTTAGGAAATTTACGGATTTTTAAAACATTTTTTGTGTAAGTAATTATAATTATTTTACATACTGTTTTGTTTTGTTTTATTTTTTTGAGACAAGGTCTCACTCTGTAGTTCAGGTTGGCCTTGGATTCACCGTGTAGCCCAGACTAGCCTCAAACTTGCGGCGATCCTCTTGCCTCAGCCTCTCAAGTACTAGGATTACAGATATGTGCAACCATGCCCAGCTCTGCATACTATTTCATAATGAGGGAAAACTAAGATTTTTCTTAAAAGTACACATTGGATTAAAACCTTAATAATTTCTGAAAGTTCTATATACTAATTGGTGATCATATTAATGACCGTAAATCAGTATGTACTTACTTAAAATTAATATAAAGCAATAGAGAAGTGGATAATAAGTATTTACCAATAAAAACATTGAAATTAAATAACAATATGTTTCATTTACCTAGAAAATTATTTAATGTGTATATTATTCCCTTCCAGTAACAATACAGCATTACCTTTTTTTTTGGTACCGGAGATTGAACTCACGACCTTGTGCTTGCCAGGCAGCCATTTACATCACTGAGCTAAATCCCCAGCCCCTAGCATTACCTATTTTTAAACATTTTAAGTATTAGTGGCTAAATTTCCTTAATGAACATAGGGTTCAAAAATCCTCAGGTAAATACATTAGACAGAATACAGCAGATCATTAAAAGGGTTATATAGCATGACTAAGTCAGCTTCATTCCAGGAGTATGAGAATGGATCAACCTATGTAAATCAATAAATGTAATATATAACATAGAACTAAGTATAAAAATAATGTCATCTCAGAAGCCTTTGATAAAATGTAGCATCCATTCATAAATTTTACAAACTGACAAAAATACATACAGAAGAACCCTATGTAAAAGCTGTTTGTGACAAACCCACTGCCACCATCATACTAAATGGAGAAAAACTGGGAGCTTTCCAAGACTAGACAAGGTTATCCACACTATCACCACTTTGGTTCATTGTATTACTTGACACTTTAGCCAGAGAAATCTCACAAGGGAGAAGAATAAAAGGGATAGAAACAGGAAGAAGTCAGGCTGTCCTTATTTGGGGGTGGCAGGATCCTTGAAATAGAAGACCCAAAAATCTCCAATAGGAGTCTTAGAATTAATCAATTCAGCAAAGTGGCAAGATACACATCAACAAAAAAATACCAGTAACATTGTTGTACATCAACAGTGAACCACAGAGCAAGAAATCAGGAAAACAAAGTCACAGTTGCTTCAAAAATTAACTCAGAATTAGCCTATCAAGGAGGTGAAAGACCTCTATAACAAAAACTATAGCACTGTGGAAAAGAGTTTGAAGAAGACATTACAAAATGAACAGACATATCCCTGTTTATGGACAGGCAGAATCATTGTCAAAATGGTTATATTACAAAACATGACGTATAGATTTAATGCAGTTTCAACTCAAAATACCAGCCACATTCTTCACAAAAGTGAAAAAAATCCTAAAATTTATTTGGAACAAGGAAAGTCACAAAATAGTCAAAGTAGTCTTGACTAAAAAGAGCAAAGTAGGAAAGCATTACTATAACAGATTTCACATTGCTTCAAATTTTCATATTTCTTTGTGCTACAAAGTCACTGTAATTAAAACATTGTGTTGCTGGTCAAAAAGAGACGTGTTACGCTGTAAAACAAGTGAGGCTGCAGAAACCTTATGTACCTTCGTTTGTCTTGACTTTTGACAAAGGAGTCAAATGGTGCTGGAAAAAATGGTTATCTTTGTACAGAAGAATGGATCTAGACCTGTCTGTGTCGCCTTGTACTAACACAAAATCAAATGTATTTTTAAAAACTAGATATGAAAGCCACACTTTTTAGGTAACACTCTTGATGACTAGGCATAGGTAAATACTTTCTAAACAGGAGCCCAATTGCACAAGAAATACCAAGAATCAACAAATGAGATTATAGCTAATAAAATGCTTCTGCATAGACAAGGAACAGTCAACACCTTTTTGCCAGCTACGGAACAGTGGTGTCAAATGTATGGCATGTGTGTTACTATGTTTTTCTTTTAAGACAAAAGATGTTAATGTAGGGTTGTTTTTCTAAACTAAAACACTAGTATATGGTTGATGCTGACACTTGTGATTCAAAAATGGCTTTTGGATTGCAGTTTGGCACTCAGTCTATATATAAAAGGCTCACCATCACTGATCTAGAATACATAAAGAACTCAAAAAAACTAAACCCTCCAAAATAAAAGATGCAGTCAAAAAATGGGCAATTGAATATACACATCTCAAAAGAAGTAATACAGATAGTCAATAAGTACGTGGAAAAGTATTCCGCCTCTTTGGCCATTAGAGAAATGCAAATTAAAACAATGCTGAAATTCCATCTTACTCCAGAAAGAATAACTGTAATAAAGAACTCAAAAAGCAACAAATGTTGGCAGAGTTATAGGAGAAAAAGGAACCCACCTACACTGTTGATGAAAATGTAAGTTAGTGTAATCATTTTGGAAATCTCCATGGAAGTTTCTCAAAAAATAAACAGTGGCACACACCTGTAAATCTTAGCACTTGAGAGACTGAGGCAGGAGGATTGCTGTGAGTTAAAGGCCAATCTGGGCTACAGAGTGGGTTCAAGGCCAGTCTGAACTGCATTGAGACCCTGTCTCAAAAAGACAACAATGAACCCATAAAAATAGAAATTGCATTTGACCCAATATGCCTCTTCTAGGTATTTTCCCAGAATAATTAAAGACATTGTACTACAATGATTCATACATTCCCATATTTATAATAGGACACTTCATAATAGCTAATTTTGGAAACACTCTATCAACAGCTGAATGAATAAGAAAATTATATATTATGGGGTTATTGCTATATATTCTCTTCCATAATACACAGTAGTGCTATGGAGTACTACTCACTCATAAAGAATCATAGATTGGAGTCATTTTTAGGAAGATGAGTGCATTTTTAAGGCCATAACGTTAAGTGGAATACAAAAGCTTAAATATAGCAGGCTTTCTTTTATAGGAGAAAGCCAAAGTATAAATAATCTAGGAGCAAAATAGAAGATAGAAGGTAGGAAACAGGACGGTAGACTGTAAGATAGGAAGGGGATCTGGAGATGGAAAAGGAAGGGTAAGATCGGGAGAAGTGGAAATAAAAATGATTAGGATGTGGTGTTTATATGTCCCAGTCCAAAATGAATATTGTTATTGTATACTGCAGACATATAACAATAAAAAAAGAAAATGTAGGGCTGGGGGTTTAGCTCAGCGGCATAAGCACCTGCCTTGCAAGCAGGTGGTCGTGAGTTCGATCCCTGGTACTGATAAAAATGAAAAAGACAAAAAAAAAAAAAGAAAAGAAAAGAAAAGAAAAGAAAATGTGATGTCTATATATGATGGAATACTGGGGCCCTACAAGGATAGATTTGAATTATTTTAGGAAAATGAATGGAGCTTGGGACCATAATGCCAAGTGAAATAAAGTTAAAACATTGTGACACAGAAGATTAACTAGCACATGGTTTCCTTTACAAGATGAGACTTTTTTGGAGATAGGAGGGGATCTGGGGTAGTGAGCCAAATAAAAGTGGGGGAGGGAAGAAAAATGATCAAGATGTACTATGTGTATGTACCAATTTCTCAAAACAAATTTAATTATTATATATCACAAACATAAACAAAGGGAAGTTAAAAATGAGTATTAGTGACTGTTTTAACTATCAAGTTACAAAGAATAAATGTTTGTTTTCATCTGTGCACAGTAGTGAGTGTAGGATATAGTCTGCTCCTGGCCCATTAGCAACTTAAAGGACCAGGGCCACACTTCAGTAATGCCAGAATCCGGCACGGCAGCAAACCAGCATATGCTTCCTAATGAGTGAGGTTTGGTGGGTGCTACTGCAATGAAAACTTTTCTGTCACTGAGTGTATTGAGTTCTGATGAAACACTTATTTTGTAGGGAAGTGGAAAATCCACTTTAGCCAAAGCAGTCTGTAAAGAAGCCTATGACACACTGGATGCCCATGTGGAAATAGTTGACTGTAAAGCTTTAAAAGGTATGAATATGGAAAGCTCCTTTTTGGCAGACTGGAACATCATTGATGCTGTTAGTCTAATAAACACAAATATTACCTAATCTTTAACTTTTCTATGTGTCACTTAGTCCTTGAAAATTCTTAGAAGTTTTAATTCTTTGGCTTTCAATGTCTTTGATAAAATTTCTAAAACTTCTCTATTGTTTGATAAGGACCTTTTTTTTTTCCCAGCCAAAACTTTGTATTACTGGCAGTGACCATGTCCCCAACTCAAGAGAGTGGTGGTATTTAGAATATATGTGTGTGATTGTAAATCATCTCGGAGTTGCAGTTGCCCTGGGAGGGTGAGTGAGTGGCAGTGAATAGCAGTGAGCAGAGTTACCATTAACCATGTGACACCTGTGTACATTTTGAAGTTTTTAAATTAACATTAGTATCTAATCAGTTAGTACAAAGAGATGGAGAAGACCTTATTTCCAACAGTTTCTCTCTCAGCTACCACTATCAAATAGTCCAAACTACACATTATGTCTCAACTTTTAATCTAATGAATAATAAACTAGGAAATAGTTTTTGGAAATCCATCACTTCATTTGCTATAAAGAAAGTTTTAGAAGCACTCTTTCTGAGTCCTACCCAGAGAAAATTTTAGTTTTGAGCTGAGTAACAGAGCATTTTTACATTAGCTTATGAATTTGTATGTTTTCTATTTAAAATTTAAACCTTTGTAACTCTAGCAAATTTGGCTTCAAAGTTTTATTCAGATATAGCAATTTTAGGATCTTTAGATAGCTACATTCATATTTGATTTTAATGAATCTTGACCTTTACTCCTGTTTATGTTTTCTGGCATCCTGTTCTTATTTTGCTATCTTACTACAAGCCAACTGAAATACTCTAAAAAGTGAGACTGGGCACATACAGGAATTATAGTGGCATACTCCTTTCCTTAGTTATAAAATTTGGCACTTTACTGAGTCCATTGAGGCTGTAGTAGTAAACTATGTCAGTGATTGATAAGTGTTTATGATTGTGTTAAGATAGGTATTGAATGGAGCTCTTTGAGTACTTTCAGAAAGGTAGCCCTGCACTTCTCCCACACTGAAGTAACCATGAAGCCATCTTTTCTGTGTTAAGGAAAAAGGCCTGACCACATTCAGAGAGCCCTAGAGGTGGCGTTCTCAGAGGCAGTATGGAGGCAACCTTCTGTGGTTCTGTTTGATGACCTGGACCTCATTGCTGGACTACCCACTACCCCGGGGCAGGAGCATAGTCCGGAAACAGTGCAGAGCCAGCGTCTCGCACATGGTAAAACATCCTTCTCTGGCTGAAGGCCGTCTTCTCTTGTTAGCGTTTTCAGTTCTCATGTTAGATCTGCTCTCCTCAGAGAAGAGGTGTGCTGTGCCATGTATTGTTTTGAGGCCTCTGGTAATAAGCAGAATGTAGCTCCTGCATTAACAAAATTGGCAGAGAATGAACTGTGTGATAAGGCCATAGTCCCGTGGTTAGGCTTTAGTGGCCTGTTCATTCTTTACCTCTTAGAAGTTGTTTACAGATTTCTCTTGCTTTTGTTTATTTGATAGATATTTGTCAAATGTTTGTATATTGTCTTGGTCACTTTTCTCTCATTGCTGGAACAAAATATCCAACACCCAAAATGAAGGAAGGAAAGGTTTATTTAGCTTACAGTTTGTGGAGGTTTCAGTCCATAATCAGCTGGCTCCAAGGCAGGGTGGATTGTTACAGAGCAACACTTAAAGACCACAAAAGACAAAAAAGCAGCAAGAGCAAAAACGGGGAAAGAGCAAGCCTCTTTTCCTCTCTCATAGTCTGTACACCCCCCCCCCTTACACTCCTGCTTCCAGGGCTGGTGTAGCACTCACAAAATCTCCTTGCCCTCCTCTTGCACAGGATGGAGATGTTTACAAAGTAAGGACCCAGGCTCCCTGCTGAGTCACTTAGTTAAAGTTCTAAACTTCTCAAGTTGACATAATGATCAACCATTTTATATATATATATATATGTGTGTGTATACATATATATGTATACACACATATATACACACATATGCACATACTCAACGTCAAGGGAGTAAATAGTTTTAGTACCATCGGTAGTAACAATGACAGCTGTGGCATACTGAGTGCCCTTTGTAGGGTGAAGGGGTTACATTTTACTCTGTGTACCAAGAATGTTCTGGTTTCAAGTCAGTAAATGGGATAGTGACAGCTTAAGTCATTGAACCAAGGTGACCAACTAGCAATTGGTAGGGTTACCATACTTGAAGTGAAATTTTGGAGCATATAACCTAAATTGGAAGTGAGGAGTTACCAAAGAAGGCTTTTGAAGGGAGTTGATAACCAGGCTGAGTTTGGTGGTGAAGCAGTGTCATGCCGATGAAGAAGGAAAAGAGGTATGGCCCCAGGGAAGGGTGCGGAGGTACAAGAGATGACAGTATATTGGGGACCTGAGCTGCCTCATGGGTTTTGAGAGTTGAAATAGATATAAGATGTAACCAGAAAGGCTTGGGTTATTATTAAGTAGTGTTAATCTCAGATTTTGAATTCTGTAACACACGTGAACTTGTATTAACTAGTCTTATACTGAATCATAAGCATTGGATCTATTTCTCTGGTGTTAGTAGAGTATTGTGAATTTCTAGATTGAGAGTCACATACTAATTCACATTACTGGTGCCTGTTTCAGCTCCAGCCTTCTCATTCCAAGCCTTTCAAGACACTAGGTAGAAAGAGATTACTTAGGAATTCATAGAATATGAGCTATGTTTTGCTTAATAAACTGAACACAGATCAGAAATATATGGTCCTTCTAGAGTATTCATTTCACAAAACACCATTTTATTGTGTACTTACTTCCTATAAGATCCAAGAGTCAGCCATCTCACTAGACATGGTGTTCTGAGTTTACAAGAGATCTTGTACCTACATTAGGTGGAGTAGGGCTTGGTTCTCCATACATAAAATCTTTAATTCTTTAATGGTACAAAGGATCTGCCCCCATCTTAAAGATCAATGTTAAGTTATCATTACTCTAATAAATATAGAATTTAAATTTTGATAGTTTTTTATTCTGAACTTTCACACTATCTTGCTTAATTCTAGCTATGAGTGATATGATCAAGGACTTTATTTCCATGGGAAGTTTGGTTGCCCTGATTGCTACAAGCCAGTTTCAGCATTCTCTGCATCCTTTGCTTGTTTCTGCTCAAGGAATTCACATATTTCAGTGTGTTCAACACATCCAACCTCCCAACCAGGTAATATGCTACTTAGAAATTATTGCAATGTGACTCCCATTTGAAGAATTATTTTTTATTTTATTAATGAGTTACAGCTCTAAATTTAATGCTTCTAAATGCCTTAACATTTAAAAGAAATATTTAGTGCATATTATGCTAGGTGAGTGAATTATAACTTATAAGCATCTGAAATGCTATGTATTTTCCAAGAAAATGTTTTTTTTCAAAACAGTATTTCTTCTGAACAAGAAAAATACAGTCAGAAATGTGGATAGATGTCTTTTAAAGATGCACATGTGGCCCGTAGACACCCAGGCTCCTGAGGATTTTATGGCAGTGAGCTGATAGAAATGTTATGACACTGGCAAGCATATTTTAAGTTCTTGCTTAAAATTCTTTTAATTTTATTTAAGGAGAAAAGGAAAAAAAAAGCAGGGAAAGGGTACAAGTTATACAGATTTACAGAAAAAAAATGAACAGTAGGAAATCACTAGTTAATGGATTACATATTGTCATCTTAGAAATAATTGTTCAAGTCACAAAATTAAAGCTTGTAAAGTGGACATTCCATCAACGATACTGCAAACAGTTCTATTCATTGATCCAATAAAACTCTGTGATATCATTTTCTATCTTATACACTTAAATATACATGCAGTTATATAGTTTGGAGCACTTTCTTTTCCTCTCTTTTGTACCATGACTATTACACATTTTGGGTTTCATTGCTCCCACGGTTCTTATTACTTTTTTGGAAGAGAGTAAAACCAAATGTGACATAACAGAACAGAATCGGTCAAGTCAAAAGGGTGGACATAATAGATAATGTAAAAACATAATACAAGGTGATCAACAATGGTTACTATAATGCCTCCCGCTATCTCTAATAGAATTGCCTATATCGTTAGTTATAATACAATTGAACAAAACAGTAAAGAATAAAACCAACAAAACCAAAACATTGGAGACATTGTAGGTCTTCAAAAGTAGATAAAAGTCAACAAGAATGGGCGTCATAATGAATCTCATTATCTTCACAGCTGATGCCTAAACTTTCGAACCTGATACTATCCAGCAAAACAGAATAGGGGAACATCAGTTAAAAACCAGATGGTGAGAGTAATACAGGGCTTTAAATCAAAGTAATGAAAAGTCAAAGTGGGTTACTATAATATATCCTGCTATTTTTTTCCTTTAATTAAAAGGATAAAGATAAAAAAGTAAATAATGGAGTGGAGATTGAGATAAAAGAGGGCATAACAACGAAACAGCGCAGATCAAAACATAACTATTTAAGCAGAATAGTGTTTCACCACCAGATAATTCTAACCTAAAAGTAGTTACTATATTGTCTTTCTTTGAAATCCTTGAGTACAACTTCGTATACTGCAGCATTAAGTATATCAAAACAATGTAAAACCATTTAAGAGAATGACAGCATTACAGAGTATTTAGAATCGACTAACAGAAAATGAACAATGGTTTCTGTATAATCTCCTTGTCTTTACAAGGTTTTTGCTTATACTATCGTACATAATAAAATCCAGTAAGATACAACCTATTTAGACCATTGGAGACAGAAGGACAAAAGCTAGATGAGACTTCAAAACAAGATGATACTAAATCAGTATTACCTATTAAGATGTCATTTTCTCCAAAATAGCTATTCCTATCATCCAATCTTCTCTGCCTCATTTCTGTTGAGCTCTTTTTCTGTCAGTAGCTGTCAGTTTGTCTTCTTCATTTTGTTCTCTGCTCCATTCGTTGTGGCCTCCCTGCCATTATTTCTGGATTCTTTGTATTTTTCTTTTTTTAGAATATCCTGCAATACTCTCTGTAGAGTTGAATTGGTGGTTGCAAATTCCCCCAGTTCCTCTTTATCCTGGAAGCACCTTGTTTTTCCATCAATTTCCAGGGACAGTTGTGCAGGATATCTCAATCTTGGCTGGAGATTATTATCTTTCAAAGCCTGAATTATTTCCCCCCATGCTCTTCGTGATTTGATGGTTTGTGCCGAGAAATCTGCTGTAATTCTGATGGGTGTTCCCTTGTAAGTGGTCTGTTTCTTGTCTCTGACAGCTTTTAATATTCTGTTCTTGTATTGAATTTCTGGAATTTTTATTATTATATGCCTGGGTGTTGGTCTGTTTGGGTTGTAGGTAGCTGGGGTCCTGTATGCCTCATACATCTGAGTATCTTTACCTTTTGCTAAATTAGGAAAATTCTCCTGGATTATTTCTGTGAGTAGCTTTTGTAGTTCACTTGTTTGTGTCCCTACTTCTTCTTTTATGTTCTTAATCCTTAAGTTATGGATCCTCTTATCATCTTCTTGTCTTTGTATTATTGCTGTTTGTTTCTTTGTTATTTTTAAGAAGTTTTTCATTTCATTCTCCCATATTACAAGTCTGCCCTCCAGTTCAGATAGTCTGTCCTTAGTTTCTTTCAAGCTGTTATGCCAGTCTTCTATAGACTTCTTGGTATCTTGGTAGTCCCTTTGAACCTGCTTCACATATTCTATGGTTTCTCTGTTTTCTCCATCAAACAATTCTCCCCTTTTTTTCTGTTCTTCCATTCCACCGCCTGTTTTTTCTTGGGTGGTACTTAGCATTTCTCTAACTATTCTGCATACTTCTAGCTTCAGGTCGTTGATAACTTCATTCCTGAATTGGTCTATGAGGCTCTCTATATGGTGCCTTATGTATATTGGTGCGGTGTCTGCTATTGCCTGTTTCTCAGAATTGGGGGCCGAGGAGCCTTTCTTGTTGCTGCCTCTTCCCATGCTGCCTCTTCTTCTCTGTTCCTTATATATGCAAGCTTATATAAGAGGCCCAGCTTCTCTCCCAGTCAGCCACAGCCTGATCGAATTGCGCCAGTTAGGTGTTCCCGCTCACCGCTGCGCACCAGGGAGTTACGGACCAGGCAGCCTACGCAGGAGTCGCCCCTCTGGGCCACCGTCAGGCTCTGGGATCTGGGTTGGGACAGCCTACCAGGTCCGCCGGCAGCGTCACGCAGGCCAGGCACTTTTCACCAATCCCGCCCAAGAGGGGGATGTGTGGCTGGAGTCGCCACCACGCCCTGCTCCCGCAGGACTGCTCGGGCCCAGAAAGTCCTCCGCTGGAGTCAAACTAAAGTGTCAGTTTCTCTCACTCACCTCACCACAAGTCAGTGCACGCCTCCCTGCCGTTCGCAGATTGCTGTTCTCAGAGCTTCTGCGTGTCTCTCTCCTTGCTGAGCCACTGTAAAGGCAGCCAGCCGCCGCGCGGCGGGAAACCCAAATAGCGGCTTACAGTGGCGCGGGGTCCAGCTCCACACCGAGGCTTTTCTGTTCCTGTTTTAGCACCAGGACTGCATTCCAGGTTGGTTTCTCTCAGCCCAGTTCGTTCCTGAGTCAGCAGAGCATATCTCCACCTGCTTATGTCTCCTTAGTCCGCACCATTCCTGGCTTCTGAGCCGAGTCTTTCAGAGAGCCTCCGGTAGTTGCTGTTATCTGTCCGCCATGTTCTCCCGGAAGTCAAGTTCTTGCTTAAAATTCTGACCCTGAATATTTAGAACTTGCCCTATCTGTTATTAAAGAGTAAATGTATTTTATCTGTTATGAAGTATAACAGAATGGCAGTATTACTGGGCATTGACTGTGTCTTTAGAAATGTATTTTTTAGGAACAAAAAACACTTCTGACAGAACCATGTATTACTACAACCCCTTCTTCTTGAGAAAGAAACTGAAATGAGAGAGACATAAAATACACAACTTAAGTAGTTTTAACATATATGTATATATCAGAAAACCATAGTTAAGGTAAGAAACATTTCCATCCATCCAACAGGTTTCCTAGTGCCTTTTGAATTCCATCCCCTCTAGATGTTATCCACATACAACCACTAATTAGCTCTCTTTGTCACTGTAAATTATGTTAGCTTGGCATTTCTTCTGTTATATGTAGTCATGCACCCCATCATGATATTTCAGTCAACAAAGGACCTCATACATGATGGTTCCAGTACGATTACAATGGAGCAGGATGTTACCTGCACCCTGGAGACTTCACAGCAGTCACCATATCCCAGCACAGCACGTCACCCATGTGTCTGTAGTGGTGCTGTTGTGAGCAGACCTATGCTGCTAGTCATATCAAAGGGCAGCATAGCCAGGCACAGGGGTGTATGCCTCTAATCCCTACTATTTGAGAGGCAGAGGCAGTAAGATTGTAAGTTTGAGGTCTGGTTAGGCAAATAAACAGGGCTGGAGATAAACTGGAGATAGAACACTCCTGGGTCTGATTCCCAGTAACCTCTCCTCAAAATAAAAACTATGCTTGCAATTATGTATGGAACATAATACCTGAAAATGATAATAAATGACTATACTGTTCTTTAGCATTGTTTTAGAATATACCTCTCCTATTTGTTAAAAAAGTGTACGATAAACTAGTATGCCCACTATTATCTTGTGTCTGCCATGTTTGTTGACTGTGTCATTTTCTTGTCTTGATTTAATGTCATGTTATTTTGTTCATTGTGACCCATACATGTACAGAATTTGCTGCTAATGTTACCAAACAGAGATCATGGAAAGTGATTGGCCTGGAATCAAAATTTAAAGTGATATAGGAGAGTCTGGGATTTAGCTCAGTGGCGCAGCACCTGTCTGGCAAGCATGAGGTCCTGAATTTGATTCCTGCTAAACCTGGTAAAATACTCCCCCACACACAAAATAAGTGACTCAAGACTACAGAGGAGGAAAGTCAGTGGTTACTGTTCGTCAGGCATGTCCCAGTCTACTATAGCCACGATCTAAAAGAATAAAGACCACATGATGAGTTGTTAAAGGATCTGCATCATCAAAGAGCCACAGGACTAACAAACATTTGAGGAGGCCCTGTATCAGATCTATAGAAACTTAATGAGCTGGATTATGGTCCAGATACAGAAGTATGTCCCACTAAGCACCATGATGTGGCCAGAGCAAACAGTTTATTTGTGATGTTGAAAGAAAAGGCAGGACCTCACTATGCTTTTGAATCTACTGTTAGCTCTGGTTTAAACAGTTCAGGAGTTTTCATTATTCATTGCTTAATGTGAGACTGAGGGCTGAGACTATGCGTGCTGATGTGAAGTGATGTGAACGTGTGGAAACTGCACAAGCCGAATTGGGAGAGAAAATACTGGCAGAATGCATCTGGTGAGAGCAGGCTGGTCGCATCAATGTGGGGTAACAGTGGACCACACCAAGTAGCCAGAACATGAGCCAGGTGCTCATCTGTAATACAAGTATGATTTATGGTGTGCCATATGATGAGATTGCCTAAAGAGGCATTCCTCAGAACATGCCCCCATTGTTAAGCAAAATGTACTATTGAATGCAATTAATAGTTTGAGTTTTTTGCTTTATTTTAGGAACAAAGATACGAAATTTTGTATCATGTAATAAAAAATAAGCTAGACTGTAATATAAGCAAGTTCAGCGATCTTGACCTGCAGTGTGTAGCTAAAGAAACAGAAGGATTTGTGGCCAGAGATTTTACAGTCCTTGTGGATCGAGCCGTTCATTCCTGTCTCTCTCATCAGCACATATCTGCTAAGGAAGGTATGTCTTGTGACAATCCTGAACTTGGAGTCCACTTTCTGTTATGCAAAAATGTAATTGTAGTGATGCAAGAATCAAACATACTCTATTTAGTATTTAAATAAGCCGTGTCACTTGAGTAGAAAGTAAGCATTTGCAGCTAAGGTAGTATATTTTGAAAAACTGATTGAAATATGGCTACCAAAAGAAGTTTTGATTATTTTGAAACAGAACTAGTTTTCACAACATCAGACTTCCAGAAGGCTCTTGGAGGATTTATTCCTGCATCTCTGCGAAATGTCAACCTACATAAACCTAAAGACCTCGGTTGGGATAAAATTGGTGGATTGCATGAAGTTCGGCAAGTACTCATGGATACAATCCAGTTACCAGCCAAGGTACTTTAAAAGAAAGGGAGTGCTGGGCGTGGTGGCGCACTCCCCGAAATCCCAGCGCTTGGGAGGATGGTTGTTGCAAGTTCAAGACCAGCCTGGGCTATAAAGTAAGCCCAAGGCCAGCCTGAACCAAATAGCAAGATTTCATCTTAAAAACCAATAATAATGAAAGGGAGAGAAAAAGAGAGAAAGAGAAAGTAAGCTTTGGCTTCATGTGCTGGCCTGCCCAGTCTCTATTTGATTGAACAAGTAAATATTTACTGAATTTCCAAATAAATGTTCAGAGCTATTTTGGGTACTTCAACAGACTTTTAAAGTATTTGATATACTACTACTTTTTTTTTTTGGTACCGGAGATTGAACTCACCATCTCTTGCTTGCCAGGCAGGTGCTTATGCCACTGAGCTAAACCCCCAGCCCAATTTTTTTTTTTTTTTTTTTTTTTTTTGGTACCGGGGATAGAACTCACAACCACACACTTGCAAGACAGGTGCTTGTGCCGCTGAGCTAAATCCCAGGCCCTTTGATACACTTCTTGTCAGAAACTTCTAAGGAAAAGCTCAGTTGATATTTCCAGTAAATACACTTCAATGTCAAAATTTCATCTTTCTGTTTTGCTTGAATCATTCAGATGAACTATCTACTGGGATTTGAGCCAGAATAGATAAGAATAACCTACAAATTAAAGAGTCACCACCTTGGCAGGGCTGGGAATTTAGCTTAGCAGCATGAGTGTCTGGTTGTTTGTGAGTTCGATCCCCGGTACCGAAAGCATGTGTGGAGTTAGCAGCCAGCAGCTTCCTGTTCCCAGATACTGGGTCTAGGAGCCAGAAGTTAATGCTCAAATGTGTGGAGGCCATGTGCACAGCTGCTGGGTTTGAGGCTCTTTCAGGGCAGAGGCAGTGGGGGTGAGACTGGAATTGCATCACTAGGGGGAACCAAACAGGGACATCCAAGAGGAGACTACACTCCTGTTGCCATGCTGATGTTTGGCTGAGCTCACAGAGGACTTCGGCTCTCAGCAGTTGGTGATACAGAAAGTAGATGACATGTAGTCATCACTGTTCACCCTGGAAGTACTTGGAGGTTTTCCTCTCTATAATTATTACACTTGCTTGTCTATTTCTTTTCTTTCTTTGATTGAATATGTTTGAATTTGTACAACTGTCATAACTTGTTTCATTATCCATGCAAGTAGAAGGCAATATATTTGCTAAAAGATTGGTCTTTATTCGCTTAATGTAGTACTTTTATAATGTTTTTTCAACACAACAGGCCAGGTGTGGTGGCTCACACCTGCAATCTCTGAACTCTGGGAGGCTCAGAAGGATTTAAATTCAAGTGCGCTGTGGGCAACTCAGTGACTTGAGGGCTGGGGATGGAGCTCAATATGAAGGCCCCGGGTTCAATCCTTAGCACTGCAAGAAGAAAGAAAAGAAAAAGAAGCCGAAAGAATTCTGATGCAGTTGGGAAAAGTCTCGATAGTTCCTTTTAGTTCATTGATTAGTAAAAATATCATTTTTTGGTATTGTGCTGTTAACAAAGTCAGCAGTCAGTACTATCTGAATGCTTTTTTCTCTGTGTTGATTAACTACCACCTGGTCATTCGACTGAGACATGAGTGCTTTTTATATTTTTCAGTACCCAGAATTATTTGCAAACTTGCCCATCCGACAGAGAACAGGAATATTGCTGTATGGTCCTCCTGGAACAGGAAAAACCTTACTAGCTGGGGTAGTTGCGCGAGAGAGTGGAATGAATTTTATTAGTGTCAAGGTATGTGTGCGTATGCCTTTTCTTTTTTAATTGACGTAATATTTATATAAAGTATAGTTAAGCATTTAACTTTTCATTGATATTTAATGCATTTACAAAGTTGTGCAACTACAACCTCTCTCTAATGTCAAAACATTTCCACATCCCATTCCCTCCTCTACCTGTTCCCTGGCCACTATTAATCTATTTTCTGTCTTTGTGGATTTCTCGATTCTGTATATTTCATATGAAGAATATTAGGATAGCTTCTTTCACTGGTGTACTAATTTCATGCTTTATCCAAGTTGTATCATGTATCAGTGCTTTGTTCCTTTTCATGACTAAATCATACTCCATTGCATACCAATACCAGACTTTGTCTATCCATCCATTATCAGTGTAAACGTTAGGGTTATTCCTGTCATTTAACTGTTCTGAATGTTGCTGTAAACATTGATGTTGCTATAAACATTGATGTACACATTCACAGCAACTCTACCATTGTATTCTCCACCAGCAATATGTGGGGCTTTCTAGTTCTCTGTGTCCTTGCCATCACCATTTGTGTTCTGTGATTCGGAGTTGTTTGGAATGACTCGGAGTTGTTCCGAATGAGTTTCCAAACTCATGTTTGGAAAGCTGGAAGGGAAAAGTTGTCCATAGATTAATGAAGCTGTAAGAAATTGAGAATGAACCTGTGTCTTCTATGGCTTCTTATATTCTATCCTACCACAGATCTCCCCACATTATGGTACATTTGAACTTAAATATTCAGATAAAAAATACAAACTAGATTTAAAGAAAGAAGAACTCTGAAAGGTCAGAAGTTGGGGATGACAGGAGGGAAGATGCTGCGTTTGTCATGACTGCTGCTTGTCGGCTAGGTCTGAGTTCTTTAGGTGCCAAGGAAGCATGGTGACTAAGGAGCTGCAGATCATTTGGTAGCACCTCCTTGTCCACCATGGCTGTCACCAAGTTCTGAGGTCTCATGTCCTATAGTGCAGCTTCAGCACCTTGACTATTAACCATAGGATGCTCAGTTCCAAGGCAGAGAAATGGCATCTTCTGTCCTTCTGAGTTGATTTAGACAGTAAATCTGAAAGCCAGTTTAGTGATTTGCTATTGGGTTTTGCCTGCCCTCTTACATGATTTTTGTGAGCTGGGTCCATGGGCACCCTGGCAATGATGGAGAGACACTACAACTTTGATTTTCTTATCTCTTTTTTAAAAATTCGGGGTCAACCATGAATATGGCCATACTCTTCCTTTTATACTTGTCACCAGAATGCAGTTTTGCTGCTTTTTGTGGGGTAGTTTGTTTGTTTTGTTGTTGTTGTTGTTTGTACCAGAGATCAAACTCACAGCCTCACAATTTTTGCTATTTTTTAAACATACGATTTTCAAGATTAATGCCTGTGGATATTAGATTACTCCATTGGGAAGGACTCTTTATCCGTCTTAGGAAATCATCAAAGGGGAAGGTGACAGTACGAAGTTGATCATCTCACTGTGGGTTCTAGAGCCATCAGAGATGGCTCCCTTCACTGATACTATCACCTTGTATCGAACACCTTGCCTTGGTTATTGTTTTTTCATTCCCTAATTCTGCAGTTCTCTGACTGTATTGAAGAAATGTTATTAAATAGTAGTTTGCTGATGGTTATCTCAATGACTGATAGAAATTCTTTTGTTTGGTTCCATTTTCTGATCAGTATTTAGTCTCTTGCAAGTAACGATTTTTCACTAGAGATTACTTCAGGACTTACTCAGTTTTTTAAAAAAAGAGATCCCAATTTAAAGGAAAACTACTCATTATGTTTTGAAAGTTATTTCAGTTGATTTTTAACAAAGACAATACATTCTTCAACTCTTACACAAATTTGTTTCAGTGATGGTGAGTGCTGGTTACAGTAAGTTATTCTCTCCAATTTTTTGGAGTCTACAAAGATTTGAGAATGGTGGGAGTTGCTTAAGCCATTACCAGTTCTCTAAACAAGTGATTCACTAGCAATTATGTGGCCCAGAGATTGGGACTCAGCAGTGAGCAAAAATTTCTTTTTGGATCTTCTCCAGTAGTGGGAACAAGCAGTAAACAGGTAGATGCATTCTAAAGTCTACTGCAGAGTTGTAGGCAGAGGAGAGAATTTGTGTTAGATTTTTTTCTAGTACGTATCTTTTAAATGTGTTTAAGAGATATCCCTTTAAACTGGGTATGGGGGTACATGCCTGTAGTTCCAGGACTCAAGAGGCTGAGACAAGAGTATTGCCATAAGTTTGAGACCAGCCTGAACCACATAGTAAGACATTTTCTAAAAAATCCAAAAAAGCCATCCATTTACTTGTGTTAAAAATTCATTTAGACTCAGTCTAAACCATAGTTATATTTTCTTTTTTAGTAACTGTATCTCTTATTTTTACCTAACAGGGACCAGAGGTACTCAGCAAATACATTGGAGCAAGTGAACAAGCTGTTCGAGATATTTTTATTAGGTTGGTTTCCTATGAATATTTCTAAGTAACTGATGCGTTGTCAAGCAATGCTTTTTTGTTTTGTTTTAAAGAACTAATGTTTGAAACCATGATTTATATGCATTATTAATAAACTAAAGAACAGAGATTCTGTTTCACCAAATGCTATTTAAATGTAAAATATTCTGATATTAAAATTTGAGGTCAGATGTGGTAGCACATGCCTGTAATCACAGCACTAGGGGTGCTGAGTGTGGAAGAGTTCGAGACCAGCCTAAACTGCATAGTGAAACTTGTCTCCAAAGATAAATAAAATCTGGGGATTATTTTGCTTTGTATTTGACAATAGAAATATTGCTGAAAGTGGAGTGTTAAGTGGTTATTCAAAGAACTGTCAGAGGATAATGATGATATGGTGATGGTTACTATTATTACCATTATTATTTGGCAGTATGAGGGGTTGAATCTAGCTCCTTCATCCTGAGTTCCATTCCCATTTCTTTAAATTCTTATTTCAAGACAAGATCTCACGTAGCTTAGACTGGACTCAAACTTGTGATCCTCCTGCCTTGGCTCCCTAGAGTGGTAGGATTACAAGCATGCACCACTGTGTCCCTGTAGTTTTCTCATCTTTAAAATGAGGGTTTAAAGGGCTGGAGATATAGTTCAGTGGCATAAGCGCCTATCTGGCAAGCACAAATCCTGAGTTCAATTCGTGGTAACCCCCCAAATGAAATGAAATGCAAAATGAAGTGAAATGTGGAAAGTAATGAAATTGAAAATAGAAATGGAAATGAAATGAAGATTTACAGGACTGGGGATATAGTTCAGCAGCACAAGACCTGGTAAGCGCAAGGTCCTGAGTTCAGTTCCTGGTGCCGCAAAACTGAGAGTTTTGATTAGATCAGTAGCCATCACAGTTTTAGGTCAGAACCCCTTTTTCCAAAGACAGAGGATCCTAAATAATTTGTTTATGGAAATTAATCTAGTATTATTTACCATATTAAAAATTAAAACTGCCGGGCATGCGTCTATAATCCCACCACTCAGGAGACTGAATCAAGAAAATCTCTGAGTGCGAGGCCATTCTGAATTGCGTAGTGGAACCTGTCTCAAACAACAAAAAGAAATGAAAACTGAAAAAATATTTTTTAAGTATTTTTTTTAGAAAACAACTAACATGGTTTTATGAAAAAAAAAGTGTTTTCCAGAATGAGGGTAGTGAAAAAATGGCATTAGTTTATTCTCCCCCCAGCCTTCACAGTGCTGAGATTTCAGGCTTGTCCACATCAGCTTGAGAGTTGATTCCTGCGTAACACAAAACAAAAAAATTTTAAGGACTCCTTTTAGTATTCCTTCTCAGTAGGGCTAATAGTAATATACTTTTTCTGCTTCTGTTCATTCAAGATACTCTTTTTTTTTTTTAATGGAAAAAAGATTTTAAAAATTGCATGTCAAAATAACAGAATAATAGCAATGTATTACATGTTATCATTAAAAGTAGTTGCTCAGGGTACAAGGTATGGGCGTAAAAATTTCTCTAACCTGGGACTGGGGATTTGGCTCAGTGGCATAAGCACCTACCTGACAAGCAACGTCGTGAGTTGTATCCCTGGTACCAAAAAAAATTTCTCTAACCCATATTAACACAGATCTTCCTTTTTGATGAACTAAGAGACACTAATAATATAACTGTATTTTTCCCTTTTCCCTTTCGTTCTTTTCCATTTCACCCTTCCTAGTTCCTTCTTCTTTTTGAACAGTTTGGAAGCAAATATTTGACCCTGATTTATCTCCTTTTTTATGGCTTAAATTTTTTTAATTTCTAATTTGTCTTATAAAAATCCTATATATGTGGGGCTGGAGGTTTAGCTCAGCGGCATAAGCACCTGCCTTGCAAGCAGGCGGTCGTGAGTTCGATCCCCGGTACCGATAAAAATGAAAAAGACCAAAAAAAAAAAATCCTATATATGTAATTTGAGTGTAACTATTATTAGATATGCATAATATGCCTAAGGATATAAAAGATATATTTAAGGATGAAAATAATTATTCAAATAAGATAGTTATGGAGAGTTTTTAAATTAAAAAGTTGCTTTGTTCCATTTTTCTAAAAATTGTAGAATATAATTAATAGAATATGTATATAACATACTTTTTCGTTTTTAAGGCAAGATGTCACTATGTACTTCAGGGTGGCCTTGAACTTACTGTGTAACCCAGACTAGCCTCAAACTCACAACAGTCCTCCTGCTTCAGCCTCCTAAGTGCTGGATTTATAGGTGTATACCACCATGCCCAGCTCATAAAAATAATGAAATGGAGATTTGTGTGTCCACTACCCAATTTAAGAAGTAAATAAACCATTACCAAGAAAAAGCATTATTAGAAATAAAGATGATTACTACATTTTGTTTAAAACTCATTTCACCAAGAAGATACTATAACTCTAAAATTGTCTGTATACCTAGGCATAATGGCAAATACCTGTAATCCCAGCACTCAAGAAGCTGAGGCAGGAGGATCATTGTTAGTTTGAGGCCAGCCTAAACTGTTCAGTGAGACCCTGTCTCAAAACCAAAAATTAAATAAATATTTGTATGTATATATTTTTTTGAGACAAATTCTTACTAAGTTTTCTAGGCTCACAAATGTGTAGTCCTCCCACCTCAGCCTCTGTAACTAGAGTTACAGATACGCTTCATAACTGGCAAAAACTGTAGTCACTAGTTTAAAAAGTTTTATGCAAATCAAACACAAGACCAAGTATTAGTGTTTCAGGAGAATTTTGCCTGACAGTCAGAGAGCGGATAGGTAATTCCAGGCTGGTCTTGTAGTCTCTGAAAGTGTTGTCATGTATTTAGCATGATAGGTTTTGGGTTTTTTTTTTTTATCAACATAACAGACGTTTTGTGTTAGGAACTATTTTCCAGACATCCCAGTCCCTCTTTTTGCCAGAGATAGAATTAGTGAATTAAATAAAATTAAAACAAGATTAGTTAATAAATTAATATAATTAAAATTGGGCTGGAGTATAGCTCAGGGGTAGAGCACATAGTTAGCACATGAGACATCCTGAGTTCAACCCCCAGTACCAAAAAAAAAAGTTCAAAATGGAAAAAATATAAAATAAGTACCTAAAATACATTTTTCAGAAGCCTTTACAAAGCAGTACAAAAATAATGAACCCACTTTTGAATGGGCCGAAAAAATGAATAGACATTTCATGAAAGAGTAAAGTCAGACAATGAACATATATAAGAATCATTACTTCACTGACCAAGACTCAGGCTTATCTGTCTAGAAAGCATGGATCTTTAGAGAAACACTTTGATTTCTCTTTGAACTTAGTCTACCAAATACAGAATAAGGATAACATATATGCCTTGCCTTCTTTAAAGGTCTGTTGTAAAGATTAAATACATGCACATTGAATTATAAACTCTCAAGTCTTTTCAAAAATGAGGTTTTTTTTTTGTTTTGTTTTGTTTTTTTTCTCAGAGCACAAGCTGCAAAGCCCTGCATTCTCTTCTTTGATGAGTTTGAGTCCATTGCTCCTCGAAGAGGTCATGACAACACAGGAGTCACAGACCGGGTAGTTAACCAACTCCTGACTCAGTTGGATGGTGTAGAAGGCTTACAGGGTAATTACTTAAAGTGAAGAAATACACTGTTGTAACAAAATTTTACCAGGTGTCAGTTTTTCATGTTTTTCCCCCTTGCAGGTGTTTATGTATTGGCTGCTACTAGTCGCCCTGACTTGATTGACCCTGCCCTACTCAGGCCTGGTCGACTGGATAAATGTGTATACTGTCCTCCTCCTGATCAGGTGACAATTTCATATTTAGAATCCATAACCCAAAAAATGCTTCACTCTTTCCTTGTGGGCTTTATTTCTGCCAGGTAATAGCAATTGTCCTTAGAAGACCAGTTTTCTTAGACAAAGGCTTTAGTCCAGTGATGGCGAACCTTTTAGAGCTTCCAGTGACATGAATAGCCCACTGAAGCATGCATGCCAGAGGTTCTCTTCCACTGCTGTAGTCCCTGATTGGTCAAAGCATGCAGACATCAAGTTGCATGCAAAGCCTGTCCAACCCAGCCATTTCTATGCAAGTCTGAAAACTTTTATTTCTTCAGTATTGGCCAATTGGAGGACCAAGGTAAACAACCTAGAATGTCTACATTCTGTGTTCAGAGAACACACACCGCATTCATTTTCTTGTCAGAAAAAACCTGATACATGGGCTGAGGATATAGCTCAGTCGCACAGCACCTGTCTGACAAGCATGAGATTGTGATCCCCAGTACCAAAATAAAAAACCTCTGATACAGAATCAGGAACATGAATAGTGAGCGTGTAACTAGGTCACATAAAGATTAAATTTACCACGTGTTCCTAGTTATGTGCTCTGCCAACTCTTGTGCTCAGCTGTGAAGATCAGTGAATGATGAGTAGACATGAATAGTCAGAGGAATAAAATATCTGAATAGATGTCATATGCAGCTGTTTCAAATAGCATAACTTTTTACTGGAATTCATTCAAATATAGCAGTTAACTACAATCTGCATAAAAAATCATTTACAGCAGATAGTTAAGTGTTGATTTTCATTCTTTTCCTACCTGTGTCCCTTCTGTTAGGGAGAAATTTCCAGGAAAGATAGATCATAGACTTGTAGTATATTTCTCAGCATACTTATAAAGCTTATTAGATACGTGAAGTTAATTTATGAAAAAAAGTCATAAGATACACTATTGAAGATATTACTTAATTTTTTAACATTCATTCATTTTCTTCCCCCAGGAGTCCCGTCTTGAGATCTTAAACGTACTCAGCGACTCTCTGCCTCTGGCAGATGACGTGGACCTTCGGCATGTGGCAGCCGTGACCAAGGCCTTCACTGGAGCAGATCTGAAAGCTCTGCTCTACAACGCCCAGCTGGAGGCCTTACATGCGCGGCTGCTCTGCAGCGGCTTGCAGGTCAGTTATGCGGAGGGCCTTAGACAGTGTCAGGGGAAGAGCAGTGTTTAGTCTTGGAGTACACTATTAATACTTTTGGTAAAATTGTAGACATTTAAATTTGTAATTATGAAGAATTTGGCGTGCGGCCGGGGATTTAGCTCAGTGGTATAAGGCCTGCCTGGCAAGCATGAGGTCATGAGTTTGATCCCCGGTACCAAAAAAAAAGACTACTTAAAGAATTCGGTGTGTGTTTCTTTAATGTTACCTTAATATTAGCAAAAATGTGTTGGTGTTTGGAAAAATATTAAATTGGGATATCATGAGTTAAAATTAACAGAAAAATGATTAAAATTCTTAGTTTTGTACTTTAATTTTTTAAACATAATCAGCTTAAGTTTTATTTATTTTGAAGATAAAATTATACCAGTCCTTCCAAGGAGACCCCCTTGTAAGTGACAGCTGTGTCATTATGACTGTGTCCTCATTGTTCTTGGGTCCCTTCCTTAGTTCTTGATGCAAGACGTTCTTGTTTTATTACCCTTTCTGTATCCCCACCCTAGAGTCAGCCTTTCTCTAAGGACGGTGTTTTGATTAGTTATTGCAGTTGGTTATTTGTTTACCTCATAGGCTTTACCATGTATTTTTGTGTATGTTCTTATTTCCCATATTTTATGAGAGAAGTTTTCAGGCTCCTAATGTTCCCAAATCAGAAAGTCAGGGTTTTGTTCCTTATTTTGGCAAGCCATTGAAGTTTTTAAATCTTTCTTTCACTATTAAAAAAGTCATGTGTTTGTACTCTATCATAAAAAAGCCCTTAACATAGTTGATTACAGAATGTATACTACCATACCCAGCTTTCTGTTTCCTTTCTTCAGTAGTTAAAATTGTACCGCATGTCTCACAGCCATTGGAGAATTAATGAGTTTTTTGGACAATACCTCAGGCCTTCTCATATCACTCTTATTTGAATGCTTCTGTATTTCATAGATTATTTAGATGTTACAACAGGTTCTCCCTTTGTGTGTCTCAGGATGGAGGTTCCAGCTCTGATAGTGACCTAAGTCTGTCCTCGATGGTCTTTCTTAACCACAGCAGTGGCTCTGATGACTCAGCTGGCGATGGAGAATGTGGCTTAGATCAGTCTCTTGTTTCTCTAGAGATGTCAGAGCTCCTTCCAGATGAATCAAAATTTAATATGTACCGGCTCTACTTTGGAAGCTCCTATGAATCAGAACTGGGAAACGGAACCTCTTCTGATTTGGTATCTTTGCACTGTTACTTACGCAGTTCTGAAATGTAAAGCTATATGTTATATTGGTATAAAGTTAGACGGCTTATTACCCTCCTAACCAGCCCCACATATGATTGGTTCGTTCTTTGGTAAAAAGAGTCTTGTTTTTCCCATTTATTCTAGTTAGTAATTTACATTCCTGGTTAACAGCTTTTAAATGGTCTGGGAGTAGAACAACCAAACAAACTAGTGATTGTGATTTGGTTTCACTCGGGGCTACTTCTCTCTCTCTATCTCTTTTTTTTTTTTTTTTTTTTTTTTGGTCTTTTTTCTTTTTTATCGGTATCGGGAATCAAACTCACAACCACACACTTGCAAGGCAGGTGCTTATGCTGCTGAGCTAAATCCCCAGCCCCTAGGCTACTTCTCTTAACTAATGCATTTAAAAGCTTCTTAGCACATCCTTTTTATAGTAAAAAATTATCATTAGAACACAAGAATAATGACAGATTTCATATAATAGTATAAAAAATTTTAACTGTTTTGTGGAAAATATAAACACAAGAAAAGCAATAAAGAAAGATACTTAGATTAGGGATGGACAATGTCATTGATTTTTTTCTACTTAATTTTTACCATTCAGTGTATATCCCTCCAAAATTAATAGTGTTTTGGTACATGTAGCATTTTTATGTCTGTTTAGTTATATTTTTTATGTACTTGCTTTATTCAGGTTTTTAAAAATTTAGGTTACCCATTTTTATGCCTAAGAATAACATACTACTTTACTTCTAGACTTTCTCTCCTTTGTTTCTTAATTCTGTCTAGAAATGTCCTGGAACCTTAGTAAATTATTTGCAGAAGACCAAGAGTAGGGCTCATTTGGAATCTGTCTTGGCCATTAGTATGGTGGATTAAGTAACAAAGCATAAAAAGAAAATAAATCTCTTTGTTATGGCCGTTTTAACTCTATAGAGCTCTGCAGCATAGCTATCAGTAAACCTTCACAGAATGCCAGCATATTTTAAACTTGCTTACTTTTGGTAAATTAAACTTGATCTATGTTTAGGTTTATTGCTTAAGTGTTTTAATTTTTATCTTTGTCCTTCCCTTCCTGTTCTGTTCTCCTTCTTTCATCACGTGCAGAGTTCTCAGTGTCTCTCTACAGCCAGCTCTGTGACTCAGGACTTGCCTGGGCTTCCTGGGAGAGAGACCCCGTTTCCTCAGCCTTCGGTGTTCAGGACAGCTTCTCAGGAGGGCTGCCCGGAGCTCACCCAGGAGCAGCGAGATCAGCTGAGGGCAGACATCAGTATCATCAAAGGCAGATACCAGAGCCAAAGTGGAGTATGGGTTTTCCCCGCCTTTCTTTTTAGTTATTAAAAATTGTTTTTCCTCTTTTAATACATATTTCTTTGATTTGTAAATGAACTATATGTGTGTGTGTGTGCACCTATATATATATATATATATATATATATATTTTTTTTTTTTTTTTTTTTTTTTTTTGGTACCAAGGATCAGACTCATGACCTTGTGCTTGCCAGACAAGTGCTGGGCCACTGAGCTAAATCCCTGGTCGATGAATTATATGTATTGAAACAGATGGAGTCAGTCAAATGGTTATGTACTTACTTGCTGTTAATTAGTTGTAAGAAAGGGAATGGATGGTGTCATGAAAAATTGTCAAAAAGAAATGAAACTGCCACTCTTTCCCATTGCCAAGCTAACTTTTTAAATTTTATTTATTTAAGGAAGACGAATCCCTTCACCAGCCAGGACCAGGCAAAACTAGTGTGGCTATTAGTCAGTCACATTTAATGACTGCCCTTAGTCACACAAGACCCTCCATTAGTGAAGACGACTGGAAGAATTTTGCCAAGCTGTAAGTAACAGATTCTGATTCAGAAATACAGACATCACATGACATCATTATTCATTTAAACTTCTCTTTTCTTGTCTCTTGGGGTTTTTTTTATTAGACAGTCTCATTACATAGTATAAGCTGACCTTGAACTCACTACATAACCCAGGCTGATCTAGAACTCATGGTGATTCTCTTGCCTCAGCCACCTGAATGCTGGGATTGTAGGTGTGCACCAACACCCTCAGTTTATTCATTTAAACTTTTGAAGTTCTCATTTAAAAATGTGTATAGGAGAATACTTGCCTAGCATGTGTGAGTCCCTGGGTTTGATTCCCAGCATGGCAAAAACAAAAGATATGTAATGGATAAACATACAGACATGCAAAAACTTCAGGACTAGAGAAGTCAAAATTGAATTTTAATTGACCAATTCATTTGATTCTATTTGAATTATTTGTAATGAACTAATTTAATTTAGAAACTTTGACGAAGACAATTGAGTGCTCTAAGTGATTCCAACTACATGGTTTGTAAAATTTATGGAAAAATTACCATTTTACTTTTAAAATAATTTGTTTTATTAATCTCATTTGTGGACTAAGAAGATATTAAGATTTATAGGCTCTTGATTCTGTGGCCACCTGTGAGGCTGAGACCCATCACTTGGGAGCCATTCTGGATCAGTAATTAAATCACAGTTCAAGGAATATTTATTCCTGGTTTCTCAAGAATAAAAATTTCAACTCTTATTTTATTTTGCATTACTTTGAGGCATGTGTGTATATACATGCATCAATAATATGTGCTTAAAGGAAAATCAGAAAATATAAAGTTAAAGAACCAGAAGTTTCATTTAATCTTACAAGATTTGCGTGCTAATACATTCCTTTTTTACCAGAATAAGAATATACTGCACCTATTGCTATTTTGCTGTCCGCCTTTTTAGCCATCCACACATCTTGCACATTCTTTTACATTTAAAGGGATTACTACTTTGTTGTTTTAATGTCATTTTATTGTATAGCAATAATACACTATCAAGATTTTGGGTATTCAGATTGCTTCCAGATGTTCACTGTTACAAGCAGTCTGGTAACAACTATTTTAATGAGAATTGAATGTCTGCCTAGAACTTTCAGTTGCATCAGCAGGGCACTTACACTTTTTAAGGCTTAAGAAATGTATTGCCAAATTGCCTTCCAGGAGGATTTTACAATGTGTGTTTCAGCAGCAGAATAGAGTGCCAGGTCAGTACCTGCACTAGTCCTGCACTAGTTGTGTTTTTCTAACCTTTGTCAGTTTGATTGCAGAAAAATGGTATCTTGTTTAATAATTTTCATTTGCTTGATTAAAACAATAGGTTTTGTAATTTTTGTGTTACTCATTGCCATTTATGTTTTATCTTTTCCAAATTTTCATTCTTCTTGCTCCTTTTTTCAATTAGATTACAGCTTTGAAAATTTATTTGTAAGAACTTTCTTTAATCTGATACAGTTTTTTTCACCTAGTTTGTTATTTCCCTTTTGTCTCTTAAAATACAATTTTGAATGGGGCTAGCGGTGTGCACCTGCAGGCAGGCTATTTTGGCTCAGGAGTTTGAGACCAGCTTATGTTGATACTTTGTCTAAAAAAAAAAAGATAGATATAGATGGACAAATATAAGTAGATGTATGTATGTATGTATATAATCCTGTTTGTAAGCATCAATTATCTCTTATTATTATAATATCTACATTTATCAAATACCTTATTTTTTAAGGTATGAAAGCTTTCAGAATCCAAAGAAGAAAAGTCAAAGTGGAACAATGTTTCGACCTGGACAGAAAGTAACTTTAGCATAAAATATACTTTTTTTTTTTTTTTTTTTTTTGTGGCTTCTCCGTATATTGTAACAGTACAAAAAAATGGTGTCTGTAAACTTTTTTTTGATTTGACAGATTTGGTTAATCATACAATTGCATATTGGTAACTGCTGTGATTATGTAATGATCAAGATTACTTGAGACTAATATTGTTGAATAAATTGAGATATTTATTACAGTTTATGTGTTTCATTTCCCATCAATTATATTAAATCCTTAATGAAATAATATTGACCAAGCAGTGGTGCATATTTCTCCTTTAAAGATAAAACAATAGAAAATATAATTAAATAAATGTCATAGAACAGTTGCATACTCAACATCTTTCTAGCCCTTGACAAATTTTAGTTACCACTTTCTTAACTTTTTAAAAATTCCTATTTTCTACTGATCCAAATATATACAGTTATATAAGTTATAAATTTACAACAGGAAATGAGATCACATCCCAAGATACACTTATCCATCAGAAAATCCAGGATCTTTTTGAATAATGTCGACTCCTCTCACGGTGGCACTGTGATTTTATCTTGGTATTCTCTTGATCTGCAAGCTATATTGTTAAATCAGCCACCATCTATACAAACTATGTATTTAGTATCTAATTACATGGTAATTGGGTAAGGGGAACGGAGAAAGTTAATTCAAATATGCAGGTATATAGGTGGTAATCATTGCCCTTTCCTCAGCTAATTAAGATGCGAGATCCGATATTCTTTTTTTTTTTTTTATTTTGAAAGTATACAACAGAGCAAGACAGAATAAAGCCAACTAAGATCGTACAGTGAAATTGGTACAGAACTTCACAGCAGATTACCGGGATAACAGTAATAGGTATCACGTATATTTTGTTATCTTTATAATAGTTGTTCTTTCAATCACGTATATCAAAATGAGATGAAATATAGAACACTATAGAACTTACTAAAACAGAATTTGAATAGAGCAGTACCATTAATCAGAAAAGAACAAAACAGTAATAAAAATATTTGCCTTCAAAGAGATGGTAGAAGGAAGTCCCCCTTATTTGCTGTGTCAACTTCCCAGGAGACACTCAGATTTCTGGTTCCCATTTGCTAATGGGTGGGGGAGGCGGGCAGAGAAGGGGGATGGGGATGGGAATGGGATATTTGGCTCTAGGCCGTGCATCAGCATCAGTAGGTTCACTATTGCTTAGCAAGGAGGCAGGCTGGTTGTTTGGTTTCACAGCATCCTAAGTTCCAACATGGCATGGATCTCAGGAGCTGCCAATGGTTCTCCCCCTGGAAAGGGCGCAGTCTGCCACCAAGATCCGATATTCTTTTAGTTCGCTATTCTGTTCCCTGCTCCCCTGACTTCAGCCAGTGTGCCGGCGGATTAGACCTTTCCTCAGTGGGATGACCTGAAACCTTTCTCCCTGAGCCATTTGCATACTTTCCATCTAATGTGGCAGAATTTGTCTCTTAAATACTTTTATACTCCACAGATTTCTGTTCATATTTTTCTCATTGCCTATTGGGTGTAGCAACTTTGTATTCCTTCTTTGAATCAGTTTACTACTCAGACCCCTTTGCTCCCAAGCCAAGTGGAATTACTGCTGTGTCTCTGCAGTTAAGTACATTTGAATTTTTAATAGATTTCCACTCTGGTTGGGGCTGCCCCTCAGTATAGTAGTAATGCATTCACTGATAGCGGGTCATAGCAGGGTTCTGCGTCTCCAGGAATGGAAGTGAATGCAGGCCCTATATCCCTGACCTTCTCCAGCGTGGTTACTTACCAGGGCCGTTGGAGTCTGCTGGAGAGTGGCCTTGGCTCCTTGGAAGAAGGGGTAAAGGAAGGAAGCTGCAGAGCAGGTACGTGGGAAGTTAGTGCAGAGCCCTTTCCCTGGACCCCAGAACTCAGTCTGCCTTGCAGTCCAGGCTATGATAATTAGCTGTTGGCTTTGCTGCTGCTGATCATCACATCCCCCTGGCCTGCCATAGTGCCGCTACCTGACCTCTGCTACCTCATGATCCACCCATTCCCACAGAGTCAACCCCTGACCATGCAACACCGCTCGCTTGGGTTCTCAGTTTACCGATGACAGTTTCACTCACTCAGCATCCTCTCCTTTGCCTTCCTGTGCTCTTTGGAATGTGAATCACCTTGTGCTTGCCAAGCAGGCACTTGTGCTGCTGAGCTAAACCCCAAGTCCACCAACAGGATTCTCGAGCTTTGCTGTGGCCACTCTTGTCTGTCTTTCCAAGGATGGCTCCCATGTCTCTGAGTCCCTGTGAAGCAGACAGCAGTTACAGCAATCCTGCTCTTGTAGCCAAGGGTTGCAAGGAGAACAATTACATCAGGACACATAATTTATAGTATTATCTATAATGGTCACCCAAGGAGTCAAATACAAAGAAAGTGCAGGAAATCTGTCCTCAACACTAAAGACCTAGACAATCCAGCCAAGGGCCTGGATCCATGGCAATAATCTACATGAGCTCAGTTGAAAACTTAGAGCCCATGTCAATGACCCATGCAAGTCTATCTCACAAATCTGCATTGGGAAGGCCCTAAAGTCAGTGGTGGAACCTAGAAAGTCTATGCCAGTGGGATGAAGGATCTGTGCCAGCAGGCTGAGGGTTCCATTCTGGAGCCAAGAGGCAATGCTCAAAATAAGGACCAGGGCTTCCCCCAAAAGTACCTCAGTTATCCTCATCGACAGTGAGGTCCTGAGCTCCTCTGATGATGAGGACAGTTGAGTACATATCAGGAAGCCAGTGTGACAAGCTTCTTCTGGAGATTGAACAGCATACATCTTTTCCTCTGGAGCCAGGAAGCAATGCTCAAAATAAGGAGCAGAGCACTGGAGTTACAGGCAACAACAAGGTCCTGGGCTCCTCTGATGATAACAGCCGAGTTCACATCAGGGGAGCCAGCATGACAAGCCCCTCCAGGAGAACCACCAACTCCAAACAACAACACTCTTCCTTTCCAGGTCTCCTTTTTATGCTGGCAACTGTCCTCAGGTAGGCCATCCATGCTCAGCTCATGCTGATTCAGTTCAGCTGGTGTTTAAATGGACCCCCAGTTACCAATCCACTACATGTGCCATTTCTCTGTATTCTGAAAATCTCAAGCAAAACTTATAACCCAGGACACAAGGACAAGTTGTACCTTGAGATATCTGTGCAGAGGACAGAGCTAAGAAAGGGAGACTGGGCTGTGGTGGGCCTGGAGGTTTCAAGTTTGGACATCACATCAGAAGTGACCTTGAGCCAGAGTCTGGGACCTCACAGAGGCCCGCCCTACTCCTTACCCACAGTTCCTCTCATAGCAGCGTTAGATCAGCAGAGAGAAAGCCAGAGGCGGTGCAAGGTACTGCTGCATTGCATCTCCTGCCCACTCACAATACAGATCCAGTTCCCGCATCAATGCTGATGGCTCAGAGACAGACACAGTGGGAAGCAAACTAGGAAGCTCTCTCTGTCGGTTTCATCATCCACAATTCTTTATCTCCTTTTCTATCGATAACTGGTTATTCAGTTATGTAGTCTTCATTTCTTGGATATCTGCTTAAAGTTTATGTTGACATAACATAAAAATTTACCATTTGACCCATGTCTAAGTGCACAGTCCAGTGGCATTAAATACATCCACATTGCTAGGCAACCACCATTATCCATTTCCAGAACTTTTGCATCATCCAAACAGAAGCTTTGCACCTATAAATAGTCTCTCCCTCTGGCCAAGATAACCTCACTTCTGCTTTCTGTCTCTGTGAATCTGGCCAGTCTAGTGCCATATGTAAGTGGAATTATATGGTATTTGTCCTTTTATGTTGGCTTAGATTGCTTTGGGCGTAATGGCTGTGTTCTGACATGGAGGGGAGAGAAAGTAAGTTTTTCATGCCTCTTTCCTTCTCACAAAAACATTCATCACAGTATACAAACTCTACATTCAGAGCACTCATCTAAAGTGAATTCCTTGCTGGGTGTGGTGGTACACACCTGTAATTCCAGCACTCTGGAGGCTGAGGCAGGAGGTTCACCATGAGTTGGAGGCCAGTTTGGGCTACGAAGTGAGTTCAAGGCCAGCCTGAATTGTAGAATGAAACCCTGTCTCAAAAAGACAACTAAATAAGTAAAGTGAATTTCTTCCCAGTGCCCCAACTTCCAACAGACAAAACATTCAGGGGCTGGGGATTTAGCTCAGCGGCGTAAGCACCTGCCTTGCAAGCAGGCAGTCGTGAGTTCAATCCCTGGTACCGATAAAAAGGAAAAAGACAAAAAAAAAAAAAAAAAAAAAAAAAAAAAAACATTCAGCCTGTGACATCACAAAATAAAAATTACAAGCCAGGAGCAGTGGCACATGCCTGTAACCTCAGCTAGTTTTCTATGTATCTATACACATATGTGAGGTATAAGATTTTGTTTTGTTTTTAACAAATTTGCATTCATTATCCAATCTTGCCTTCGCCTCCTCCTCCTTCTTTTTTGAGGCACAGGGTCTTGCTCTGGTGTCTAGGGTGCCCCTGAACTCCTGGGATCTGGCAGTCTTCCTGCCTTGACCTTCCCAAATAACAGGGACTAGAGGAGCACAATACTGTGCCCCGCCCTACCCTGAGTATTTTTTTGCAAGCTGAATGTTTATTTAAAAATAAGTATCAAAAATATCTATTTACGGTACAATAAGAGGGACACATGCAAACGAGAAAGGGGAGGCGGCCAGCCCTGCTGTGGAAAGTCCGTCTGTCAGTGTGTCGGGGCGAGGTTCACGGTTACCATGCCTGACGGCTGTGGTGGCCACATAGTGACAGTAAGCTAATATCAAACTCGCTCCACACCCGGAATGTTCTGATACGCATTTTCTCATGCTGCTAAGAATTCCTGGCATATGGGGCTGAGGATTTAGCTCAGCAACATAAAGCGCCTGCCTTGCAAGCAGGCAGTCATGAGTTCAATCCCTGGTACCAATAAAAAGGAAAAAGATAAAAAAAAAAAAAAAAAAAGAATTCCTGGCAAATGTCATTTCTGATATTTCATAAGACTGTATCACAAACATTCAAAAATTCACTTTCATATTGTTGTATCTTTAAGTTTCTGGGTTTTGACTACTTGAAATTATACCAAAAAAGACTGTAAATTACCTCTATTTATACAAAATTTTGGTCTATATTTCATATATTCTCAGTACCAGGGTTGGTCTGTGTGACCAAAACCACAGAGCATAAGTGATGGCGTGTCACTTGCAGATGGGTGACTATGCAAAGGTCATGGTTTCTGTGTTGGATTCCTCTCTCCTTGTTTGTGTGTTTGTCTCTGTGTGTGATGAGGAGCCTGAGTCATTCACTGTGAGGGAGATGTGCTGTGAGCAAAGCTATGGAGAGGCCACACAAGGAGGAAACTGCCTCCGCCAGCAGTCAGGAGTGAGCTGATTCTCATGTTTGCTGTTAGGATTTTCATTCCGTATACAATTTTTGTCTATAATCCAATCTGTTATCTTTCCTTCGTGACCTCTTTCACTACATTTTAATTTTTAAAAGAATTTAATGTATCTTAATATATATGTAATATTGCCACAGAAAAACCAGTATCATACCAAATGGAAGACTCTTTGCACCCCAGGAATCTAGAAGGTAACTGTTTATTACACTAGCGGGAATCTCAGTTCTGAATCAGCAGCACTGAGGCAGTTTCGCTCTCAATTTAAATAGTTTGCAAGTAGGAAGTAGAAGGCATCACATGATTGGTAATATGGATTGAACTAAGCTATATATTGTCAGGTAAACTGACTCTAAACACATTTGCTTCAAAGGAATTGTTTATCACAATGTAGGAACAGACTGGGGCTGAGGGGAGGGGGTTCAAGCAGAGTAGGCAGAGTGAAAAGAGTCTTTGACTGGGTTGCTTCGCCCCAACCAAAGCCCTTGAGGCCAGTTAGGAGCCATGTATTTTCTTAATTAAGGGAAAAATAAGCTGAGAACAGTCAAGTTGGCAGTGCATTATCAGAAGAAAAAGTGCTGGACCCAGTCAGGGCTGACTGAAGTTAGCAGGCCAGCTGAGCGATTTTAACTCGCTATAGCATGTCTTTAAGTTTGTTATTTTATAATTGTGCCTTTACTAATCATATCATCATGCCCCAATAATGTAGGCTACATGTACATTAATATGTAGTATCAGTGTATGGCATAGCAATATATGCTAATGCAGTTTTTAAAGAGGCAAATAATTCTAAATAGCTTATAAGGAAAAACAGCAGTTTCTTGCCTTCTCCTTTGGCATCTCAGTAACTATATCAGTCAGAATTTGATCAGAGCAAAGAGTGACCCAGCAGGAGACAGCTGAGAGGCTTCCCGGCCTTGGCCTGGCACTGGGGCAGGAGGTTGCTGAGGGCTCTGCACTTGTGCTGGGGTCACTTCAGCCGGGTAGGCTGTCTGGAAGGGAAGTTGGGCTTGAAATTCAGGAGAGGTGGGGCTGGGGATTTAGCTCAGTGGCATAAGCGCCTGCCTTGCAAGCAGGCAGTCGTGAGTTCAATCCCCGGTACCGATAAAAAGGAAAAAGAAAAAAAAAAAAAAAGAAATTCAGGAGAGGAAGGACAAACTGGAACATGCATCAATCTCTTTCCTCGAAACCAACAACTCAGGTGCCACAGTGCCCTCATCTCAGACCTATGGGGTCCTGAAACTGGGGAAGCTGAAGGAGGGCATTTCCTTCCCAGAACGGCATGAATACAGAACAATTAAATCACTTAACTGATTTCCTCAGCATGTCTGCCAGCACCCCGGGAAGATTTAACAACTACTCTTGATAAAGCACCCTACCAAGACACGGACTACTATCCAGTAAGACCGTATCACCACTGAAAAGTATACAACCACGTGTGCATGCTCAAGGTAGAAAATCTGGAAAATCCTGGAAGTATAATCAAGCAGCTGCAAAAAACCTCTGTGACTGTGTCAAGATTCTAGTTACTTCCTCCACCTGATACAAAAGGTGTTTTTTTTTTCTTTTTTTTCCGGCACTGAGGACTAAACCCAGGATTCCTCACAGAGATGTGTTCCCAGCCATTTTAATTTTGAGACAGGGTCTGTTTCCTGAGCTGAGCCAGAACTTGCGGTCCTCCTGCCTTAGCTCTCTGGAGCGCAGGCGTGTGCCACACCTGGCCCCCCAAAAGTTGCTCCTTGCAGGATCATGTAGTTCATCCTGTTTTGTGCCAGGGATAGAACCAGGGGCCTGTGCATGTTAAGGTAAGCGCCCTACCACTCATCTATATTCTCAGCTGCATCGCACAGTTCTGCATTTGGCTTTTTCTCTATTTGCATTTCTCCTGTCACTAACAACAGTCATTTTGGATGGTAGTAATGTTCCGTGAAATAAATATACTAGTTTATTGTTGTTTTTACTATTGCCCTCTTGGTAGTATTAGGGTTCTTTCTTGTACCTCTTTGGCACTGACCAATTCCTTGCTTCTATTCCTTGGATGCACTTTGTACTTCTTACAAAAGGTTTGGCAACCTCGTATCTGCTGTGAAGTAGGCTGCAGCATTCTATCATTCTATTTTTTTTTTTTTTTTGGTGCTGGGGATCAAACTCACGACTTTGTGTTTGCTAAGCAGGCACTTATGCCACTGAGCTAAACCCCTGGCTCCTAGGATGCAGCCACTTTTGAGCCATCTTTATTCTAAAGATGTGCATGTTATCTGTGGATACATAACAAACATACACCTAAACTAAATAATACCTTTCCCTCTACTGTTGTATGACTTCACCTATTTATGGCTGGGATGGAACTGTTAATTCAAATTTCTTAATAGAAAGTTCATATAAATTCTGAAAAAGTCTTTCATAGCCAAGAACCAGACTTGTGTGGAATAACTTTTTCAAATACTGTCTTTTTAAAATCTTATCTTTGAATGTATTATATATCACAAACATATACTAATAATTTTTTTTTTGTCTTTTTCATTTTTATCGGTACCGGGGATCAAACTCACGACTGCCTGCTTGCAAGGCAGGTGCTTATGCTGCTGAGCCAGATCTCCAGCCCCACTAATAACTTTTTTAAAAATCCTATTAAAACAACCTTTAAAATATCCTGCTAAAAAACAAAACATATAATGCAAACCTACCACGTGACAGTGTGAAATTCTACTTGACTATGTACAATGAAGTTTGAAATTTAGGTTAGTTAGCATTAAAAATCCAGTGAGTATTTGAGCTGACAGCATCTAACCTGTACTCCACACTATACAGCTCCCATATGTGAAGAGTAGGTACAGTGGGAACCGAGTGCAGACAAGCACATGAAACACGTCCTCCAACCTTGGGGAGTGTAGGGGTAGGAGCGGGGGCACCAAAGTAGAAACTTAAATGCAACCACAGAACAACACAGACTGGAGCCAGAAGAATCTGGAAAGTTTTCATGAGGCAGAATTTAAGAGCCTTGGGCTGGACAGGTGGTTAGCCTAGCACACAGGGAGCCCTGGTTCCATCCCCAGCCGGCAGGTGGTGCACTAGGGGCTCTGAACCAGCCTTTGCTAGAAAATGAAGAGGTGCAGAGGGCAAAGAGCTGAACTGTGACACGGGCGGCTCCTGTCTGCCTTGGCCTCAGCTGCCTGAGCCCAGGGACACAGCACCCCCGCCCTGCAGGCAAGGCTGCAGCACACCCACAAGGGCACCCCAGCCACCAACATCGCCACATGTCACTGACCTCACTCCTTCAACCCTGTTTGGGCTCGGCCCTAAGCCTGAGCCACTAAGTGAACCAAATAAATCCAAAATAAACATACTGTCAAAATACATTTTAATGTAAAAGTTTTGAACATTTAGTACTGTATTTAGAAAATATTTACATTGGTATTTACAATCCACTTTATTTTTGTGACAGAGATGACCACATATATGGAGCTATAACTATGTAAAGGAAGGGTAAGAGTTAAAGCTGCTACTGTGGAGATCATGATCCAATCAAACTGCTACAAGTTTTTTGAGGGTTGAAAAATGCAGGAGACATCAGGGTAGAAGAGGGAAGGCCGCAGATCCTTATTTACACCACTGTTCCCTCCCTTCACCAGCCTCCCCCAGCCAAGGCTTGGCAGGACCAGTGGACCCAGCTAGCTTCAGAGCAGACTTTTTTATCTAGCAAAGCTAACAACCTGCAAATCACTTCTCCGCCTATCAGCTGATCGGATGATAGCTGAGAAACTCTGGCAGCAGGCCTGAGGCCTGGGCCCAGGTACTGGTGAAGATGCCGTCTGCAGCATCTTGTGGTTTGGCCAGAAGCCTCAGTCTGACAGTGAGGGTGATGAAAACACAGAGGAACAGCTCTACAAGCTGCCACTGGGAGTTCTGTGTGCCACAGAAAAATTGGGTGAAAGAGAACAAAGCCAGGGCTAACCATAGCAGTCACTTCCCTCACAGTGGCCACAACTGTCACAGCATTTTCTGGATGGGGAGATAAGGCTCACTTGGCTTCATGACAGACACTACTCCTTATACCTACATTTTATTTCATTGCGTTCTTGGTCAAAAATCCAAGTTAATATTTTGTATTTGTATAAAAATATAATCTATTTTATGAATTTCCCGAAATAAACTATGAATAAAAAATAGACTAACTGTTCCTAATGAGCTCTCTGGAAACTGCAAACTGCAGTCTTTGCCTGGAAAGATAAATATATAGAACAGAATATATTCTATTCATAGAATGCCATGTTTAACTACATTTCATCCTTTTTTGTCCCTTGTACTTTTCTAAGTGACACATAATAAAGCTAATGATTATTAGCTAGTAAGGAAAAATATTTTTAGTCATTTTTCCGTTTAAGACTTTCATGAAAGAGACATGTGGCACATTTCATAGTATTACAAATACAAGAAAATGGGAGAACTAGGTAATTGTTTTGTATGCCAGAGGTCAAACCTAGGGCCTCACAGATGCTAGGCAAGTGCTGGATCAGTGAGATACATTCCCAGTTCCCATTTTAATTCTGTGACTACAAATGGTTGGCAACAGTCTCCTTAATAGTTATGGCGGGAGTAGGTCCAACATGTGTCCATATGTAACCCTTCTCTGGTCTGGTGGGGACAGTTGGAAATGGTGATGACCTTGACTTGAAATACTCAGAAGGTGCATGACAAACGAATTCCAAGTATTCCATCTTCCTCGGAAGGTCTTCCTCTGGCCCTAGAAAGTAGCCAATGGCAAGATTAAATGTTTTTGAATGTGCACTTCATTTTCATAAAATGTAAATATTCTTAGAAACCAGGAGGACACACTCTGGAGTGATTTAATATTAGCCCTTGAAACATGCACTACCCTGAAGTTACCATCATTTCTTCTACTTTGACTGCTTGCAGTATATGGATGGCATTCTTTCAAACGGAATGACTCTCCTGAGATTCTGAGCACAACACTGAGCCTTTACACAGTCTGCACATGGTTCTAAGTATTCTATGTGTCAGTGCTTTAAATCCTCCCAGCCCTCTCAGCTGGCGCTACTATTATTCCCATTTTACATATGAAAAAAGCAAGGCAAGGGGCATTAAAGGACTTGTCAAATAACTGCTGAGTGGTAGGCAGGGCTGTGAACCCAGGTAATCTGGTTCCAGAGTTTTGTTTTGATCTCCACACTATGGTGTCTCCTCCAGAATAGGGAAGCATGTTGAAGACACAGCAGGAAAGCAGCCATCTGCACAACAGGAAGCGCAGTTTCAATATCTTCCAATCTCCATGGTCCCTTGAACTCAGGCTGCCACCCTCCAGAGTTGTGAGACAATATATTTCTATTGTTCAAGCCACTCAGTCTGTGGCATTTTGTCATGGCAGCTCAAGCAGACTAATACATTCTTCTGCAAAACATCAGAGGTTAAATTCAACAAGATGCACCATTTGTCACACTCACCTATGATATAGGATGCGGGATCAAACTGATCTTTGGGGCTAGAGAGAGTGGGTATGAGCCAGGTCAGTGCAGCACTCTTCTCGCAGTACTGGTCCTGGATAAAACCCCTGATCTGAGCATAGTAGGGCTTTCCATCTTGTTCATCAATCACAGAAACAACATCTCCAATTTGGTAATATACTCCCTGGGGCAAACAGAAGATTAATCTCTTATTTAAAATAAAAATATATTCAGCAGCATAAGCACCTGCCTGGCAAGTGCGAGGTCATGAGTTCAATCCCTAATACCAAAACAAAAAAACAAAAACCCCCCAACAAAATAATCCTGAATGAAACTTTTGTATACCCACACACACAAATTTGCACCTGTTCATAAAAATTCTTTGATTTTATACCATGACAGCACTGTCTCTATCTTTTTAAAAAAGATTTCATTGTCTTAAGAGTCATTTAGGTTGGGGCTGGGTATTTAGCTCAGCGGCATAAGCACCTGCCTTGCAAACAGGCAGTTGTGAGTTCGATCCCTGGTACTGATAAAAACGATAAAGACCAAAAAAAAGAGTTATTTGGGTTCACAGAACACGAGTGGTAGGTACAGAGGTTTTCCTTATACTCCTACCTGCAAATGTATGGCCTCTATTAATGTCTCCCACCAGGGTGGTGTGCTCGTTACAGCTGATGAACCTCTACTGAAACATCATTATCACCCAGAAACCACAGCTGAGTTTAGTATAAAATCTTGGTGAGGTATATTACTTGGGTTTGGGCAAACATATGACATGTATCTGCCATTATGGTCTCACACAGTTTTACTGGCCTACAATCTCCTCTGAGCTCCATGCTACTTTTTTGCCCAGACTCATTAGGCTATAGAAAGACTAAGTGACTTACTGAAAATCATACAGGCAGAAACTGCAGCCTGCACTCCTGTATCGGCTCAATGGTCTTTCTCTGTACTACCCTGAAAATCTGTGCTTACCTGCTGAGAATATACTCTATGACCTCCTACCTTACCATTCATTCAAAAGAATAGATACCATAAATTCAAACCAAAAGAAGTAACAGAAACTCTTTGGTTATCATCAGTACCAAGCTGTGTTCACCCTCACTTTACCCTACATTTCCCAGACTCACTGCCACATGTCTCTTCCACACCATTTAGTTTTGTATCTTCCCACAATACAATTACCAGTATTTCTGGCATTCAAAGTTTTGTGACTTATTTAATTTCTGTTCTACCTTAATACCCAGTTAACTGATCTGTATCCTTGTACTGTTCATTCCATGCCCTCTTCTCTGGGTCTCAAAATGGAAACACTCTTTTGACGTGATGGCTGATTCAAGTTTCTATGACATTCTGCCACTTCTTCAGGCAAGTGAACAGCTCTGCATAGGCCAAAGGGTCCCTGACTGCTGCAAAAGTGATTCACTGTTGCTTCCCATGAAACAGGGCTTTTGGTAAAGTGGCTGGGCTGTGCACCTCAGGCATAAGAATGATTCTGAAGAAATACTTCTAGCAACTGAACCGAAACATGAGCACTGAAACTGAAACTAGATGAGTAGAAACTGCTGGTGGCCTTCATCCATGTGCTCAATGGTGAATGCTGCAGCTAATCATAATGAATGGATACAGTTAACGCATGCCACATACCCATCACCAGCTGGTCCCTTCAAACAGCTTGAATCTATGATTAGCTTTGTAGTCAATGGTACCCCCCTTGCCTGTTGGGGATATGGTCCAAGACCCCCTAGTGGATGCCCAAAACCTGGATACTACCGAACTTCATATATTGATTTTTCCTGTACTTATGATAGTTTAATTTATAAATTAGATACAGAAATGAATTCACAATAATTAATAATGAAATAGGACAGTCATAGTAATGTATTGTAGTAAATTAATTAAAATTCATGAATTAGTTATTTCTGGAATTTTCAACTTAATATTTTCAAAATGCAGAAGCTCAGCAAGTAGGAACTGGGTCAGGGATTTAGCTCAGCAGCATAAGGGCCTGCCTGGTAAGCTCGAGATCGTGAATTTGATCCTCAGTACCAAAAAAAAAAAAAAAAAAAAGCAGAAACTGTGGGGAAGGAGAGATTACATATATGTAACATCAAACAGGACTGGGACACTTGATAGAAGTAGTCTCTCATCTGCTGGCTGGACATGTTTCAAAGTTTCTGTCCAAGAGGAAGAGCTGATTAGGAGTCATCAGACTCAGTTCATGGAGTTGCTGTCATGCAGTTCTCCACAGAGGCCACTTAATCCTATGGTTCCTGGGTACCCACACTCTTGCCTATCATCCACTCATGTTCCTCTTGCATGCTTGATCTGGGCTGGCAGTCACCTTTCTAACACCCACCATGGTGCTGGCTCTGGGTTTCTGCAACTTAAGAATTTCATTTTTTGGGCCTTATTTAATAAGCACATGTAGTTGACAATGTCTCAGAGTATAATTAACAGGTTCCACATGCGTTTCCACTGGACACATACAGAAATCACTAGCACACTAGATCCTTGGCTTTCCGATGTAATCTACAAATGATGTTCAGTTGGGAAAGTTGAAACCAAAATTTAAAGATGAGATGATGCTAATGACAACTACTCATTTAGTGCTAACGATACCAAGTAGTTAACACGCACCAGCTCAGGAGATGAGTACTAACAACTCTTAGTTTACACATGACCGTTAACAAGCTCGGTCCTAGCCAAGTCACACAGACACCTGCAGAACTCAGGAGCCATTTGGGATTAGATTCCTGATTCAGGCTGCTTTGCTCAATGAATTCTCAGCTGTGCAATCTTGAAGAAGTTCATTTCTGTCCTCAGTGTACTCATCCATAAAAGATGAAGAAAACAGTGTCCATCCCATGGAGTTGACTGAATAAAATAAGACAAGTAAAATGCTCTGCTTGCTGCCTGCTACACAGCAAGCACCCGCTACACTTTGGCTACTTCTTATTAAGAATGTGCAAAAAGGAATTATGAAATGCTACAAACACAGGAGACATGCCTACCTGTGTATAGACTATTTCTGACTGATAAGTACCTGTTAGCTAATAAATACACTCAATGGTCATAAAGTAACATGCCACTTGAACTTTGCTGGAATTGGTCCATATGAACTAAGCTCTAATTTATATGACTGCCTCTTACCTACCAGTTCAAATGCCAAAACACTGAATGACTGATTGCTGCTTGGCCAGACCCACCAAGCCTTGGCTTTTTGCAATGTTGCAATTTATTTCCTGAGGCTTCCAGTTTGCTAGCAATAAGTCACTGCTCTTATGGAGGTAACAAGTTATCTGTGCACCTTTGTGTGAGGAAATCTGACCTCACTTTATCAAAACATCTTAATATTCTGTTACCATGAACTTCTAGTAGGTATGAATTCTCACTACTCTCAATTTCTCTCACCTCTGCTTAAAGGAATTTTAGTCTCTGGAACTACAGTACTAGACAGCACGGTCTTGTATTTCCTATAATCCCACATCCTGCCAGTGTCCTCCTCAGCCATCAAAGTCTCATGCAGTCATAGATGGGGCTTTTTCTGAGGTGGCTGAATTTAGAGTGTGTGGCTGATTCATAGTGCAATGCTGGCATTAAGGGTAGGTGATTACTAAATCAGTCCACCGGTTGGTTTGGCACCGACCTAATCCCAGTAGCCTGGATACAATACAAGGGACAGAAAGAGGCTTACCTTTTCCCTTGCTTGCTTGCTTTGCTACCCTCTGCCTGTCATAAACTTAATCATCTATGATACCACACTGTCTTAGAGCCAACCAATTATAGATTGAAACTTCTACAAACTGGGAGCTAACTAATCTTTTCTTCCCTTAACTTGTGGGTGCTGGGTATTTTGTCTCAACAACAACAAAAGTAACTAAGACAAACACCATTGTGTTAGCAGGGATGGCTCACTGTTCCATGGTTCAGCATGGATTAGCATGTTTAAGAATAATTTACATAGCTATAGTTTAAAAAATATATACTTAATTCTTTCACATCATTTTTTTCCACAGGCAACTTTTCTTCCTACTTCAGTTCTTGATGCTTTACAACAGTTACCTAGAAGGAAAATGACTTACAAGAGAACAAAAACCATAATCACACTTTATGCAATTAAGAATAACAGAGACGTGTAGACTAAGCCAACATTTTAGCAGCGTATTATATGCCACAGCCCCAATTGCACAGATGATTACCTTGTAGAAGATAGATTCTGCAGTGATGATGGTGGAAACAGATTCAGGAGCTTTGATGGGCTATGAAAAAATAAGAAGTAAAAATATTAGCACATTCATGGTATGTATGCACATATAGCACATGTAGACACAAAGAAAGCTAGTAATTTGAGAAATTCTAAATTTTGTTGTTTGGTGACAAGAACTGCAATAAAAAGATCTGAGTATTGGGGTAAAACACATCCTGAGTATGTTTCCACTGTTCATGCTACAATTAGTTTAAAAACTGCTGAGAAACAGGAGACAAGGGTCTGATTAGGCTGTTGAGACCTACCACAAAGCTCTTTCAGAACGTCATTAGATATCAGCACCCCAATTGTAAAAGTTACTGCCTCAAATGGACTAAGTATGACAGAATGGAAATGACATAAAATGCATAGGTGAATACTGTACAAAGTGAAAAAGCGTCTCTTCGAACACACAGTCCATCTTAATACTGGAATCTGCCAGGTTACTCATCAATTTTGTACCAAGCCTGAACTAAAGCTCTGGAAACTTTCCTGGGAGCTCTTAGTAATCTGCCACATTCCAATCATCACTGAAATGCCCTCATAAATTGCTATATACCCTTAATGCTACATCAGTGAAAATAAGCATCTCCCATCTGTCTTGGTACAGTCCTTGAAGGGACTACAGATATGGATGCCTTATTTTATGAAAACTAAATTACAAAAATTTAAAGTAGAAGATGTTACTCTTATTAGGAATTCACAATCTTCACAAGACTCTACCTTAGGACCCTCTGATTTATAAATGAAAATACTCAACTTCAGAAATGCCTGTACTGGTGAATGAAATGAGTATAATACTGAAGGGTTTTTTTTTTTTTAAGTCTATAATGCATTTTCCATTGTCCCCTTGTGTTTACAAAAACTAAAACCTATTCCAACAAAAAAGCACTTTTGATGGCCTCCAGCGCAGGCCTTTCAACAGTCTGCTCCATTTTGTACAATAGAGGAGGAAATAAAGATTTAGGAACAATTCTAATTTATCACTATGCATCAAAAGATACATTTTCTAGGGCTATGCTAACACACAGATAGGAAAACGAGTTCCAATATAATTTACTTTGATCTTTAAAAGATCAAGAGAGTTTTCTTAGTGTGTCCAGCCACATTAAGAACTGTAATCTCTTTTTTCCTTTACACAGACTAATCTGATAAAATGTGTTCCAGATTGATGTTTCTTTTAGACTCATTTTTTCTCAGAGGAAAAAACACATCAAAAAGGAAAAAGTGCATTATTCACATTACAGTGCAGGAGGAGGACTCCCATAGCAGTGTCCACATTCAATGGTGAGAAAAGAAGGCAGCAAAGGACACAAAAACATATGCCATCACAGCACGACACTGGCCACAATTGTCTTACATTTTTCAGTTTGAAAATATGTCTTCTTCCTTTTCCTTTGGTAGAAACTTTCTTTTCAGCAGCTGGAGCAGATTTGTACTTTGTGTTTCTGAGCCGTGCAGACCGTCTGTGAATTTCCTGCTTGCTCTGTTATATAAACAATTACAGAACAAAAAGTAAAACTGTAGATAGGTTGCTGTCTAGAGACAGCCATCTTACAAGGCTCCCACGCTGTACACTTTGGAAAGATCTAAAAATTAAAACCTAAGAGAAGCCAGGGAAGAGAGCAGGTAAACATCTCCGTGTCCTCCAAGGGGTGTAAACTGCATAATACGGCAAAGGACGGGAGGGGATCTAGGTCAAGGAAGAAGTACGGATTTACCGCATTTGTCACTGAGAAAAAACCGTCGGGTTACAGCATATCCTACAATGGAATATTTATGCCACTTAAATTGACACAGTTATTTAACACATAATAAAATAACGGGGAAGGTGTATTATTATTACGACAAATGCAGCATGACACCATTTACAACGTGTTAAACGAGTGCATAAACGGACGTTCGGCTGCTACTGAAAATACTGTTACAAAGGGCAAACTTATCAAGAGCTTTATTTTCTGGTTTCTGTACCCTCTGAATTTCCCAGGATGGGAAAGGAGCTTGGGCGTGCGGCCCTCCCCGACCTCTCCAGGTAGGAAAGCGTCCAGCTCCAGGCCCACCCGCAGCGCTCACCTGCTTGCCGCTCCCGCCCCCGTTGCTCTGCGCAGGCGCGGCCGAGCTGCTGGTGAAGGTCGCTGAGCTGAAGCCGCCGCTGCTGCTGCTGCTGCTGCTGCTGCCGCCGCCGCCGCCGCCGCCGCCGCCGCCGCCGCCGCCGCCGCCGCCGCCGCCGCCGCCGCCGCCGCCCCCAGTTCCACTGGCCGCTCCCGAGCCGCTGGCCGCGCCGCCCCGACCCGTGCAGTGGTGGCAGAGGATCTCGCCCTGCGGGCCCTTCTTCCACATGGAGGACGACGTAGTCTTGCAGCCGCTGCAGGTGGGCTTCAGGCCCAGCGGCATGGCGGCCGGCTCGGACGGCCCGCGCGGGCGCAGCGACACGGGAATGGCGGCCACCTGTCCCGGCCGCCCGCTGGTCGGCCTGCCACCCCGGCTGTTAACACAAGAGCCGCGAGGCCGTGGGTGAGGACGGGTCCCACCCGTCAAGTACCGAGCTGCGCCGCTGCCCCCAGGAGGCGGGACGCGTTCCACCGCCCGCGGGGCTGCCGAGGACACAGGACCAAGCGCGGGCTGGCGGAGCCGGCCCAGCCGCGGGCACTTCCGGCGATGGGCGGGCCCTGCGCCCGCTGCTTCAACGCCTGACCGGAAGTGCCGCGGAATGTCCTCGCTGCAGTTCCGCTGGTGCTCTCCTGGGGGAGCCGGTCTCAAACTTTCTGATCACTGAAGACTAGACTTTGCCGGCCAGAATACGGGGTGCCAGTTAAATGTAACTTCCAAGTGAACAATGAATAATTTTTTAGTGAGCGTATCCCTGGTGATAATCGTTTATCTGAAATCTGTGTGTAACTAGGTAGCTCAGACTTATTTGCTGAATCTGGAAGTCCTACCCAGGACCTTTTGTACTGTTCAAAAGTCAATACTTTTGTTGAGGCAGGAGGATAACGAGTTCCCGCCTAGCATGGGCAATTTAAGCATTTCTTTTTTTTTTTTTTTTTTTTTTTTTTTTATTTAAGGAGAAAAAAGAAAAAACAAAACAGAAAAAGAGTACAAGTTATACAGAATTTCAGAAAAAATAATAGGAAATCTCTAGTTAATAGATTACATATTGTCATCTTAGAAATAGTTGTTCAAGTTACCAAATTAAAGCATATAAAGTGGACATTTAAACAGACTGTAAACACTTCGGTTGAATGATCCAACAAAACTCAGTAATATGGTTATCTACCTTATACACTTAAATATACATGCAGTTATGTCCTTTAGAGCACTTTCTTTTTCTCTCCTTTGTACAATGACAATTATACATTTTGGGTTTTATTACTCCCACAGTTCTTATTACTTTTTTTTTGAAAAGAGTAAAACCATATGTGACATAACAGGACAGAGTCAGTCAAATCAAAAGGATGGACATAATACATAATGTAAAAACAAAATACAAGGTGATCAACAATGGTTACCATAATGCCTCTTGCCATCTTAAAAAGAATTGCCAAATCATCAGTTATAATAAAATTGAACAAAACAGTAAAGAAAAAAACCAGTAAAGCCAAAACATTGGAGACATTAGAGGTCTTCAAAAGAAGATAATAGTCAATCAGAATGGGCATCATAATGAATCTTATTATCTTCACAGTTGTTGCCTATATTTTCCTTGGTACTATCAAGCAAAACAGAATAGAGGAAAATCAGTCAAAACAAGATGGTGAGAGCAATACAGGGTTTCAAATCTAGTTAATAGGAAATCAAAGTGGGTTATTACAATATACCCTGCTATTTTTTATTTATTTTTCCCTTAATTAAAAGGATAAAAGTGAAAAAGTAATAAAAAAGGAGATTGAGATAAAAGAGGGCATAACAACAAAACAGCGCAGGTCAAAACATAACCTTTTAAGCAAAATAGTATTTCACCACAAGATAATCCCAACATAAAGGTAGTTACCATAGTGTCTCTTTCCTTGAAATCTTTGAGTATAACTTTGTATACTGTAGCATCAAACATATCAAGACAATGTAAAACTGTTCAAGGGAATGACACTATTACAGGTATTTAGAATCAGCTAACAGAAAATGAACAATGGTTTCTGTATACTCTCCTTGTCTATAAAAGTTTTTGTTTATATTATCACATATAATAAAATCCATTAAGATACATGTTAAGACCGATGGAGACAGAAGAACAAAAGCTTGATGAGACTTCAAAACAAGATGATATTCAATCAGCACTACCTATTATGATGTCTTGTTTTCTCCAAAATAGCTGTTCCTACCATCCAACCTTCTCTGCCTCATTTCTGTTGAGCTCTTTTTCTGTCATTAGTTGTCAGTTTGTCTTCTTCATTTTACTTTCTGCTCCATTCATTCTGGCCTCTCTGCTACTGTTTCTGGAATCTTGGTATTTTTCTTTTTTAGAGTATCCTGCAGTAATCTCTGTAGAGTTGAATTGGTGGTTGCAAATTCCCCTAGTTCCTCTTTATCCTGAAAGCACCTTGTTTTTCCATCAATTTCTAGGGACAGTTGTGCAGGATATATCAATCTTGGCTGGAGGTTATTATCATTCAAAGCTTGAATTATTTCCTCCACGCTCTTTGTGATTTGATGGTTTGTGCCGAGAAGTCTGCTGTAATTCTGATGGGTGTTCCCTTGTAAGTGATCTGTTTCTTGTCTCTGACTGCTTTTAATATTCTGTTCTTATATTGTACTTCTGGAATTTTGATTATTATATGCCTGGGTGTAGCTCTGTTTGGGTTGTAGGTGGCTGGGGTCCTGTATGCCTCATACATCTGAGTATCTTTACCTTTTGCTAAATTAGGGAAATTCTCCTGGATTATGTCTGTGAATAGCTTTTGTAGTTTATGTCCCTACTTCTTTTATATTCTTAATTCTTAAGTTATAGATCCTATCTTCTAGCCTTTGTATTATTGCTGTTTGTTTTCTTGTTATTTTTAAGAAATTTTTCATTTCATGCTCCCACCTTACAAATCTGTCCTCCAGTTCAGATAATGTATCCTTAGTTTCTTTCAAGCTATTATGCCAGCTTTCAATAGAGTTTTTAGTTTCCGGTAATCTCTTTGAATCTGCTTCATGTATTCTATGTTTTCTCTATTTTCTCCATCAAACAATTCTCCCCTTTTTTTTCTGTTCTTCCATTCCACCATCTTTTTTTTCTTGGGTGGTGCTTAGCATTTCTCTAACTATTCTACTTATATCTTGCTTTAGGTTGTTAAATACTTCACTTTTGAACTCGTCTATGAGGCTCCAGAGATATCACTTTATGTCTATTGGTGCCGTGCCTGATATTGCATGTTTTCTGTCCTCATTCTCCTTTGTGGATACCTTTCCTGGATCAGTGTTCTCAGGATTGGGGACTGAGGACCCTTTCTTATTGCTCCCTCTTCCTATACTTTTTGTTCCTTCCATACAAGCATATATAATGGAGGCCCAGTTGTTTTTTTTTTTTTTTTTTTTTCTCTTTATCTGTTACAGTTTGTTTGGATCTGCCAGCTAGGTGTTCTCGCCCACTGCAGTGTACTAGGGAGACACAGACCTGGGCAGCCTCTGCTGGGCCCCTCCCTCCAGGTCAACCTATTGAAGGCTTCACTGCTAGGGTGCACCACCAGGTGCTGGGACCCGGTTTGGGCTAGCCTATTGGGTCTTAGTCCGCAGCGTCACCCAGGCCAAGTGCTCCCCATCAATCCCACTTGAGAGGGGAATATGTGACTAAAGTCATTGCAGTGTCCTGTTCCGGCTAGTTTGCCCAGTCCCAGAATGAACTCAAGTTGGTTGTGATATATAATCCTTTTCACATATTGTGTTTGAGTTACTAATCTTTTGAGATTTTTTTTAGCATCAGTACATGTCAGCCAACATAAGGACCTTGGATTTAATTTTGAGTGAAACAAGAGACTGTTGGAAGTTCTGGGGTTTTTAGCCTATTTTTTGAAATTTTTACTTTAAAGAGGATAGAACCAAGCAAAATACAACAGAATAAAGTCAAACAAACAGAACAGTGTAAGTGATATTATCTTAGCACAATAAGATAATAGGAAATCAACAATGCCTACCATATGCCCCCCTGCTGCTCATACCTTTAGACAAAGAAAAAAACAGAACAGAACAGAATAGAACCAATAAAAACAAATAAAGGGCTTCAAAACTAAATACTAAATCCAAAATGGCTACCATAATATATCTTGTTATCTTTGAACTAGCTACTCATGCCATCAGATATAACAAAATCAAGCAAGGCCTCTGAATAGATGATCAGACTATTGGTTTTAGGTCTACAAAGTCAGTGAAACATTAAACACTAAGCATTAAGTTGTATATTACCTCAGTAGCTATCATCACAATCTGTGTTTCTCTGAATCAGGTGGTCACTTCTAGGTGTGGGTGAGTGGAATCTTAACTCTTCTTGTCTCTCAGCCTGAGCACTGGAAGGGGCTGGTGTCTGGTTCTCCCTCCTGTGACCTGCACATGGCACCAACTCACAGGGAGGGCTTGTCTTCTTGTTGGCTTCTTGTTCTTTTTCCCTGTAGTCCGAGAATGGCACCAATTAATGGAAAAGGGCTGGCATCTGGTTCTCCCCACAGGGACCCACACCTGGTGCTGACTCACAGGGAGGGCTCAGCTTCTTGTTCTCCTTCCCCACAGTCTAAGAATGGTGCTGACTCACAGCAAAGGGCTGGCATCTTGTTGGAGGTTCTTACATATGCTGGTATGAAAAAAATCTCAGGCATTATTAAGAGAGAAAAAAGCAATCTATAGAATAATGTGTAGGGGGCCAGGGGTTTAGCTCAGCAGCACAAGTGCCTGCTTGGTAGATGGAAGGTCGTGAGTTCAATCCCCAGTACCAAAAAAAAAAAAGTGTAGAATAAGATCACTTTGTGTAAATTAAAAGGCTCTATGTACATAGTTTTTAGTCATTAGGACTATAGAGACAGTTGACAAACTAACATCAATGTGGGAGTTTGAAGGGGGACTGTTTTTTCATTTTTCATCTTTTTGTAATGGTGATTTTTTTTTAACCACATGCATACCACTACTTTTATTTAAAAACTAAAGAAAGCTTGGTGTGGTGGTACACTCCTGTAATCCCAGCACTTGGGAGGCTGAGGCATGAGGATTGCTGCAAGTCAGAGACCATTGCTGCAAGTTTGAGTTACAAAGTGAGCTCAAGGCCCGCCTGAACTAGATATTGAGACCCTGTCTCAAAAAGACAATAAATAAATAAATAAAAATTTAAAAAAGAGGAAGTATCAAGTGGAAAAGGACATTTTGAGCCTACAACTCCTCTGCCAACAAAAGACAGGGTGTGCAGTAGGAATACCTGGTTCAGGAACTGACAGTAGACCTTGCTCTCAGGAGCTTAGTTCCTCCTCTGAAAAGCAAAGTGGCCACCACAGGGTTGTGTGAAGTGTTGTTACTGTGCTTAGTGTGAGGCTCTAATTCAACAAGGGAGTCTCCATCAAGTGGCAGTGGTTACGTTGTCGGGTAGATCTTGTAGAAATGGCTCTTGAATTAAAAGTATTCCAGGTGTCTGTTGCCTAGAATAAAGCATTCATTGAGACAAACCAAAAGTGGTACTAGAAGTTTATTTGAAAAATAAAGGTTGGAAAAAAA